TTTTCAACATTGGCACCAATGCCATCACCAAAGTTATGCCTGATCTTCCCGGCGATTACCGAACTTACCCCAATACTGGTGGGAGTGTTCTGTTACCTCTCTCAAGTGCCAACAACTGGGACTCAAAGGTTATGATCTGTGGTGGTGGAGCTTACCAGGATATCACTGCTCCCACTGAAGCCAGTTGTGGTGTGATCGCTCCTGAAGCTGCTAACCCTACCTGGGAAATGGATGCTATGCCAGCTGGCCGTGTCATGGTGGAGGGTGTTCTGCTTCCTGACGGAACTGTTCTTTGGGTCAACGGCGCCAACCGTGGTGCCCAGGGATTCGAGCTTGCTACTGATCCTACTTTCCCTGCTCTTCTTTACGATCCTACCAAGGCTTTGGGCGCTCGTTGGACCCAGCTCGCATCTAGCACCATCCCGAGATTGTACCACTCCGTTGCCCTCTTGTTGCTTGATGGAACTGTCATGATTACTGGAAGCAACCCTCACGAGATGCCAATCCTAGCCACCTCCGCAACCACCCCATACATCACTGGTAAGTTGCCTTATTGAACTAAAATCGGCAACCGAAGTATTTGCTAATTCTTTCTCCACAGATTTCCGTGTCGAGAAGTTCACTCCTCCCTACCTCCAGGGTGGAAACGCAGCTCTCCGTCCTACCGCGATGGTGCTTAGCTCCAAGTCCCTCCCTGCAAACGGATCCAGCTTTACTATCAAATTCAATGTTCCCGTCACTGCTAAGGCCGTCAAAGTCTCACTTTACTATGGTGGTTTCGTTACACACAGTGTCCACATGGGCCACCGGATGCTGTTCCTTGACAACACTGGTTTCGTTGCTGGCACCGCTGCGCAAACTATCACCGTCACCATGCCACCAAACAAGAACACCTGCCCACCAGGTCCTTATGTTGTTTACGTGGTTGCTGATGGTATCCCATCTGTCGGCCAGTTCGTCACGGTCGTCTAAAGAAATAATTCTCTTATAGTAAAGGACTTTAAATACTAATTCTCTTTGTTGCATCTGGTCGGGGGCTTTCCTTTTCTGTCATGAGCTTTCTACAATTCCCTTACATTTGTGTGTCCGCCAAATTCTGTTTGTTCACTGTCGGTTCGCCGTGCTCTGTTCTTTTTTCTGCAATACCGCATACTGTTTTCACAAAATTCACTATGGCGGTTATGGACATGGTTACGTCTCTAGAATCTTAGTGTGGATGGCTTGGTGGGTTTCGTAGGCATAGAAGAGGGATAATGGAAATCGATTGGCTTTCAAGAAAACCAGACTGGGCTTCTTTTTTCTTTTTTTTTTGCTTGATGATGTGTATGTGGATCATTACAATAACAATAAAAGTAATCATAAAGCTGAATTTGTTGCTACCTCTACATTATGAGTCCCATTATTGATCAAATCTTAAAATACATCCCTACTTTTCTGTGCCAGGTGCCTGGGAGTGGGAGATGTCGATGTGCAATTGGCGCCTATCTTAGGGCGCCTATTGTGCTGTCAGGGTTAGGGTAATATACACAACCATGCACTCCAACAGAAGGCCCGAGGTCCATCAGCAGATCTACCAAACCATATTTCGACGAATCGTTCATGGAATACACCGAGATCCGCAATATCCAGGGCAGGGAATTTACATTCAGCTTCATGCAAGTGAACAAGGGATCACAAAAGAAGCGATGTGTGAGGGGATTTCTTATACCAATTAGGTGAAACGCGAATTTACACTGGGCATCTTGATGCATGAGGAGTAGGTAGGTACTTTTAGTTTTGATAAAATTCTCGCGGGTGTTGATAATTTCTGTACCCATAGTCCAGTGGAGCCCCCCCGGGGGGGGGTGCTGATGCGAAGATTAAGGGCAACATCTACATATGTACTCTCAGCCTAGAATAGTCAGTCACCAGACCTATTGGGCCAAGAACGTTAATACGAGCTGCGTCCCAGGTTCGGAAAGGCAAAAGAGGTACATACACATACATACATACATACTTACTCCATCTTGCCTTCCTTTTTGCTTTTTTGTTGCCATCACGCACTCAGTGCACACATCCTCTGCTCAACTCTACCTGAGTGCATAGGTACCCGATTCACATTAGACGCCAGCAAGGGTGGAAGGTGGGTGAGATGAGAGGTGGGAAGTTCAGGGTCCTGACTGGGTTTTTTTTCTTGTCTAAACATCACTTTTTTTTGTTTTCGCTTAGATGCCTGGATCTGATGCTGTAGTTGCACTTTTCCCCTGTCAGCAATTAACTGCATTCCAGCGCTCAGATACAATGCTATGTGCACATCTGGTAAACCAAGAGCCTTGGAGGCTCTTGGTGATTCTTGGAGGCTCTTGGTGATTCTTGGGGTATTGGCATGTAACAAAAATTACGGGATGATAGGTTAGATCCAAGCTTGGCAAAATGTGTCGAGTGATTGGACATGAGTTATCAATGCGTGCGCTTTTTCCCACTTCCGGATCCCGACGTCTTACCGTCCCATACTATGCTGCTGCTGCGGCCTTGTCAACACAACCACAATTGTAACCCTAATGACCTCTTCCATGAAAACCCCCCCCATCTACTTCTGCTTTTTCCGGGATTTTTCTGTCTAGACTGTTCCATCGGACTCTTGTGAATTGAAATAAAAAGAGAGACTCTTTCTCCTGTTCTCGAGAACTAAGACAGGATCTAAAACATGGAAAACCCGCACGTTCTGATCTGATGATCATAGTAAGGCAGAATTATTGCTCGGGATTCAATTTCAAGGAAGTTACAGTGAGGTTGTGTACTCAAAGTAACCTCCTTCGTACTCCCGATAGAGCTCAAGCATCAATGCTGCTGCACGTTACTCTATCAACTGTCCACATGGTTGATCGGATGTGTCAAAGGGTTAAATTACCGGGAAAACAAATAAATAAAAAAAGCCACAAAAAATTGCGCTAAAACATGGCTTTTGCACTGGCATATTTTGCAGTGTTTGAAAGATTGCGTAAGGGAAGGGAAGGGTAAGTTGAGTTTAGGGAAGGGAAGGTCATGAAGGTCGAACCAAGGAAAAAAAGTTTCCGTAGGTTGCACAGAAAAAAGCGAAATTGAATCTCTGGGCTTCCTGGGCGTGATCCAGTGGAATGATGCTGAGACCGTTGTTGAATGTGTTGCCGTGTTACCAAGAAAAAAAGTGGCTGAGAAAAAGGATGGATTGACCCACGTCACTACCGATTGGGCAAAACGTTCGTCTGCCCCTTCCTTCCCTCCCCCTCACCCCACCTCTGATATCCTATCAGAGTCCGTGTAAAACGAAACTAACTGTCTATGGGAAACCTTTGGGGCTTATTTGTTTTTTGTTTCTGAAGCGAATTACGCTCACTTAGCGTGGCGTGGCGCGCTCACTCAGGTACGAAAAAGAGAGAGATAGAGAGAGGAAAGCGAGAAAGAACGCCACTGTTTGAGATTCCAAAAGCAGGATGGCGAAAAAAAAAAAAGATCACAAAAGGAAAGAAAGCGACAATTATTGCAGTTATGTGTTCCTGATCACCGAGGAAATCTGCGAGTAGGTGGAGACTTTTGATACAACTTATCTTATTTCACCCGCACATGCTCACATAGATATCGATCAACAATCAATAAACGCCAGAGACACTATTATTAAGAGCTCCACTCACATAGACATGATATGATCTGAAAAGAAACACTGGCTGACGCGTACGTTGGTTTCTTGGAACCAAGCCTCCTTGTCAGGCTGCAGTTGCCTTAATCGATAAAGAGATAAGAGCCCAGCTTCTTGGATTCTTGGAAATACATAAAGTGGAAATGAACGATTGCATAGGTTACTCTACCCCTCAGTGGGCCCTCACCCACTACCCCCTCTTCGTGCATAAAACTTTCTGCAAGCCTGTGTTCCTGCATTTTTTTGAGACTCGAGGGAATATCTCACCTGTAAGGGGCGCCATCTCATCAGTGCAAGTGGCGGAAGCAGGAGATGGCGAAAGCAGGGGCGAAGGGGCAAAGCGATGAGGCAAAGGGGACGAAGAGAAACACTTGAAAATATCGAGTGATGCTACATGAAAAACGACCCTAACCCTAATGGGAACAATCAAAAAAGCTTGTCTCCCCCTGAACAAACTCTATTTTGACTTCACTGGTTTTAATTCTCTCGAGCTCGATCTATTATTGGGGCTTGGGGTGTGTCTAGCTAGTTCCCGAAGCCCACGGCCACGAGATCAGCGGGTATTGATTGATCTTCCGATCGGTACGGGGCAAGAATTCGGGACAAGAATTCGGGATGGGTTCCGACGGGGAGAATAATTTTACAAACCAAACTAGTAGAATTCTCTAGAGTGTTTCGTTCGGGAGAGCTTTGCCAGTCGTGGTATATGGAGGTTTAGCTTCACGGGGAGTGCCTTGAGAGAGGCCTTGGGAATTCTTGGGAATTCTTGGGGGTCGTTGGGAGGCCTTGGGAGCGTGACATGGGCGAGTGATAATATTTGGTAGTCACGTTTTTGTGACCTTCATAACTTCTCATCGGGTTGGGTCACAAGGCACGTGGTTGATTGGACTAAGGATTATTCGGACACCACTCAGAAAAGGTTTGCAAATTGGACTCCGGCACATTGAGTGTCTACAACGTGAATTGTCGTTGCCCACCAAAGGACACGAGAACTGTAGTAGGTAGCTTTAGAATAAAGCTCACCTTGCCGCCAGGAGCTCTGTGTCTGTAGAAAAATGACCCTCACGAATAATAACGTTGTCTCCCCACCTATTTTCCGCTTTCTTTTATCACTGGAACTCATTTTATATAAACTATGCGAGTCTTTAATAGCAACCTTCGTTGTACGGAAGTCCTTTTCCCTAGAATTAATGATCTTTCCTACATGAAGTTGACTCTCGATAGCAAGACATGATTACTGTAACATATATTGAAGGCAATTGTCCTTCTTTATATCCAAATAATATCATTCCGCTCTCCCGCAACCATCACTACCCTTAATAACCCCACCACAAACCTCCTCAGATCAATACTGCTGCCCCAAACCCCTCACAAATTTCTCAAAATCCTCCGCCATCTCACCCACTTCAAACCCAGAATCAGCAAATAATCACAGATACCCCCACACAGCCACTGTACTACCAAACGAATGATCAATCAATGAGGAGAAGTACTACTACTTACACTCAACCTCCGTAAACCCATTCAAAAAGTCCTCCGCCGCCACCTGCAGCAGGACCAGCGCATCAATATCCCACACGTACCCCGTCGTCGCCACAATCTCCGCCATGAGATCATGGGCCATGCTTCTTGGGGAGAAGTCCTGTGGTAGTGGCTGTGCAGCAGCAGCAGCAGTGAGAGCCACAGAGACCGTCACTGCTGTGACGGCGGGAGAAGACAGGCGGGGCGGGGGAGGGGGAGGGGCTCTGATGGCGAGGGGTATGTGCTTGCGGGCCCCGCCTCCTGATCCGCCGCTGCTGCTGGACTCATCGGTGCTGCTGCTGGTGGTGGGCTTTGTTTCTTGCTCTGTCATTGTGGAAGAAAAGGTGTGCGTCGTGATCTGCTGGATCAAATCCGTACTCTGGGCGGGCTATTCCTGCTATATCTATACTCGGAATGCACGAGCAAATACGTTCGTGCGTACCTACCCACCCTCTTTCTCTTCCCGGCGATACCTACAACAAACATACCACAAACACCACAACAACAGAACATACATGTAAGTACCATTACCAGCACTATCACCATCTCACACCCGTTCGCCAACATACACACGTATCCCAACATCACCCACTACATGTGATGTTCCAATTCGGATCATGTACGGTCACTCGCACCCACAAATCCAATCCGGCACCGCCATATCATTGTTGGATCCCATGACGTAGCTTACGTAGCGGTGTATCTAGAACCGTGCACGTGTGCAAAACGCCTTATTGTCAATATTCAGCCGAGGTTCCGACGCTGTTACGACGTGTTCGAAACGATACCTCAGAGCAGAGCTCGGATCCGCATATAACTATAATCGATCATATAACTATATTGGAACTGAGCTCGAGATCAAACTACAATATTGGAACTGATTAGATCATAGATGCGATTTTGAGTTCGGTACTTGATGTTGTTTGTTTGCGAAACGGGGGCTAGTGCCTGGCTGGTTGGTGGTGATGTTGGTGGGGTTAGTTTTAGGGGGTGGGGAGCACTAGCTATGGTGCATGCGAGAGGGGGAAGAGGGAAACTTTGACAACCCTATACACACCTCTTCAGCCAATTCTTCCATTGGCCCCGGGAATCAAACATTGAAGAGCCCCAGCTTGAACTATACGGACGCCAGAGCTAATGAGATATTATGTTGAATAGGGTTAACAACGTCGCCCCCCATGCCTTCTCGCACTGAGTGTCAATGATTAATAGCACGTCATAGTAGAACCAGATTTTATGTGCAAACAAGTGGCACAACTTACAACCGCAATAAAAAGAAAGGGCATGATTGGTAAAAACCATTCCCTAATATGGATCTCGAGGAGGACCAGGTTTGAGAGTCGGTCAATTTACTTACTTTTGTCACTAATTGGCTCAATTAAATGAGGGGAACGTTTGTAAATGACCACAAAAGACAAAGACAAGCAAGACTCTAATTGACACCCAGCCAACCACAGGGCAACAATGCCACCCCCTACTATACTGTACTATACTGTACTCAAAAAAAAAGAGAAAAAAGAAAAAAAAGATACAAAAAAGAGATAAAAGAAACCCCCCTATTTGCATACCCCTCCCCATCGACACCACCAGCTACTGTACAAAAAAAGCTATTACCCCCTCCCTTCAATCCATGCCCTTATACCGCTCCAACGCCCTCTCCTTCGTCTTCTTCACAAACTCACTATAGCTGCCCCCCCCCTTCGCAACCTCCTCCACATCCCCCACCCTCGCCCCCTTCATCCCCAGCCCCGCCCCCTGCGTATACATCTCCGCAACCACATGCTCCGTGCGGCCCTCCCCGCTCGCGCCAAGCCCCTGCCCACTCGTCCACCCCATCTTGCCCAGCAAGGCCGCACCCTTACTCTGCGCCACCGCAACCTCCGCCTCCGCCGCTGGCGGCTGCGGCGACTCCTTCTTCGCTGCCGCCGGCGCCGTGCTCTTGCCAAACACCTGTCTGCGCTCCTTGGCGCGGTCGCGGTACTCCGGCGTGGCCGAGGCGCCCGCGGCCGCGGCAGCGGTGATGCCCGCCTTGGCGAGCTTCTTGAGCGCCGCCTCGCGCAGCGCGGGGTCCTTGAGGTTCGAGGCGTGCAGCGTGCTGACACGCTCGTGCTCGTGCACCTTTTCGGGCGTCTTGAAGACGCGCGAGCAGAGGAGGCAGGCGAGCTTGTTCATGTCTGCGAAGGACTCGCGCGGCGTGTCGTCGGCGGCCGGCTCTGTGGTTGTGCGGCGCTTTTTGGGGGCCGAGCCGCCGGCGGAGGAGGTCTTGTCGTCGTCGCCGGAGGTGGAGCCTGTGGTGGATTCTGCGGTGCTTGTTGTGTTTGCGGCGCCGCCGCCTGTGGTGTCGGGCTTGATGCCGTGGAGCTCCGAGTGGCGGTTTTGCCAGAATTGGAGGTGGGCGGGGGTGGCCTTTTTGGAGGTTGAGGCGGCGGAGATGCCGGGTGCTGCGGTGGAGGCGGCGGCGTCTTTGTCGGCTTTGCGTTTTTTGGTCTTGGCCTTGTCGTCTGTGGTGTCTTTTGTGCCCTTTGTCGCCTTCTTGGAGTCTGCTGTGGCGGCCTCATCGGCGGCGGTGGGCTCCTGCTCGGGCTTCGAGACTATGAATTCCGATACATAGCCATCATCGTCCCAATACGCCAGTCTCAGCCCGCCGCCCACATTCGCCGTCATGGGCAGGAACGTGAACCGCTCGACGCCCCTCGACGCATTATACACGGGCACAAACACGCCCGGGTGTATATACGACGCCGTGACGGGGCGACTACTGATTGTGAACTTCTCCGTCTTGTTGTACGCGGCCAGCGCAGCCTGGGCATCCAGCGCCGTCGCGAATTCGACAAACCCGTATCGCCAGCTCTCGTCCGTTTTGCGGTCGCGGACAAGGAGAACCCGTTTAACGGATGACTCCTTTGCGCCGATTGGCCCAGTCCGAGAGGGCTCGGGGGTAGCTCCGGGCGGGACGGTGAGCTTGAGGGCGCCCTTGGCGAGGAGCTCTTCGGTGACGGAGGGTTCGAGGCCGCGGAAGAGGAGGAATTGGGAGGGTGGGGAGGTGGCCATGTCACGTTCTCCATCATTGGTGAAGTGCGTTGGGGTTGGGTGGGTTAAGGTGCCAGTCAAGGTGACTTCTGCTTGCAATTTAGATATCTGTGGGCGCCAGTAATGATTACTCGGACCTAACTACGAACCTGAGCGTGGGGTCTGGCAGCGGAAGCATTCTTGGCGTCTGGGAAAGTTCAGTAGAAGGCACTGTTTGGTAGATAGTTGTTAGAAAAGGTCGACATATGGGCTAAGGTCTTGAGAATGATGGAATACTCACAACTCTGCATTTCCACTCCTCCTCGCCGTCATCTCTTCTCCTACCTCTCCTGCTGTCCTCATTGTCCCGTTCCTTAGAAAATGCCACCTTGCACCTGTCCGCGCCAGGCCCAAGGTTCAGCTTGTTTGGATAGTACTGCTGCAAGAAGGCGCGCGCATCCGGTACCGAGTAGAAATGGACAAAGGCAAACTGCCTTGAATTGCCTATATTTCGCGAACAAAGGCGAGTGCCGAGCCACTTAGAAACACAAACATTCCCAACCAACAACCACCCCCACAAACAAATTCTCAGAATGAGAAAGAAAGAGAACGAAAGAAGGAGACTTACCGGTCTTGCGATCCCGAATAATCGTGACTTTCTCCACGTTCTCAACTTGCAATCCATCTTGAAGACCTCTCATAATCTACAGGCGCCATAACAGACCCCCCAGGTCAAACTTTCAGCAAAAGTCCACTAAAAAAAATTGAAAGTGTGTGTGTGTGGCAAAATGGGCATGGTGAAAAAAAACGAGGCAAGATATAAAAAACAACGAAATGACAAAACAGAGGGAGAAAACCCCCAGCCATTGTAGTTCTTTATATATTTGCTCATAATAGTAATAGTGGTGGTAATGATGATGGTGATGATGAATAGTAGTCGTTCCAAGGGGGAGGGTTAACAACGTAATCCTCATCCACATCCGCTCCCAGTCCCTCAATGATCACATCCCGACTCGCCGGTCCTCCAAGCCACTCCCTGTCGCCCCTGCTGCGGCTGCGGTCCCGGGGAGCATCGCGGTCGTAGTACCCCCCGCCTCCTCCGCCGCCGCCGCTGTTTCCTCCTCTCCCGCTCGTTCGGTCGTGCGAGTCGGATCGTGAGCGGTAGGACGAGGACGGCCCGTGGTAGGCACGGGGGGCCTTTGGTGCGTCGCGGGGCGGCGAGCGGCCCCTTGCGGGCGAGTAGGAGGAGCGTCGGGAGCGGTGGTAGTCCCGGTCCCGGTCCCGGTCCCGGTCCCTATTGTTGTCGCGGACGTCTACAGGGGCACCTCTGTAAGTATTGTTATTGCTGTTGTTATTATTGGTGTTGTGGTTGTAGTAGGGGTCCTCGTCTCTGTGGGGAGACTGGGGACGCTGGTAGTAGACCATCGTGCGTGCTACTGCTGCTTGTTATTTCAGCTGACTGCTTTTTCTGCGTTTCCGCTGGCTGCTGTATGTACTTTTCTGTAGATGCTGGAGATGTTTGATATTGCTGTTTGTGGTTGTGGTTGTGTGCAGAGTTGTGGGTGTGTGGTGGTGGTGGTGGTGGTGGTGGTGGTGGTGGTGGTGGTGGTGGATGAGTTGAGATGAGAATGAGATGCCGCGCAGAAGAAGGGTTCGAAGCATGCAAGGGAACAAACAGGCAAGACAGGAACAGCCAGAAGAAGAAGATCATCCAAACACTGCGCTTACTAATGCCGCCCCCCAAGACAGAGACACTCCAACATATCACACGCCATGGACAGTCTACAAGGAACATGAACGGTGAACCCCATTGAATATTACTGCCCGTCCTGATATCGACAAGATACTCGCTCGCCGACACAGAGCTCTGGTCAGCTGCCCTTCCCCCCTCCTCCTCCTCCTCCTCCTCCTCCTCCTCCTCCTCCTCCTCCTCCTCCTCCTCCTTCCTGCACATACCCAGGGAGCCCCTTGCTCCCTGCCTTATTCCTGATCGTGATCAACAAATCGCACAGACATGAGACGATAGAGTGCATATACCCCAGAGTTATCGCGCAGAGCACTCTACTCTACTTTGTACTCCCCGAGCACAGAGTCTCGATCCGTAGAGTTGGAGTGCGGAGTAAAAAGTAGAGCAGCCCCATCATGGACGCCTGATTGTAAGAAAAATGGGGGGCGTGATAAATACATGTAATCATCGCTCCATGTGTCTCTGATGGCCATAATATGCGCAGCTTCAATACTCCAAGGATTTTGCACTGTTGAGAAGTATGCAGTCTTGCATGAAATGGCCGACAAACTAAATAAAACCTAAGTTGAAACTGCGAGTTTTTGGAAATATCGACCAGAATTACAAGTAACTACATAACTATAAAAAGTCAGCAAGCTTAAGTACCAATCCAAATCCAAACCAATAGCATTAACGCAATATTGACTTTACCTTGTAATACGCAGCCATAAACGTCCTGACCATAATAACCAACCCAGCACGCTGCGCAGAGTGGATTATAGACTCGATACCACAAACCTTTCCTTCCACACTGAACCAAATACCATTCACTCAAATTCAAAGCCAACCACCAGTCCGCGATCATCCAGCTCAGCCGCAAGCCCACCCCTCACTTCCAGTACTTCACGGATCGAGCCAACGGTTTCAGGAAGAGGCCCCAATTCAGGTGTTGACTCACGGTAGGAGGTGTACTGTGTTACAGAGTGAACTGAGCGTAAGTAAGTAAAATAAGTAAGTAAATCATGTGAAAGCTACTAGTATACTAGTACCTAGGGCGATGATTAAGCGTCTTCATAAGGCATCACTCGGTGGTGTGGTGACGCTCCACACATGATCACAGAATGTGTTGTTCCTGATTGAGAGATTGGTGCAGAGAGAGACAAACTTCAGGATAATGGGCTTATATCACAACCCCTTCTGAGATCTTCTTGACGCAAACCGCTACCTAATCTATAACCACTCGCCCCTCTTCTCTCCTGTTCTGTTGGGGGTCATGACACAACACAGAGCGGTATAATCTAAAGGCTCTCAATCTCTGGCTGTGCTCTTAATTGAGATATGTGGTCCCAGCCACCAAACACCCTCCTCCTCTCCCCAGCGGCCAGGCAATACCCATCTCCACCATCTCCACCTCCCCATTATCCCCCCAGCTACTAGCGATCGATCCATATATCCATATATATCCGCTCCACGCTAGAAAAACCACCAATTAACGAGTCGATAGATATTCCCACTGTCCCAGCAAAGAAAGTTTAAGAAACCCCCAATTATCCGCCCAAGAACTATAGCACCCATCTGAATCCATGCACACCAGCTACACAACTTAGCTTCTAGAGTAGCAACCTACATGTACATTTCCAGGCACACACACAGACAGCTCCCTATTGCTTTCAGCAATCAATCAATCACGGAATCTCACTCACCGCTTGACCCAAACACAGACAACAATGACGTACATGCATCTACATACCCGGCAAGAGTTTTTATCCTTGTCGTAGTTTCCGGAATAAAGGGACGCACCCAACCTTGTTTTTTGCGTGGCATGGCGGGTGGCAGCGGGCGGGTTTGCGGATAGAGCAATCCACTCGATCTTGCAGGAACATTATCTCCCATATCGCCTACATGTAGGTGCTCTAGCTATGTAGACAGTCCCATCGGATTCAGATTTAGTGCAAAGGATGCGAGTTGCCAAGATGTATGATAAAAATCTAATTTCTACAAATTACAGTGTATTGCGAGTTCTGGGGTTGAAGGGTCTTGGGATCTAGATTCTATTCGCGGAAACTACATCTAAGTACGATCTGAACCAGCAGTTGAATTCCCTTCTATGGCACTAGTCAAAATTTACAGACTCTACACTAATTGGACATATTCACGTGTATTCGAGACTTATTGATTCATTCAGCAAACCGAGCGTTTTTATTTGTCCGGTGTATTGACCGGATTTACAGAAGAAAATAGAAAAGAAAAACAACGAAAACTAGATTGCCAGCCTTTCTATTCTTCTGATCCACTTAACTGCCCTGAGTACCCAGTGAAAAAATTTAGTGCTGGCCAGAGGCAGCGATGGTGATGGTGCCGGAGGTACGGCCAGAGTTGTCGAGAGACTTGGACTCCATCTTGCGGACAATATCCTTGGAGGTCTCGTCGGCAACCTCACCGAAAACGGTGTGCTTTCCATCAAGATGAGGGGTCTTGACGAAGGTGATGAAGAACTGGGAGCCTATTTTTCTGTTAGATTTGTAACTGTAGACGTTTTATGAGTGAAAAAATACCGTTGGTGTTGGGTCCGGCGTTGGCCATAGAGAGAAGGTAGGGGCGGTCGTGCTTCTTGATAAAGTTCTCATCGGCGAACTTCTCACCGTAGATGGACTTTCCACCGGTGCCCTGTTGATAAAAATGTTAGTTTCCCATAAGTGCATCAAAGTCTCGCAACAATTGCATTACTACTTACGTTACCGCGGGTGAAGTCACCACCCTGGGCCATGAAGTTGCTGATTACACGGTGGAACTTGGATCCAGAGTAACCGTATCCCTTCTCACCAGTGCAAAGAGCACGGAAGTTCTCAGCGGTTCTGGGGACAACATCGTCGAAGAGGTTGAAGTTGATACGACCCCAGTTCTCGGCTAATATGAAAGTCAGTCGATGAATATCTTTGATGCAAGTGACACAAAGAAAAGTACGATGTGATGGATTTTTGGATGGGTGATATTGGCGTGAAAATGATAGAAACACACAATTCGATGGGGGGAAAACATACTCTGACCCGAAGGAGTCGTGTACGCAATGTCGAAATAAACGGGGACAACCATTGCTTTATTTGTTGATGAAAAAAATCTGGTGGATTTGTGGAGGGAAGAGTTGATGAGGAGTTTTGTTGATGATTGTGTTCGGAGGATGGAGGAGGAGGAGAAGGAGGAAGCGGGGCGAAGAAGAGGGGTAAAATAGGAACGGAGGGGCGAACAGGCAGCCATGTTGCACTTAGAATGAGAGGTTGGGTGATGGGTGAGTAGGAGGGAGCAAGCGGCGTGGAAAGAAACAAATCGACTGCAAAGCCTGGCGGGGATGTCTGCGCACTTCACTTCTGTTAAGTGACCGCCGTGGCCTGGCCCTTGACCGTTCTAAGCTAGCTTCATGTGTCGTCATGAATACGGCCCAAGAGGTAACTCGCTTTGACCCGTGAGCGAGCCTCAAAACTTTCGAACGGCTTCCATCGAACTTGCAACGTTTTTTATGCACTTGTTTTTGTTTCCCTGGTTTAGACATGTTTGAGACTCCTCTCGTCTTTTCCTTCGCACCATCACGACCCGTTTCAAGCAGTGCCGTTGTACGTACAGGATTGTTTTGTGTACAAGTGTTTTGTGGGGAGATCTCAGACCCTGTTTATACCCTTCAACTGTAGTTTCAGGACCGCTCGAGATAACGCTTATCAACGGTGATGACCAGCCTTAACACTCAAGTGTCATCCCTGGCATAGGCCAATTATATACAGAATCTGATATCGCCTGTCGGCTGTGCAGGCATGTATTGGTCCCCAGAGTCGATTTGATGCCAGGACCCCCATAAGCACATACCGGCATCTGTAGAGTGCGTACATGCATCTACACACATCTAAAATGCCTGATCATTGGGGTGTCTATATTACAATATTTTATTATGTACAGGATTCTCTCCCATCCAGAGAGCAGCACCCGTGGATGTTGTATGTGGTTGGAAAGTTACAGACATCAGTAGGGCCAACCTTTTTTGACCTTAAAACGCTCTCATCAGTGAGAGAAATACTACTCTAAGCAGCCATACATATTGAGTCAGAAGAGATAGCCGGATGCGTACTCTAAACCGAGAGGGGGTGCGCTGCATGCGATAGAATCCGGACATCTCTTGGTAAAGAGGTGTATGTATCTTTAGTATGTATTGTAGATCACTGTGGGAATACTTGGATATAGTATGTAGTTACTAGTCGATAGAAAACAATTATATCGTAGCTTAGAGCTTTACTACTGCTGCTACGGATTCTCTGCACAGGCATTGAGTCTTATTTACACGGACCCTCACGGGAGCTTACTTTATTGCGACATATGCATGATCTGAAGACGCAACCTCCTACAATCGATAGAGCAGAGCAGAGTGCTTTAGATACTGCGAAGCACAAGTTCCAGTTCCAGAGGATGTGCAAAAAAAAAAAAAAAAAAAACGCTGAGATGCAAACAGAAGTTACAGAGCACAGCAACAAGCTATTCGAAAGCCACTTACAGCAAGGGACCCTCATGTTGAGAGAGCAGTCTTGGCATGCAATCCCCCCAACGAGCTGCAACCTAATTGGCCAACCCCAGGCTTTTCTATTCCTCCCTCTGCTGCTCACCCACTCTTTCCTTCCTCCATCCTCCACGATACCTCCCTCTCATTTTTCATCGCCAATTTCTGTTCTAGAACAAAACAGAAACCCACAACCTTAAATCCTTCCGTTAAACAACTTCAATCTTTACCCTCTACCTCACCCCATCAAAAAAATGTCTAGCAACATCACCGACCAGTCTGCTGCCGCCCAGGGCAACGAAACTATCGACAAGGGAAAGGGCAAGGCCGTCCAACAGGTCACCGCCGAGGAGACTGAAGCTGAGACTTCTGACGATGACGAAATTGAAATGGGGGGGGTTTGTTCTCCCACCTGCCCTACTTTTAATCCGCCTTGCCTTTGCCCCCGCCCCATAGTAATTGAGGATCTTTTCCAATGCTAACACATTCTTCTTTTTTAGGCTGGTACGAATCCCCCAATTACAATCTTTAACGATAGCTACCCCAAGGGAACTGGATGCTAACCTTGAGGTCCCCACAGAGGAAGAGGACGACGACGACGACCTCGCCGAGATCGACAGCAGCAACATCATCCAAGGTGGTCGTCGCACCCGCGGAAAGCAGATTGACTTCGTCGCTGCCGCGAAGGCACAGCCCGTTGCCGACGAGGACGACGAAGACGACGAGGACTTTGCCGCTCCGGAGGATGCCGACAAAGATGTCGACATGCAGTAGGGCTCTTTAGCTGGCCAGGGAAGGAGGAAAAAGGGAAACATTTGAAAAGGAAACTAAATGGGAAACATGTCTTGTTTTTTTTTCCTTCCGTCTTTTTTGTTTTCTTCAGGCCATGTGAAAGGGTATCTTTTAAAGCTGTCTCGGGTTTTTTTTCTTTCACTATCTCTCTTTTTTAATGGAAAGGCGTCCAATTGCATTTTTACATTTTGGATTCTCTTTTATTTTCAAGTACATATTAGCCATTACAAAATTCACGGCAAAGGTGTCTGTCGAAATGTTTTGGTTGCTGCCATTCGGCAAGCAATGAGTGGTCCCTAGCAACCGTTGCTACGCCGGTATGGGGGGAGGGCATTTGAAATCTTCAAGGCATGTACTCTATGTCGAGAGAGAGTACAGCAATCTAGTAGTATGTAACTGCTACCAGCCTATCATGTTATAAAAAATGAAAGCCTATACCGTGCAGATATAGATATGTTCCGGACTTTGAGCATCATAACTTGCAATCCATCGGCTTGTAACCTCGTATTAGTAAGACCTTTTAATGCTTCTACGTACATCTTTGGGAGAACTAAAGACTTTAACAATTGAGCTTGGCTTAACACATACCAAGGACTCGCGAAGCAAGCATAAAAACCAGACAACAGGTAGATGTACCGAGAACCTTAGATTATCACCAATGCCTCTCTTTTCTGCTTCTACGCCCCACCTTCCGCTACCAAATATCAATACTGAGGGTTAGGGTTCTTACCATTAGTTACCACTTACCCAATCCGTCATGCGGCTCAAAAAACTGCACACAGAGCGCCAAGTCCAACGACCCCCCAAAAAAAAAACAGAGCCCAAGAAATCCTCAAACGTCTAGAGAAGCTGGACTAAACAAAACAAATCAATTGAACTCTACCAAGATGCCCCCACCACCCAGCAAGCGAAGCAGCAAGGGCGAGGACAGCGTCGGCGCCCTGCGCACCATCACCTCGCTGCTCAGCACCTCCGATACCGCTGTGCTCCCCACACACATACCCACGATAGTGTCGCTACTATATTCGTCGTCCGTGCTGGAATCATGCCACGCCCTCGCAAATGCGCAGCAGAAGAAAAAGTCCTCAGAAGACGCGGGTGTCCTGCTGCACAAGTACAAGACTCGGATCTCGGCGCTGCTGCAGAGCAAGACGGCGCAGTCACGGTGGTGCGGTGCTGCGCTGGTGAAGGCGAGTGTTGAGAGCAGCTGGGAGTGTTTGGCGGGGCATGGGAGTGTTTGGATAAGGCTTTTGGTGCCGTTGTTGGCTGTTAGTACTGGCTCTCCCAGCTGTTTGTGGTGGTGGGGGACAATGATTGCTGACGCAGGTTTTGTTGTAGAGGCCGGAGCCAACAGCGACCCACAGAGTGATCATTGCGACGCTTGCGCGGGTGTTTACGGCGTTGACGGAGAATAAGCCGACGCTGGTGCGCGAGATTGTGGTTCCCAATCTTCCGGCGACGATTGGGCATCTTCTCGCTGCCACGGAGTCCGAGAATGAGCTTCTTGCGGTGGTGTTGGAGGCGCTGCGGGATATCCTTCAGGCGCACCCTGTGACGTTCAGGCCGTTTGCGCAGAAGACTTATACGCTTGTGCTAAACGTGCTCTCGTCTGCGAACTCTGCTTGTTCGGTCGAGGAGAGACTGGCAAGGGAGATATTTGCGCTGCTGCATCTGTGTGCGTCGGGGTCCTCTTCACGTGGAATCACCAATAACACTGATGGCTCGAGCTCATCCGGCGGGAATAACAAGGCCACCGCTGTGGCAGACGAATGGACCAGAGGCTTCAGGGCCGTAATCGAGGACACGCACCTAACACTCAACACGCTCTTTCGCTGCGTGATCGAGGACAGCGACTATGGCAGCCAGCGCAGCGACGGTAAAAAAGAGCTCACCTCCGAAGCCCACGGCACCTCAACTCTCGGCCTATCAGACTGGAAAGGCTTAACGGACGGCGTGGAGCGAGTCAGTGTTCTCCTGCGGCAATTGCAGTCATTCTTCACGCTTCCGTCCACCGCACAGGTCTCGATACCAATTGGACAGCTCATAGACCTTACCACCCGCATCTTCAGCATTGCCCCGTCGTCCGCCCAGATCAACCAGGCCGTGGAGCGCTCAGAGCGAGAATTTGTGTTTGCACGCCTCCCGGAGCTGCAGCGGGGCGCATTGAACCTGCTATCAACAGTCCTTGCCCGCCTCGGCAGTCTGTTTATCCCCTTTGCTCTCATGCTCATCGACCAGATTGCCCACGTCTTCGCCGAACAGGGCTGGAACTCCGAGGTCAAGATGGCAATCTACACTCTCCTCAACACCCTCCTCGAGACCTTCGGCAGCGGCCTTCCCAAGCCCAGCGTCCACGCCATCCACACCATCCTTTCCAGCACCTGCGACGAGCTCCTCCCCCCCGCATCTCCCGCCGCAGCCCCCACAACCACAACCACCACCGCACCCCCCAAAGGCGGCATCGGAAAACCCAAGAACAGCACTTCAAACGGAACAGCAGGGCAGAACTTCCACGCCGATGCGTTCCTCTCGGTCCTCCCTACAGGCGGGAGGTTTGTGCATTCGGGTCTTGTGGCAGCGGCGGAGACGCTGCTTGCGACGGCGCTGGCGAGGCTGCCGACGGCGTGTGTGCGCTCGGAGCTAAGGACGAAGATGGATCGGACGGCGGTGCTGACGGGGAATACGGAGGCTATGCTTGCTAGTGTTTTGTTCCCGCCGCTGGGGGCGAGGAGGGGGGGTGCTGTGCTGCCGCATTTGGTGGGCGCGGGGAGTAAGAAGGCGCTGGTTATTGAGGGGGTTGTGAGGCCGAGACTGCCGGTGATTTGGACGGGGAAGAGAAAAGCTGGAGAGGAAGAAGACGACGAGATGGAAATTGCAGAGGAGCAACCGGAGGATGATGATGAGGAAGACAGCGAGGAAGAAAACGAGGAGGAGAGCGTCGGCCCACTTGCTTCCTATAGCAAAAAGCCCTATCCCGTAGAAATGGAGACCACATCAGACGAATCCCCGTTTAAACGCCAGAAAACGGAGGCCATGAACTCCACAATGCAGGAAACCATCGCAGCAAGAAAACCATCACTGCTGGATGATATGATACTAGCCCAGGCCGCCGCCTTAGCCCAATCATCCGCTGCCGCTGCAGCTCCAGCGCCCGAACCACTACTACAAGCGTCAGCACCGCAATCCAGCATCACAGCGGTTTCCTCTTCCTTCGTATCAACCACTGTAGTATCTGGTGAGACGCATGTCGAGACGACACAGCAGCAGAAGAAGACTACGACAACCACGGTAGAGAAATCAAGGGACTTTACCGAAGGCGGTGAAAGTGACGACGATATGGTGATCCCAGAGATTGTCATGGGCGGTGACAGTAGTGAGGACGAAGACGACGACGAGGAGTAGTCGTATATAAAAGTTAGACGCTGGGAAAATAGGAGGAAGGAAAGAAGGAAATACCCCCTCCCGGATCTTGTATAATAGTTGTAGATAGTTACGTACATGACTTTGTTTGTTTGCTGGGCCTTGGAGATAAAATAATGGCCCTTCGATCGTCCACGTAGTAGTACTGTTGGCACGGTTAGCGTTTCTCGTCATTCAGAGATCCCGGGGTGTCTAGCTAGCCATCTTCTCTGAAGAGAGCGCCCACTCACTTCCGTGGTTGATATCCAATACTTGTCGTGGCCAGTGTCCTGGTTCTTCACGCACAGCCCACTTATAAACCCCACCTACATACTCTCATCGGATTTCTTCCTAGATCAGATTATATAAGATAGTATCTATTAAACCACTAGAGAGAAAGATCGTAAGGGCTATGTAAATATAGGATTCAAGATACTCAGAAAACCGCGCAAGTGAGTCATGAGCAATCACTCGCGCCCTAGCATTGAGCCAAGGCCTCCGAGGATGTCACCGATGGAAGGGTAATGAGTACTGTAAGGCAGTGTGTGTTCCGATGGCTGGAGCAGAACCAAACTACTGGATGAGAGACGAGACGATGATATTGATAGGACTGCTAGAGTTTCTATCTTTATACGACATGATTCATGAGGACAGGTTGTCACGCCACCTATTCCTCGCCATAAGTCCACAGTTGTAGCATACGTAGGTTACAGTCACGTATCCTGTAATCCCGGAAGTGGACAATGGTAGGATACGTAGAGGTCTTATGAACTGTATATTTACATGTAATACCTGTAGTCGGTTGAGTCGCTTTCGAATTTACAGACCTTTTCAATTCCTTGCTTTCCTTTTCTTCGTAGAGATAGCAGGAGGAATCAAGAAGCAGACTGAATATCTACTCCGGGGCTGGAAAAGCCCGCGATTAAAAGAGCCCCATAGAGACGCAGTACAAAGTACAAGAAATAAAAAAAAAAGCGTCGATTCCAAACCCCCAACTCTAGAGAGCACAAAAACAAAAACCTCGTGCCCCAAGATAATTATTTTATCTTGCCGAGGAGGTGAGCCGAACAGGGGTCTCCCCCCTTAAACAAACCTGGTACCGTACCCCAATACCGCTAGGCCATGGGAGGTTGTTTGTTCCCAACTGCAGCAACTAAATGAACCAAACTTTAAACTTTGGGGCGGGCTTGGCACTCCCACACACCCACACCTTGACCTCGCCGTCAGAAAGCTAGATAGTTTACAGGTGTCACCCATTGACACCCTGCTATGTGTGAACACCATTGTTAGGCATACAAATCTGGTCATCTCCACCGACGACCAACCTTAACAAACCACTCACCTCCACCAACAATGGTGATGTACGCAACCCCCACACACGCTAGATACTAACGTGTCAGATCCGCTCTCCACAAAAGCCACCTCGAAGCTTTCTATGATAAAGGTGGGGTAGCTCGCGGTACGTCGGCCCTCCACAACTTCTCCCATAAAGTGAGTATCCAGGACATTTCGAGGCGCTCGGAGTATCTTTACTATTTAGGGGTTAGATATATTCCATGCTCTCTTGGTCCACTCGAATATGTGGCATATGTGGTAGAGAGACATCAGGCTCACCATCGGAGGGGGATTACATGTTTTCACACCCTGCCCATACACGGGGAGTCTTGAATCCAGGATGCCATTCATGGGGGTAGAAACGATCATAACGCCTCCCCCTCTGCCTGAGCGAACCTGAGTAGGAGGGGCTCAAGACTATCGATGCGCTGCTTTTATTAAGATACTACCCTTAACAGAATTTCTGTGGGTAGTAATATACAGCTGCTTCCCAACCTGGAAGCGTATATTACTGCCCGATACAAAAATCACTATGGGGTAGTAAGGTGCGTAACCTATCGGTTTTTCTGGGGCGGAAACTGAGGGGCATCCAGGCAAGAGGGGGGGTCTTTCTGGGAAAAAGCCCAGGCCAACGATCACAAAGAAAATCCGTAAGAGCCAGCTGGTTGGTTAGTTCCGTTACTCTCCACCATAGCATCGAATCATGTGGCATCACTCGCCATATCGAGTGATACCTGATGAAGCCAAGCTTAGCTCCACCTTGGCATTGCTCGAACATCAAAGGGTGCACTGAACCCCTTCTTACAAAGTGAGCTATTATTAGCCTACGGACTTGGCACAGAATGTGGGGACGTATGAGAAGTCAATAGGCAGTAGGCAGTTGTGGTAATCAGCCTTTGTGGCTGGTTGAAAAGAACCCCGTAGACTTCAAGTAAGCTAAACATCCGAGCCCCGTGGTACATTAGAATTGGGTTGGAATTGGGGTTGGAATTGGAATTCGCAGCAAGACAAGATTTCTGGCTTAGTATACCACCCTTTCCCGGATCACAGGTGGTGGTGGTGGAGGAGCGAATGTTTCACCAGCATGGAACAACTTGTGGCTTTGGTTGGGAGCGGGAAGAAAGAGATGTGTTATTATCTTGGTGTTGGTTACGGCGTTTCTATTTGGGTCTCCGTCCTTTACCCGGAAACGGCCATTTTCGATTCCACTTAAGACATTCTTTGGAAGATGTTTTTGCTCGCTGTTTCCAAAACAACTCAAGTATACCGGCAATGATACCGGCCATGACAAATGTGATGCCTTAATTGCACTACCTCACCAAGTCAAAGTATTAAAAACGAGGTTGAGATTCTTTGAATTAGCTAGCTAGGCGGGACTGTACTTTGAATTATTCTTTTAAAAAAAAAAAAACGAGAACAATCATGAACAAACAACGAGACAAGGAAAAGAAAAATAATAAGATAGGGAATAAGATCCGGCATATATCCTGCTGTTAAGCTGATATAACTAATATATATGCCATGCTCACACACACATTAAGGGAGACCTCCTCCGCCCCCATGATCTAAGCACTACCTCCCCCGCTGCTTCTATCGCATCTATCAAGGTGTCAATATTCCGAGATTCCCGATTTGTAGACATTGATTAAACATACCCGCAGGTAATATCGTTCTCCTCTTTCCCCCAGACATTCAACCCCCCCTTTTGTAAAATAAACTGTGTATGTATGCGCATGCTGTAATTATTCCGGCCACCCCCTATACCGAAATTTCAAGCAAATGATGTAAAAAAAATATAGAAAGAAAATGAAAACGAGCAAATCAAGAAAAACGAAGACACTGATTGGAGGCTGAATGCCATACTCTCTCACCAGGTAAAAGAATCCCCAACACCTTAACCTTTCTAACTTTGATCGAAACCCAGTCTTTTTTTCTCTTCCGTGTTTCCGTGTAAAAAAACCCCACCGAACCATACCCCGAAACCACCGGCATCTCCAATCTACACCCCATACCGCAATTCCGTGATGTAATGAGTACTTTCTTCCCCAACCAGGCGCGTGCACAGCAAACGAGCACCAACAAAAGGGAAAAAAAAAGAAATCATGAACTTTTGCTTTATCGACGATGACTTAAAGAAATGAAAATGAAAATGGTGTAGACTTAGTATAAAATAAAAGAGAGTTTAAAAATTCCAAATCCAGTTTCCCGCCAGAATCCCACCCCGTTTATTTTTCAAGCAAGAACAATAAAAGAACGCCAATTCTCGTATTCCCGATCTTTATATCTTCCCCCTCATGAACAAAGTCCCTCCCAAACCCGATTATATCAAGGAACCTTGCGGGTACGGAGAACTATGACAAACTAAAAACTCCCAAAGTCCAGATAATGGCAAGAAATACTCCAAATAATAGAGGGGGGAAAAAACGAGAGAAAAGATTTGTAAAAGGGTCCAAAATCGAAAGTAAAAAGGCACCAACTCCCTGTAAAACGAATGGATATAGTAGAATAAATACCAGAGTAGTAAAATATAGTCGGAGGTAATCACACCTCTCTAGTGAGAATTAAGGGAAAGTCCCTGCAGGTTCATCCATGAATTGTCTGAATTTCCATTCGGAGCATGGCTATCGACATTTCCTCCCAAATGGGCTTGGCTGTGATGAATTCCACTACCATTCATGAAAGATTGGCTGTGATTATAGCCGTTTAATTGTTGTTGCGGGAGGTGACTAAAATCCTGATGCGCCGCGACAGCACCATGTGGGGAATGGCGGGGGGGGAACCCCGATGCTGTCATTTGCAACATGGGATTTTGACCTGGCGCTGACATTTGCTGGAGCAAAGCCTGTTGGTGTCCACGCGAATGAACTCCCATCATGGCTCCATTGGCTCCTACTGGTGGGCCATACCCAGGATAACCTTGGTTGAACTGGGAATGATGAATCATTTGTTGCGGCTGTTCTGAAGGATCGATAGGTCCAAGAGCGCCAGAAGCGCCAAGTCCAGATCCTGGTGGATGGAGGCCAGTGGGATGAGCGAATGAAGCAGGGTTCATCGCTGACATCCAGATACGTGTTTTATAAACTTTGAAAAGATCTGTGACCAAGGAGTTGAAATTGATATATGAATCGGCAAAATAGTAAAATGTGAGTTTCTTCCAGTCCCTGGTTGAGCCCATGTGGTCAGTACAGAAATAAGGAGATTGTTTGGGGGGGCATACATTTGAAATTCTGCATCCAAGATCTCCATAGGTAATCTATGTTCTAAAACCTTCTGCTGGCAAACCCTCTTTGCTTTTGCCTCGTTGGCCTCTTTGTCCCTCAATGTTTGAATCTCGTGAACCTGGGCTAACCGCTTGATCATCTTGGGCTTCAGCTCTGTGGGAGCGCCTTCCTGACCTTGCATCGGACCGTGAGCACCAGGCATAGCACCAGTGTTTCCACTGTTAGCAAACGGAGCGGTGCCTCCATTGACACTGTTATGCATATTCCCTGTGCCATTTTGCGTAGCGCCAGGAGCTGTCGGCCTTCTTGTAGCAAACATCATAAGCCAATTATATTGCTCCTTTGCATGATGCTCTTTCATATCCTTAGCTTGCTGCCAGGTGATATTTTCTGCAACCACAGTACCAAGATCAGTGCCTCTATCAGCCTCGACTATCACTAAATCGCCATTCCGGACACGCAATCCGGTTCCTTCCTGGACGTAAAAAACATCCCCACGCTGCGCCTTGAAGGTCACGAAGTACAGCAGCTGTTGACTTCTTGGTTGTTGAGCATGGTGGGGAGGCATGGCCATCATTCCGCGGTGAGAGACTGTCGAAGGAGGTGAAGGGATACGTGCCGGGGCTTGGTACGCCTGTAGATGATGTAAGTGGTGTTGATTGGGGGGTGTTGCCGGTGAGGGTCCCATCCCGCCCACCTTGGGAAAATTTTGGCGCTGACGAAGACGATTTTCTTCGTTCATATAGAATTCTTTCCCAGAAGCATCAGAGATTGGTGCATCAGTCAACGAGAGATAACCGCCACTTCGATTATTAACCCCGAGAAGGCCATTCTCCCCATACCGCGGTGGGCTGTTGGCTCTTTTCCCAAGTAGATCACTCGCCATACCAAATTCCAATCCGTCACCCATTGGAAGTCGCCCAGCAAATGAGTGCCTTCTACTTTGACTTCCGGATTCCGGACCTCCGAAAGGCCCGCTGGGGCTCTGCCAGTGTTGCCTCCTAAGGCTTTCAAGCCGTTGGTTTTCAGCATATATACTTAGTGATCTCGGAGGTGCCTCGCTGAAACGCCGCTGCTCGGAGTAGTGATGATAATCTAGCTCATCGTCATCTGCAAGAGCTGAATCAAATTCCTCATGAGTAAGCCCTTTTTCATCTCTATTACCTCCCAAACCTGACGACATACCGCCACCGAACCCTGCAGCTAGTGAAATGTTGGCGGTTGAGGCTGAACGATTTCTAAGTCTCATTGACTCGTACCTCGCCTTCATTTGAAGAGCTTGTTGAGTTGCATTGACCCCATTGGAATGTAGATAACCGCCTGCTCCATTCGATGACCCGCCTGGACGGCCAGGATCATTTTCGTCATCGTCTTCGGTCTCAAATACACTACGGAGAGGAGTGGATTCCCCAGGGTATTGCTCTCCAGAGAGTAAGCTAGGTCTGGATGGCCTGTGGTGAAGACCAGGGGCAGCATGTGGCCTAGGGCCGCCTACTGGCGGAGATAACCTTGAACGTTCATCCAATTCCCGTGGCTGTTGTCCAACAGAAAATGACATTGATCTGTAATTACGAAGCTGCGGCTGTAGTGGAATTGGGATTGGGAAATCCCCAGAGCTTGGTGGTACCATACTGGTCGGGCTTGGTAGAGCCTCACTACCAACGAACAAAGGACTATGTGATGATAGCGCAGCAACAGAGGAACGTCTGACATCAAGTGGTCCCGGGGGGCTCTTCCTAGACGGCTCTGAATTCCAGATTGAATTCCAAATAGGCGCCAATGATTGATTAGCTCCCTGAAGTCCAGCAGCCCAGGCGGCGGTATCCCCAGCTGGTGCCGCAGGATGTGAACTTGTAGGGGACAAGGGGCCGCCTCCAGCGACGGAATAAGTCCTATGTCGGTTTTGGAATTCAGCGGCATAAGACGGGCGTCTCGACGAAAGTGCGGAGATGGCGCTGTTTTTGTGCTGTGAAAAGTAAGAATGCTGGTTTTGTTCGGCCTCCTCGTCAGAAGAAACCAACGCGTCCGAATCAGGAGATGCACGACGTAATCGAGATTCATCGAGCACCATTAGTGACCCTGAGCCTCCCAAGGGGTTGAAGTTCGACCCTGAGGTTATCGGTTGGCCACCACTCATCCCAGCAGCTGAAGTATGATCAAGAGAAGTCCGAGGAGAATCAATCGAAGAGATATCACTCAAACGTGGAGTGTTAGTTGAAGGTACGTCAGACATATCGTCGCGAGCTTGCTGAACTTCGAAATCACTGCTCCTGGAACTCGAGCGGTACGTGGTGGGATTATTTGTAAAATAGCAGTTGAAGGAGGGATCCTTCGGGGCAGGGCTCGATATGCCGGTTGTGATGTGATCTTCGTTGGATTCTTGGAGCGAACGAATGAAAGGTGGGGTGCTATAACCAATCTGGTCCTCTAAATGGAAAAGCGGACGATTCTATTAAAACAGAGGGCAAAACACGCGTGAGTAGAGAGAGACCTGAAACGTATTCAAGACAAGCAAGAATAGATGGGACTTACTTTCTGCATGCGGCCCTGCTGGTGGTGAAACGGGGCAAATTCGAGGAGATCGCCACAGAAGCACAGAAACACGAAGAGAAGGGGAGGAACACTACAACTATAAACGAACTGGCTGTACGCAAATATGTAGATTAAACCGAACAGGAAAGGAGACTATCGTGAAAAGCGGTCGGTCTTGTCGCTTTTGTCGCTCTTGGCTATCGAACGAGATAAACTTTCTGGGGCAGCCGAGTCAGCTGAGGTACACCAAGGATGGAAAAGGGCGCGCCTAGCTGCCTCAATGCTCACCAAGTCAAAACGGGGAATAGGGAAAACGCCAAAACTATGATGGTCGGACTCGTTTACAGGCTCCCCGTGTGAATTATAAGTGTATGTGCGTGTATTGTGAGGAAAGGGAGCTGTCAAGCCATCGTGGGCATCAGCACAAGCTTGGAGAACGCAGTGGACCTCTGCAAAGAACAAAAAGAAGAGAAGGGGATCTGGGGATTCGGAGGAGGGCCCTGGATGAGGCTCACCTGTCCGGGGTTCTGCGTAAATGACAGACGTGTCTTATAAGCGAGGGGGGAGAGTAATGATATCAAGGGTAGGTACGTAAAGAATAGATTTACACAGGCTGTGGGGAGGCTAATGACGATTGGGACGTCAGAGATTCAAGGACGGGGGTTCGCCGTTGAACCTGTGCCCTACCTTTATCTATAGGTTCTCTTTATTTTATTTTTATTTTGTGGGAACAATTGAGCCAGGGGAATGTAGAGAGATTTTAGAGTGTGACTTCGCTGTTTGTTGGTTCGCTAATCGGTAGCCATCATAAGACGCCAGCCAACAACTAGTAGGGGGTAGTTTGAATGAAAACAAGGAACAAGTGGGAACAATTCTGTGATCGAGAGAAATAATGGATATTCAAAGGATGAGTACGTGAATGGCTTCTCTTAAATCCGAATGCACGTTGAAGAGGGTCAACAATTGTAGTGAATCGAAAATTACGGCAGTGACGGTTTTTGGGAAATGTGGCAGATGGATATATAATATAAGTAATGCTGATGGTTGAGACGGCAATGGTTACAGGGCTGGTTGATAGAAGAAATAGTAGTAGTGGCAACGGGACGATAAGGAGATCAAAGGCAAAGTGAAAGATGACGGTGGCTCTTATAATACTAACGGCGGTGATGATGATTATTATGCTGACGAGGAGGCAGCTGCGCAGGGGAAGCGGCGTAGAGTAGCTCGGGGAAGAGAGAGATGAGAGGGAGGAGGGGGGGAAGCTAGGGCAGTAGCAAGAACCTTAGCGGACGATCAAATCGAGGGTCGGGCTAGCAACAAGGGTGCGACTAAGAGTGTGGAAGCAATAACTGAGTAGCATGATTGGTGGTGGGGAAGGACAGGTTGCTATCATAGCTAGAGGTATGTAGCTACTATCGTGAGCTCCCCAGGATGTCTTCTGCTCTTCGTCGTCATTCTACAAAGTAAGCATGTACCTCACTTCTTCTTTCCTTCCTTCTTTCCTCCTCCTTATTGCTTTCTCTTACTACATCTACACCCTCCTCCTCTCCTCTTCAAATTTCAACGCCAGATATCCCTCCCGGGAAGCTCACTGGAGCTGTGTTGTGCAATACCTTATTGATCGACGCACGTTAGCAGCCAAGTCACCCCCCTAGAGAACTTTGTACAGCGTCTACCGGTAGGAGCTCACTTTAACTATCACGATATGAGGTTTATATGCTCTCCCACGCAGCTGTCCGTGACCGGCATGACGCAATGGGTTGGAATGGCACCTATTCAATCTTCTCACCGCTTGCCGATTGCTAATGGTGGAACTTTGCTACGTTATGAAAGCTCTTTTCTACAAGGAGTTTACTGCCCTGGATCCCTTAGTTTTATCTATCTCTCCTCATCTCTAAAATCTATGCAAGAAAAGGTACCATGACAGCTTCAGCCCCAATGGCCGCCCGCACAGATCATGCAGACTTGGATTTACTTTTTCCCATATGAGGTTGCGCACTTTCAACACCGCCAGAAAAATCCCAAGCGAAGGGAACTCTGGGGGCGGCTGCAGGACAATAAATGAAAGCGTCCTTTATTACCGGCGGGCACATTTCTCCCTCGTCGCAAGAAGTGAAGTGCGCCGTTGGATCAGGCCTTCAGGCATGGATGAAGGTCAGGTGGCCAGTATCAACCTGCGTAACAACCCCACAATACACTAACCTGAAAAAAGCATTCTAGGTCCATATTCGGTTAGTATTAGAATCCGTGACCAATGGTAGTCAACAGGCTTGGCCAAACAGCTATCATGAGCGGACGACATCCACCAGGTGAAAACGGTCTCGCCATCTTTTCCACATGTGTCATCTACAGCTATGGTCGCCTCTGTAGATACCGTTCAGTGCCCGTGAAAAGTGTAAACAGTTCTCCTGAGAATTTGACCTCGGAGCCAGACATGCAATGCAGCTCGACGATAATTAAAGAACATGGAAGCAAGATAATAAACACGGCATTCACTGCTCTCAAAACCCTACGCCGCGGACCTTAACAAGAAAGTACATACTGCAGCCAAAAAACACTTACATACAATAAAGTTGAAAATTATGTAAAACAAAAAGTCTCTGAAGGGAAACTGGTGTCCGCCGATAATTACGACCTAATATTTAGCGAGAAGCAGTGAGTGGCAACAAAGTAAGGCTACTTAATAAGCTCAAAGAATATCTATCCCAAGCCAGATCAAGGTTGGCGCCTGGCACACGCGAAATGAAATCAACTTGCCGAAATGCGGGGTTGGACATTGCACGGAAGCGGGTATTGCCGACGCTTCCGTTTCTCTCTTTCTATCTTCAGTCTGCCAAAGTTTGAGAAGAATCTCCTCGGGAGTGGCAAGGTATTTGAACATGGGCGCAATCTGTTCAGCTTTCTTGACGGAACCACAGAAGAAGCGAGAATTCCTCCCGCACTCAGGCCCCAAATTGACAAGATCAAGGCCCGTTACTATTTTCTCTTCGGTGCGATAAAATCGATCTGCCACTGAAATCCGATCACGATTCATGGATATCAAACATCGCCATACAACAGGGGAAATGGGATGAACTAGATATAGCAGTACATACCTACCTTATTGGGCTCCCATTGTTCCCCGTGGAGTTGGCCCTAAAAATTCTCAAATTCCTTGCATTTACTTGGTCACTCGAGGCTGCGACCTCAGCCGTGTGCCGCCACAATCGCTGGAGGACAATAAAAACCGGGCCATCTATCATTGACATTCTGTAACGATCGTGAAAAAAGGTCCTTTGCTCCAATATATCACCGCCCAATGATATATCCTATTGACTTGACGGTTCACGGGATAAAATAAACACGCAAAGTGGCTATTTGATTTTTGTACTTCGTGTACATCTGTATATGTATATACGCAGTGAAGGAAAAAAAAAAGGTAAACACATAAGAACCGATTGTTTCAACAATCTCTGCTGCAAAGACGAGCCGGAGGATTCGTCAGCTGCGCCCATGTGGTAGGATAAATGTACAGTACCAAGTACACCACTACATGTAGTCACGCCACTGCAGTTGACCTCATGAGTTCAATGGCTCACTGTTGTTATCCGTTTTAACATGCGATTACTATGCTGCAAAATACCGGTAAACAGGCATCTGCAAGTTTGACAGTTCGCTTATTGCAGCCAGCCTTGATCTCTTAAGTACATGACTCGTTCCTAGAGAAAGAACCAGAAAATGCAGTTATTTAGGGCAAGGATAATTTGCATGGAGTGGCGGTGATCTCTCAAACAAATCATCACTAGTGGTAAACGAGCAGTATGGAAGGTAGACGATCGTGTTTCAAGCTACAATTGAATTATCGGGGGTTTTTATTGGTCGCCGATGATACGAATGACGTCTGCAGTTCCGGAAGCATTCGAGAATTACGCTCGTGTTAGGGCTAGGGTTTGTACTTGAAACCGATTTGGTCATCGAAGATACATGTAGGATCTCAAAGGTATGCTCCTTAGACGCAAAATCTATTACCCTTTATTCCTAATGGCTCTAAATATTATATGAACTTTCCCAACTAAAATCTAAAAATCGCTCAATTAGGAATTTTGCGATTTTTCATGATAATTTGATCATTTCCAGTCATGATCATCTTGCGGGAGATTGAATCAACACATCACCGGGGGTGAATACGATTTCCATCCGAAAAGCCGGAATCGAGCAAGACGTTGAAATAGAGTGTGGCTGTACCGACATTCCATGCTAGGGAGTAGGTATTCAAGTACCAAGAAAAAAAGAAATATACTGAGGTTGAGTCTTCCGATCGCAATGTGTTTTCTATGAAGTCACCTCAGTTATTTATTCTCGCCCTTCAAATCAACACGTGAGCATTAGAAGCCTATAGACAGGTAATAACGGTAAACCAAAGGAATCCTTTGCAGACCACGGGGTTCTACCTGGTAATCATTGGTAGGTTTTCTTGTAACATCACACATTCAATACCAGGGAACCAAGCAATCGTAAAACCAGCGGATCCAGGATATCGGAATATCCACCACTGTTGTGTCCCAGTTCACCATGACTGAAATTCGAAACTTATCAGTTTGTAATAGGTTATGTAGAGTATGTACCAGGAAGGTATTCGCTAGACACGTGGTTTCGACATACTGCTCTATTCATAGCGTTTCCGAACACGACCAATATTGCATGACATACAAAGAGGTGGATTTGGCGCTTTTTTTATGGCATGCAATAGCAGTCGTGTTCGGAAACGTCATGAAATTAGTAGTACATGATTTAAATGGAGGATACCACAAATCGTCAATACGGTCAATCATGTCGCACATAATTACCTCTTCTTTAGCGATCTTAACTTTCAATGGCTTACTATCAATGACCAACCAAATTACTGCGGAAGATTCACCACGTGATTGAGTCTCACAACCATCAGGGGGCGCCATGAGTTTTGCTGTGAGGCTACAGAACGTTGATCGTCGTTATCCCCGCGAAGCTTCTCCGTCAACACCACACCACTTACTTAAAATATGGGCTGCTCACTATCCACAAGATATTGTGATACCAAATGTCAGCTGCAGGCTGGTTCGCCCGGCATAACACTCTAAGTGATCGTCTCCACGCCTCGATTGGTTCGCTTGGAATCTGACTACGTATTAGGAAGTGGGTGCGCGTATTAGGTGTAGAAAAACGAAACATAATAATCAAGAATCTTAGCTCGAAGAGTTGAGTGCAGGACTTGTATTGACTGATGCTATTATGGCACTAAACAAAGAAAAAGAAAACTACAGTGCGTTCACAAAGTATTGGATTGGTACGTACAACGTCCACTTAGTTACTTCTCTTAGTTCTCTATCAATTATATTAATTAAACTGAGTATCTCTTCAAGCGGATAAGGCCCAGGGAGCCCCGGTCAATAGGTAGCCTCTCTCAGAACTCGTCTATACCTAATATTCAGCATATACTACCAGTCTTTTTTGAGTACTTCCTACATACTTCAAGTGCACAAGATTAAAATAAACGTGCTCGTGTTAATGATATCAGTATTTTTATTCTCGATGAGAGGGTCCGTGCCCCATATAAAAATGCACGACGTCCGTTTTGAAACATTTATGTGAGATTCACACCGTCGGCGACAATTCAATCTCAATCAATGCCCCGGCCAAGTCTAGTTCTGATCCGTTCGGACTTATCGGATATCCTCCCCATCTCCACGGTCATATTTTCGAAACCCCAAGCCGATTGATAAGTGGGACTAAAATCCGAAAGCCCGCGTATCTACATAAGCCACAGGAGTATTAAATTTCAGGATCTTAGGAATGTCTTTTTCATTTAATGGCTCGCCGGTGGTTGGATGAGATGTCCGGAGGCCGAAAGAAAGAAAAAAAGATATCAGGGCTCAGGATATCGTGCTCTTACGCGGCCCTTGATCAACACGGGAGACCGTCACTGCTCCCCAAAATTCAAGAATGGTGACAGTTTAATTAGTGCTTGGTGATATGCACAAAGCTCCTTGAGGTCAAGAAGCCGGAGTTGTTCTAACAAGCGGATCTTTCCCAGAAAGATGATCACCGCGATATTCCTCCAAGAGAGGTACTGCAAGGCGAAATAAGGCTGAATACATACTCTACTCATGTCAAGATCGGCGTTGTCAACATAAAGCACTGCACGTTTCGCCCACTCGACTTTATTTGAAGGGTGCTAGAGGTGATACTCGGGGCAGGCAATAAGAACCCGAAAATGCAAGCTGCAAGCAGGGGCTCAATTTGGTGTAGCTTTTCGCCAGCCGCGAATCAGAGGTCGTTACCATAAAAAGTCATTTTCAGGTTCTTCATGCCTGCCCCGAGTACCTACCTAGAGTACAGGTACCCTACATGCATGTATGTACCTCTTGCCATGTGGAGCTCTATTTTATTGATCTAAAGAGATGTATGCACAGCATAGGGTACAGTGCTGTACTCGGGTAGGTATGTGGTACATGGCACGCATAAGCATCAGCACTTTAAGTTAGGGTTAGGCTTTATGCATTGTTTAATTCATTACGTTTAATTTCTTATGTGATCAATCACATGGCATTAACTTCATGCTATTAAATGCAGCTAAGAGTTGAAAAAGAGAAAGGTTTCCAAGACCAGTTTTCCGGGGCATAAGATGGGCCACTATCCAAACCTCAAACTAGCCACAATACTTTACTCTAGGGCGTAACTCCAAACCTTTAGACCTTTTGGTACGGATCACCCCAACCCACGAGCCATCCCGGCAAATGCATGGTGGTGGTGAGTACAGATTAATCGCGGTTAATATTTTCCCCGCATATGCAGGAATAATGGATTTGTAGAGCAGAGCAAGTACTCAAAGGTAGCTTTTGCAAGTTCCCTTTGTTGAGGGCTTCGGTGTCTTACCCATAATCACCCTAGCCTTTGGAATATCTGAAACATTAAGGACCTCGAGAGGGGTGTCCCCATCATCTAGTAGAGTCTTCTAGAGCACCGCCTCCGGGCTCATAACTCCCCAGGTGAATATCGACGTAGGTACCACAATCTGCGGTACTACCTTGGGAGTCGAGATTTGGTTTTCCCCACAGAACACCAAACTACACCAAATCTACTACCGAGGGATTTCTTCAATTGGTCAATCCTCTGAACCAAGTCAGCCCTGGTCATTTCAAATTGTTTAGCTACTGTACTCGAGAGTAGATTATGTACTCTAGTAATACTGTATCACCCGCAGCTTGCCCCTCAAACTGATCCGTATTCGTGTACATACATAGAGTACACCCTTACCCTACATACAGCGTGTGGTAAAGTTATTGTAGAAGTATGGGAGGGGTCCTATTGGCCGATTCAGCCACTTAAACCCTGTTTTTAGATCCCTGTTTCTACAATAATTCTCCCTCTCGCTGTACACACGATGGATAATTCAAAGGTCTCGGAATCAGGTGTCCCCTGCAGTAGTAGGTCGAGTAGGTATGATCAGCGGAGTGAGTAAATATTTTTCTCGCCATCCTATCCTGCTAGCAGTCACTACGGCAACAGCTGCCACTCTCCAGCCGGGGTTTCAAAAAGGATGACAAGCGGGTTAAAGAGTGTTAACCACGGTACCTAGTTGGTTAAACTGGAATTGGTTAGTTTCTTCCCTCTTTTCGTTGCTTTTTCCGCTTTCCCGCTCCGGTATAGTGTTTACCATGGCTTTGGAGACGAACATGTTGTGAACGAACTTCGTCGCGCCGATCAGGATCTTATTGGCCTGCCCCTTCTGCATCTACGATCCTCTCCAGCCGTGATCACTGATCACAGGATTCAACAGTCGCATTGTCAACTCGAATACCCCCGTGGCCAGATACTGGCAGGAAGGGGTGAAAATAAGCCTTCCTGAGTTTCATCGACGAACGTGGTCCCATCTCGTATGATTCAACGCCAGATCACCACGTGCCTAATAGGGCCTTTTGCTCCGACGTGAAGAAGGTGAGAAAGAAAGAAAGCAATAAAACACTGAGCAGAAACATCGATCGCCGGCACCGTCGGCAGCTTTTCACTTTTCAAATCCTTTCTCGTGGGGCGGGCGCTGCGGCGGGTAGGCACTTCTTACCTTAGGTAGAGCACCCACGTATCATGTATCGGGGCTTGCAGTGGCAAAGCTCAGGTACCAAGCTGGTACTTAAGTTCTTACCTGGATCGAGAGGGTGCAGGGGGCGTTTCCGTTTTGTTTTTGTTTTTCCTGTGCTTCTATGTACCTCTTTGCTTTTTTTGTCTTTGTCTCTGTCTCTTTCTAAAACTGAACCACGATGGAGCTAAGCTAGCAGAGCTAGCTAGCTGACTCTGTCGATTCCTCAAAAAGGCCATTCTTTGCGTTGTTGCTGGTGAATGAGCTGTTCTTTTTTTTTCTTCACCTTCGTTCTGTAGATATTTTGGCCGAGTGATCAGCTGGGGGTTGTTGTTGCTACCTGCAAGTATGGTAGAGTAGAGTAGAACAAGATACAGAACACGACTACTTCATACCGGACGGGACACGGTGCTCCGGTATCTCTGCTAGGTTTTTTTATGAGGGGGTAGGTAGAGTACTCTACACCTGTTTTTTTTTTTTTGTTTTTTTTTTTGGTAATACCCATCTGAGAGAGATATCGGAATCTCCAAACGGACTGGAGAATGAATGAAACGTGGTGGAAGGGAAAAAAGAGATTGTCGTTTGATGGATCTGCAAGCAAGCTTAAGCTAAGCAACGGCGTGATTTCGGTCGGGCTCGCCACTCTCTCCTCCCTCCCCCACACATGGAGAGTCCAGAACCGCGCGGCCCACACGGTGATCAAAACGTCAAGATGGGGCGGATCGATGGGGATGGATGGGGAGGACTAGTTGATCCGGTTCGGCAGGCAGTCGAGTGGTTGCTGAGCTAGCTTGCTGGTGGTCTGCTTGCAAGTTGTGAAAGGCCGCCGGCGACGACAACGATACTGTTACGGCCCTAGAAAATCCTCGGATCCGTTTTATCTCTCTTGATTTTTCCCTCCTCCTCCGCTCCGTTCCGCTCTCTCTCACTTCTTAACGGGAAGGTCCGTGCCTAGGTTCGTTGATTAAGATAATAGAGCCATGTACTATACGCATATGACTTAGCCTGTGTGCACTGTTTTTTACTCCAAGGCATAATCTATGTGAGACACATACCATCCATAACTTACAGGTACCCTACATGGAACCTCAAAGCCCAGGTGCAGCCTTCTTCTTCTTCTCCACACCCCCCCCTCCAAATACCTATCATACAAACATCCCTGGAAGGTTTTCTCTAATTTCAATATGCAGAAGAGGCCCCTCAGAACGTGGCCCAGCTTCAAAAACGCAGGTTTCTCCAATCCCAGATAACTGTTGAGGGTTGAGCGGTTTCTTCTCTCACTCGTGGCTGGTGATAGATAATGATGATAATGATAATTAAAGCAATCCCAAACAACCTGAACTTCCCCTTCCCAAGCAGGGCAGCAAGAGGCAGGGAGGGCATGGCATGGCAGGGCGCATCCGTCCTTGGCATGCTTGATCGATTGCGAACGAACAACCCCAAATAAACGAGGCTTCGAATCAAACGGCCGCCCCGTTCGCTGATGATGCTCCACAGGGATTAAAAGGTCCTAGAGCAGCGTAACCGATTGATTCTCTTATCTAATAAACATGGCCACAACACAAGCCACACATCACAATGGCGTAGCCCTTTGCTTCTTTTGAATCTTTTCGTACTAGTGGGTGATCTCATCCTGACGTCGTTTCGTTCTTCTTTTGCGCAAGAAACGAATAATCAGATCCCTTCGACTTGACCACCACACAACGGTGTTCCAGTGAGCCCGGCTGACACGAGACACAAATAAAATCTGCCTTCAAAGAAAAAAATCTCCCGGGATACCGATTACACAGCGCCCTGGTTGAGTGGATGATGGCCCGCCATGGGGGGGTGAGGCATTCTTCTTTATTTGTAGCTGTATGTCGCAGCCTTCTTGATCCGCAGATTTAGAGTTTCACAGCAGCCCTGATTGGATGCAAACAATTACCTTGAACCTCGAGTTACAACTTACATGCTGGGGTGGGTACCTATTAAAGGTGTCTTTTCAACCGCATCAGACTTCCGCGTCAGCACGGTAGGGAAGAGCACACCCATTTTTCTTTTGTGTCCTTGACTTGATAGGATGTAAGTACCTACATGTGAGTACATACTCCAAGCACACCTACCTACACACCTTTCGGGGGGCACAGACCGGTATGTACGACGTTCCTGTGCACCGGAAGACCGTCTTTCAAAGAAAAGACAGTAGCAATAGCAATTGGAGATGTCCTCTTTTCGATGTTTTTTGTTTTTAACTTTATTTATTTTTTTTATTTTTTTGCGGGGTTTCTGTTGCTGTCCAGATCTTTCTCCCCCCATCCCCTACCTAGAAAAGGGAATCACCACCCCTGAACTGATCCAGAGGCAGTATCTCGATTCTCACGACCCGTACTACTGACGCGAATACCGCAAAATCTGGTCACGCCGGAACCCCTCGTCCTTTTCTCGATGGTGAAAAGACTCTACGTGTTGCCTTCTTGCCTACCTGTACTGCCTGCCAGTGCTTGCTGCTGCTCCTGCTCATGCTGCGGTTCAAGCTGTGTGTCTAGGGTGAGTGGGTGTGTGCGGCATCTGGGCTTCTGTATGGTGTGCTGGGTTCAAGACTGGGTTTGTGGAAAAGTATCTTGAAATTTTTTTTGTCTACGGTGACTTTCCGTAAAACGCCCCCTTTTAGCAGCAACGCCAATCGGGAGGCAACATCCGACCCCCCCTGTCAACACGGTTACCTTTGCTGCCCCTGATTGGCTTCCCCGCCATCTTCACGACAGGAGGCAAGAAGGGAACTGAGATGGATTGCGGAGGAAGAAGGGAGAGGGGTGGTGGTAGAGGTTAGAGCAGTTCGAGGTTAGAACGAAAGGGCACAGGACGGACAGAGCAGCGATAAATGGAGTAACACGATGTGTGAGTATATTTTTTTGCGGAGAAGCGGGTTATGTAAGTAGGGCACAGTAGTACTACTCTAGCTCGCTCTAGTGTGTTGTTAAAAACCGGGGGCACGACATGAGTGCTCAGGCCAAGTCGAGTTAACAAATGGGCGTAAAGCGGTTGCGGTAGAGTTAGTTAAGAAGAGCAACTACAAAGTGTAAAGAGTAAGGGGCCATAGCGCGTCTAGTGGATCCCAGAATTGCGGATGCAGACTTGGCATTTGCGTGTCGATGATATCAGCTGTAGGTTAGATGCGAACCTGTTCACATCACCAAGCTATGGTGGTGATACCAGCTTAGCTACCTACGTAGTGGGGCCACCAGCAGTGTCATGTACCTAGTCGATGGATGATACTCTAGAGCTTGAGCATGAGGTTGAACTGCTGTTGAGGTGAGGAAATGTAGGGGTTCACATGGTAGGGTAAAGGGATACAGGAAGCAGCCAGCACCAGAGGCTAGGTTATGCCTGCTTTATACTCTTCTGAGTTACGCTGTTACTTCCGCCTCCACACCTAGAGTCTTGACGTCTCCGTTTCTTTCCTTTCCCTATATAAGACAGGAGATTCTTCCCCATAGAGAATTTCCCGTCCTGTAGAATATAAACTCCATTAGGTGTTCCCACATCAACGTTTGTTTAAATTCAAAACCCAAACCCAATCTCAAGATTCTCAACACGGGCAGCACAACAACTCCCCCAAACTATATTCCGATTCCGGTCCTCAGGAAATCACTCGATATACCCCCTCCGCCAAATACAACATCATCATCTTGCATCCTTTTCCCAAACAAACTTCTCAAAGTTCATTATCCCTCGTCTCTTAAGGACAATATACTCAACAATCAGTAGCTCTGCAATCGTCATTTGAAACAAAAAAACCATATCCACAATGATGGAGACTGCCACTTTACCCATTCATTCAACCTCACCTTCAGCCATGTCGAACAAGGCCGGAAGCCGTGATCCTCGTACACCCCGGTTTCACGTGGATGCATTTCACTCACCATTCGAGCTTTCTTCCCACCACGGGCATCGCTCAAACGGATCAGCATCACCACGATCCTCCTCGTACACCGTGCAAGAGGAAACCGTAGTATCTTCAACAGCCATGCCCATTTCATTCAACGCATTGAGAGAGTCGGCACACACTCTCAACATGAGAATCGGCAGGGCATCTGCAGGTGGAGTTTCACCAGGACTTTCACCAGGGCAAACACCAAGTTCCCATTCATCAAGCATCTTCCGCACTTCTTCCGTTGCGTCGGACCGTCACCCCTCATTAACCATCCGCCGGGCTCCCAGTGGTGCCTCGTTGTCAAAGGAAATCGAGGGTCTCCATCTCGACGAGTACTCCCTTCCTAAGGAATTAGGCCGACGTCATCACCGCCGTAGAAGAACCGGTTCTCTGGATGATTCCCCTCCATTGCTTGAGGTCATGGCAGATGATATGATGTTTCCAGCTACCTTTGACGATATCCCACACTGTGATGAAGCTCACTGTGCCAACCACCATCATCGACAACGCTCCGGGTCCATTGTTTCAATCAAGTGTGATAAGAGCGACGATGACGACAGCGGATCAATCCACGGCATGGAAAACATCGAGGGGGAGATCGAAACGTTAATTCCCATGGCCCCCATGGCACCCTTAATGCTAGTGCCGCTTATCGACCGCACAGTTGAGATGGCGGAACTGATCGACCATCGTGCAAACAAGAGATGGGTCAACCAGGTCAAACATGCGCTCGGTGACGACAAATTCAAGAACCAGTGCCTTCCTCTTTGGACACAAACCAGCCGGAATAAGTTGCCGGATATTGCGTGGCTCAAGAGGTCAAAAGATCTGCTCATTACCAAATCCTGCGGTGGCAACAACGATACCAGGCTATGGAGCGAGTTCTGCGATATGGTTGGGTGGTCGGAGGAGAGTATTGAGCTGGAGGATAACCACATGAGGCGACCTCCATCAGTGAGTCCTAGACGCCATGGGTCGCAGGACGGAAGTACGAGCCCGCAAATGAACTGTATCGTTGAGGAGGAGGACTAGGAAGATCCTTTACTCTAAACCGTCTCTATTATTCTATTTTTATTTCTTCTACGCTAGTCGTTCTAGGAGATTTTACTGGACCAAATATTTTTCTTTCCTTAAGGGTGGTTCATTTTTCTTCTTTCAACCTCATCTCCACTGTACCAATACTTTCTTCTTTCTTATCTGGAGTTATTGTTTTTCTTTACTTTTTTGTCTACAAACCAACCCCTACGATATATGTATCTGGGACAATGGCTTAGCGGGGTGATGGTGCGGTTCTGATTAATTTCGATAGTCTTTTCTCTTTCGTTCCCCGTATATTTTCTTCTCACCAGGTTTGCCGGTGCCTTTCGCCAGGACTGAGTTCTTTGGCTTGTCATTATAAATTTTATTGATGTTCTCGGGCTACTTTTTCTGCTTCTTTTTACATTGTATCAGTAGTTATGTCAACCATGTGAATGAATTAATGAACAAACAAAACGAGAACCATGTCTTTCAAAGAAGGGAAAAAAATCCCGAGAGATCCTTCCCAGGGCGCTAACTAAAGCACCCCCCATAGAGACCAAAAGACCATGAAGATCAGTGCATTCAGTTATCTGTCATTTCCCCACCCTCCTACTCCATAAGCTGAATGATCACCCTCAACGTTACTGGCACTGCTCTACATGCACATGTTGAGAAGTAGATTTGCCATGCCTTACTTCTGTATGCAAGCATGCGGTGTGTGCGACGGTCGATCATGCAAGCAAGCATGCTCCACCATACCTAATTGTAACTTATCTGCACTCAGCCAGACAGAGCTAGGGAACAGGAGGAAACAAACTTTGTTTTAGAAACGAATTCATGTTTATGCAAATGCCCCTCCCTCCCTCAGTGTCTTTCTCCGGAAACCTTGGCAGGCAGACAGACCCAGCTATTACCGCTTTACTTGTGAGCTCGTTTTATGTTATTTTTACTTTTGTTGAAAAAATGGTTTGCCCGCGGAGGGAGATAGGCTGCACATGTGGAGATAAGTGAGAGAACAGAGATGATATCGAATTCTTGGCCTCCCCGAGCTCGGGCCGGAAGAATTATACATATGCCCGGCCTCCGCCGCTGTTGCTGGCTACCCTCCGGCATCTCTCTATATGTACTTATGTACCTTCACCCAACAATACAGCTTTGTGACGGGGATTCCGTAACTCAAAGTTAAAGTTATGTACCATGACTGGAGCCGGACTCCAATTTCCGCCCCAGTACATGGAACGATAAGGGCGAGCTAGGCAAGTAAAACGGCCTTTCCTCAAGATCGCTTCATGAAATGATCTAACATGGTTCTTGTGGTCTGGGGCTTTTTTTTTTCCATGGGTAGGTAGAGATGGTGGTGGTCGTAGTGGTGGAGGCGGAGGGCTAAACACACCATCCATCCATCCCTCAGGCTGAAGGTGCGGTGCTGCAGGTTCCTGGTCGTGTCATTAGATACCGGCTTGTACGGCGGGAATGGGTGGTGGATCGTTTCTATTTCTGGGGCGGATGCTGCAGCCTGGGCATGGCATGGGAGTCATGCCAAGGGTCGGGTTTAATTGTTCTCTTCTGTCATATAAGTGAATACGCGCATTCTAGCTAGCTAGCATGTAATTAGGTAGCTAGCTGTGCAAAGATTAGATTCTGGTAATGATACCGACGGGTTGCAGTTTAGTTGCGGGTTGCATATTGGTTGGCCATTCTATGTCCAGATATCTGGATAGCTCGTTTAGCTCTATGGTCCGAATATTAATGTATATACCGGTAGGTATATATTCCGCCTTGTGTGGATTTGAATACGGACTAAATTGCCGGGGGCAGTCAAAACACTGCCATTTAGCCATCATGTCTCAGAGATGTGCAAATGATATTTTGGAAACATCAGCTTCGGCATATTAGTATCAGTAGGGATACTTATTTATGAGAGAGAGATGGTTCATGTGGCATACTTTATGCTACATAATCGATGACTGCTTCGTAAGTTAGCTGTGTATCAATATCTGAATATAGTGCTGACCAAATTGATACAAGCTTTTTTTGATGCCTGAGTTACAGGCCAGGTGCCTTATGTGATTAGAATGTATCTATAAGGAATCTGACTGGGGGAAATAAGAAAGCTTACTATCGGTACCGTCTTGTCGAAACACCTAAGTTGGTTGCGTCACAAGGTATCACTCTTCGGTGCTGGGAGTCGGCACACCCCCCCCCGGGCCTATGATTGATTGATTGATAATTCATTAATTGTATCTCCGGGCCTATGAAAAATATCATGGAAACTCCTTCCAACAATTCAGGTCCTCCGTTCTCCACAGCAACTTAAAACTTCCCTCTGATTTTCGTTAACCCTAACACCTTCATCAAACCTCTTACCTTCTCAAAAAGCAGGAGAGGGACACTCTTTTTAGTCTTCACAATAGAAGGCAGATGATTGGAACACATACATACAGTCTATGCCATGGCCACTTGTTATAATATGCTCCCATAAATCTCTGAGATAGGTATTTTGCAGCGAAAAGCTCATAGACATTCCTTCGTGCATTCGAATATTTTTTCCATAATCTGATACCACTATTCGATCCATCCGGTGATGCTATCTGAGTCCAGGCTTGTTTGTAATCAAAGAGAGGAGACTGTATGCGGGGTGCTCAAGCTTTTTTGTGATTTGCCTATTAGCCTTTGCCAGCAGCTGGGGCTTGGCTAATGGATTGTGAATCCGACCTGAGTGCAATATATTATTCTTATTGGAAAGTGTGAGTTGAATTTATTCTCCTTATCTTCGTAGTTCTGGGACTACAAGTAGATCTCTCTCATATCTTCGCAGACTGCAATTCATCAGTTTGAAATTTCCATGTACTAGCTGACATCGCTCACAAGCTGCTTACCTACCACACTACTCATCCTCCACAATTGCACAGTTGCATCTCTAGATGATTTCTATCACCTTGAATCCTTGCAGAGCAGGACTACTACTATTCGACCAGCGAGAAAGATGTTCAAATGGATTGATGGGAAGAAAGATGCAGCAGAAACAAACCTTGGAAAGAAAGAAGGAAAGATGGATGGAAAGTCGGACACAAAACTCAGTACAGTGGAGAGGTGGCTCTATATCAGCCACAAATGTTTAAAAGTACGCGCGTTGGCCTCTTAATGTTCATTTGGGTTCTGATAGAAGAGCAGAGAACAGTTGGTCCTGTCACGTGTAGCCGTGACCCTATCTGCCTTGACAGGAATACCCTGTGGTACTAGTTTATCGTCTCTACTTCTTCGTGGTCAATAAAGCCGTCGGACAGCCCCACCCCATCTACCCCTTTACCCCCACACTAATACATACATATATGCACACCCGTCTCAGTTTACATCAAGAGAGACATCAGGCTCTATTGAAGAATATCAGTAAAGTCATCTGGAGGGAAGCACAGAATCGGACTTACAAGCTAGGCCGCCACCGCACAAAAGATACAGGTCCAGCCCCAGCCCCAGCACATCACAAGTCGTAGAAGATGGACCGCAGAACCATCAGGGTATAAGCACCCTATTCTATCAGGCATTTGATATCGACAACCCGCTACTATGCGACCTTTAAGATCGATATGGAGACAAAGGTCAGACCCACGCGAGTCCCCGCGCAGATAGAGGCGGTGAAGTGGGACTTCAGTGCACTCCCTGGAAAGATTGGAAGCGGCAACGTTATCTATTGGTTAAAATGATACAGCAAACAAAATATCCATGAGAGAAATATTTCAAGCACCCTACAGAAAGAATCAAATCAACACAAGATCGTGGAAATGGAAACCAAGGGAGATTTGGATTATTTTTGCCCCGGTTCGAATGGGGTGTCTACTTTCCTCCCATTTCCTAATGTCGTTGGCTCTAGTCCAACTGTTAACGCAGTCTAAGCAATTTTCTAGGCTAGACTAGTCCAATAATTAATTGACTAAATATCGCATGATTGATTCTAGCTATTCTAGCGATGAATAGATCAAATTGCATAGCGTCACTTCAAGTTTCTAGGATTCGTTTTTGGATACAATCATGGCCCATGCTTTGGACACCCCGTTATACTACGCTGCTGATGATCACGCAATAATACCAATACCAATTATAGTCCTCGAGAGTAGCCGTTAGTCATGCCCTCAAGTGAGGAAGTTTGGTGGGGAAGGCCTCTAGTTGCGATTAATCTACTGCATAAACGGTTATCAAGTCTTGGGCTTTGCCAGTTTCCTAAGCTTGAGCTGGGTTCATTGATCATGGATAGATGAGCGATACATAAAAAAGCTCAAGCCACGAATCCACTTGTCAATTCATAGATGTACCGATCCACTCATGAATACTCGTGGACATGCCATATTCATTATTCAATCCAAAGATGTTTAAGAGAACGGGAAATTCGGGGTTTATTGACATTCATGAAAAATCACTCGGCCTCGCCGATATCACTCCCCTCCTCCGGAGTGGCTCGCTTTCTCGGTAATTGATAAAGGTACTTAGATCTAAATAGATGAAGTAAAAAGCAGCTATATAGAGGGAGTGGTGCCAAGTAAACGAGGGCGCCTGCTCGGTATCCCAGGCGCATTTTCGATATAAGGGGAATCCAAGAAGCTGAATTACCGAATAAGCGAGCTCAGACGGAGAAAAGGAACAGGAGGAATTGCACGGGGCCGTCAACAATATATCCGTGCTCACTGGAGAGAACACCGAACTCTTACTAGTCGGTCTCTACACCGCGGCACTGGGGGCGTTTGGTCGGACTTGTGACCTCCGCAGCGGAGATTCCTGCCCGTCGCGGATGCGAACAACGCGCTTATAATTACGCTTGGCAGCATTTTCCGCGGCCAAATTAGCGGAGAGTCCGGGTAATGTTATTTTTTCTAGCAAAAAGCCATGCTCATGTCAGATTGGTGTGATCAACCGAGATGTGTCAGATCCAGAGCGCTCGGACGCGGCGTTGAGGTTCTAGAAACCAACTTGATGTTGGACTTTTGCCGCGTTTGAGTTGGCTTCTAGAATGGGGATAGCAATTAAGCTTTGATGCTCACCGTTAGTTTCTTTCGGCCGGAGGAGGTTTACAGGCGGGCTGCCGGTGACGTGGGAAAAACAAGGAAACAAGGCATTTTCTGTTGAAATAACTAAGTATTGTTTCCTAATATAGAGGTACCAACTCCCTAGATAAGGGGTAGCCCATGGGAAAGGCTAGAGTACCTTTGCGGATCTTTCGGGAGACTGACAAATACCCAGGGATTAGGTCTAGCCACTAGCTAGTAGCCTCATGAAACGTTTTCTAGCGAGGAAGTCCTAGCTCCAGGCGAGTGATAGATTATGATTCCTCTCCAACCTCTCTCCTTACCTAGCTAGGTATCAATAATATTATGTAAGTTGACTCCCTCCGAGCCCATGGCCTGCTTTGCCTGCCAATAAGCGCGCAGTGGGGGTTCGAGGGCCGGTGAAGAAGATGTGAGGGAGTGAGTGGGGGAGGCACAGAATCAACAAGTCATTTCCGCATTGAGAACAATACCATCCGTCTCGGATGGCTGCGTAAGCCGACGGCACGAGTGAGATTATGTGAAAGAAACCCTCTCCCACCGCGTATAATATATGGCGACATCGTGTCACATCTATCCATACCAAAAAAACGATCCCCTCCCTTCCCCCTTTGCTGGGCCTAAGGACGCAAGGGTCCTAACCTTAATCCCCCCCCCCCCACTCAGGTAATTATATAAATATAATATAAACGAGCCTATTCATTGCTAATATAACAGGCAATAGACAAGGCAAGGGCAAGGTAACAAAAGCGTCCAGACCGGCCGCCTACGGCAGTTAGCTAGAGAAAGATCGAGATCATTAGCTTGGATGTACATACTTAGTAGCTCGGTGGGGTTGTCTATTCGAGTAGTTTCGAGCTTGACTACTCAAGAGCCAGTACGTTATCACTGAGACAAAGGGGGCCTAGAACTCGAGAACAAGGCTTGGCTTGGCCCGCCAGCAAACAAAACAGAGTAGAAGAATTGTTTATTTGTGGGCGCATCTAGGCCTTGCTGAATCCCAAGGTGGATACTAGCGCGCGGGTGGGGCTTCTCAACGTCCGGTGCACGTGGAGGGAGTGGAGTACGTGCAGTATTTATTTGCACTTTGGGCTTGGTCTGGCTAGTTGTTCGAAAAAACGAAATATTGCTTGTTACGATGAAAAGATGGCACCAAGTGATTGGTCATGACTTTGAATCCCATGTTCAGGGTCTAACTGAGATAATAGTAAAGATATGGTATAGTTCTGTTCAACATAGGAAATCCTAATGACCTAATTACGCCAGGTAAAGTACTTTCCCACATGAGGGGAAGGGGGGATAAGTATATACAGTAGAAATTATGAAAAATGCATCACAAAAGAAAAAGAACGCCGTAGAGGCACAATGCAAGCGGTCATGACATCTCCTCGTCCTCATCTTCCTCCTTTACCTCCTCGCCCATCCCATACACTGCCTCTCCAACCCTCAAATCCCACGCAGCGTCCGCACCACCCATATCCTCCAGCATGCTCTTCAGCAAATCCGTAACCTGCGCCCCACATTGTCCCTTCTGTTCCGCGGTCATGAAAAACCTCGATATCTCGGACGGCCTTGGCACCTCATCCCTACACCTCTCCCACATCGCATTCCAGCCCTTCAATAGCCCGCGCCTCGTGTCCGCCTCGCAGCCAACTGCGTCCTCGCACAGGCTGGAGTGTGGGTATGCTAACGTTCCAAATAGGCTCTCACCAGATCGCAGCGCCTCTACGCGTTCCACGTAGGCGCTCCAGCAGTTTGCGAAGGCATGGCGGACGGCGGGCGGGAGGAGGCGCTCATATTCGGGGTTTGACTGGTAGCGGGGGAGGTCATGGAGGATTGTTGTGAGGGCTTCGGAGTGGAGGGAGCGGGTTGCGGGGGTTGTTGGAGTGGTAAGTGCCTGCAGAGGGTGGAAAAGGGAGAGGGTGTGTAGATATGACTTGCAATGCGCAAGCAGGGAGGGAATGGTGTAGGTTGTGCTTAGATGGAGGAAGGTGGGGAGGTTTCTAGGAGTGAGACGGGGGAGGTTTCTATATATTTTTTTAGTATATGAATTTATATAAATAAAGCAAACATCAGATATTTAGATATAGGAACTTACCCGCACGAATAAACACAGTAAAACAGTAGCTCTACCGTCTTGACTCTATCATCAAGTGAAACCAGATACAGAATATCCTGCACCGGTTTCGATTTTGATTTCTGGCCCGGCTCACAGCCTTTCTTTGCTGTCCCAAGGTACTTCCACAAAGTCGATAATCGCCCTTTAGAGAGTGCCTTCTGCATTACAGCACTGTACTGCGACAGTAGGTGAGAGTGTACGCGGTAGGATCTGTCGCGGCAGCTTATTATTGTGTCGCCGTCCGAGAAGTAGAATACCCGCGATGGGTGCATTGGTATCGATTTTGAGGAATTTCGCATCTTTCTTTTCTTCTCGGTTTGGGTCTGAGTTGCTGTTGTGGTTGTTATGGTAGTTGTATATGTTGTTGTAATGGTAGCGGCCATTTTAGTTGATTATGTATTCGGATATGTAGCTCGGTAGATATCTCTTTCTGACCGAAGGGTTTGTGGATGTTTTGATTGCTTGTTAAGAGATAGAAAGAGGTAGACTAATAAATGCTAGTAAATTTGGATGACCGAGACTAGTGGTAGGTGATAGGGTTTAATAAAGAGATATCGATGGATAGTGTTTAACTTTAGGTGGTATAAAGAGATGGTAGTAAGCTTAAGTACTTATTTAGGGAGCGACTTTGACAACAACAATAGTAGCAGAAGAGAAATGCGAATGTAAGGAATGAGCAAACACTCTACCGGGTACCACTGCAAAGTTTATAAGCATCCTCCCTGTGAGAGTGGGGGGGAGGGGGCAGTGAGGGGCTAAGGTCTCGAATACCTGGTTTCTTTGTAAAAGTGAACGGAAAAGCAAAAAAAAAATAAAAAAATAAAAAATATAGTTAGATGTAACAGCGTCACAATGCGCATTAGGATAAAAAGTAGACATATGCAAACCACCTAGGTATGTGGTATGTGGCGTCAACTGAGATACGGATGCTACAGAGATGATCCAGAGCAAACTTACGGCGATGAGAGCCGAGAGGAAAGGGCGCTCGGGCCAGGGGGAAGACTGGGTAATTCACCCTTCATCTCAGCTTTGTATGTAGCTCCCAAAATAGGAAACCGACCTGTATCAGGTCGAGTTCGATCCAAAGATTTACTAGAGGTGACGTTGAGCAGTTGCGTGTAAGCCTGACAGGGGCAAAGATTAGAACTTTCCAGCCTCCAGGATACTGGTAAAAGGAAATGTTTTACAATCTGAACCACTGGACCTCTCTGTCTTGGAAGTGCTAGGTAGGTTGAACGCAACGACCGCTGCAACGCTTCAAAAATTTCAGAGAGGGGCCCAGGGGTCCAGGCCAAGGGTCGAGAAGCAGAAAGCCTAGCTCTGGTGGTCCGTGGGGAAAGGGTTTGCATTGACGTGGGAAAAACCGGAGGGGAAAAATAAACGAGAGTCTGGAAGCGAACTTCAGCAGAATCTGGCGAGTATTGAAATTTTCATTTCTGATGGTATTTTCTTTTGGGCCTCGCATTACTAGAGTAACTATTGGTTTTGTGACATCTGTATGGACAGGTTCAAATAATACTCTACATACCCAGCTAGGTAACTAGATCAGTTGGCGGAGAAATGATTTGAAAACGGCGATATCCAGGAATCCAGCCCCTCGTGGGCGGTGATGGGTAGGGCTCTAGATCGGTCCGAAGAGGAGGACTTTTTTCTTTCTTTGAGCCTTGTTACACATACCGCACTATCCACTGTCAAGCCGCATCGTGAGACAAACCTCCCCGCAAGAGTCGCATACACCGTATTCCGGGGGAGGGGTTTAAAAGCCTGGGCCCGAGTCTGGAGCGCGATCCCCAGCCAGTCCGAGTTCCATGTAGCCTTCTCTTCAACGGTATTACACTCTGCTATCGCGATAAACGCCATTGATCTGGGTTAAGCGATCCACGAAATGCGATGGGACTTTATTTTTTTCCTCCATGCCTCTCCATTGCTTTTTATTCCACACGAGGATCTCGGGCCGTCAAGAGCGCCCCTCGCCCCCTCTTCCTCCCTTTGTTGGGAGAGGCCACCAGCCACGTTTCGTTACCAGTGGAACGGGTATGCCTTTCTCTTGGCTGGCCGTGCTGCTTTGGGTAGAGTATTTGAGTAAAGCAGGTAAGGGCGTGAATTTACTGGCTTTCATCATTGGATGAGCGATAATAATTTGTTGCTGTTGTGTTGAGGTGGATAAGTATGGCGAGGCTACAAATAACCATTACAAACAAAGCGCTTCGCTCTGTACCTATCATGAAACGACGTCGAGGGGCAGAGATGAGGCCACGTTACTGCTCGAGTCAAGATCTTCTTGCTCGAGTCACTAGTTATGTAGGTAAGTATGTACGTGGTACAAATTCAGCTGAGCCAAGCTGTTGAAAGCCAGTCCGTAGCCAAATAATTGAAGGTGACAATAGTAACGTAATGTTGGTTAGAGTGTGTGCGTCGACAACGAGTGAGGTTGAGTTTTTCTCCCCCACGCCCATTATGATAACCACAACCAGATACATCCTACCTCATGTGTCAGTCAGTCACCACCGATCCAAGCAAACTTTGGATCGTGGCTTTCTCGCAGAACACTAAGAAAACGTCATTCCAGCCAATTAAGGTTATAGACCTAGACCGTGCATCGAGGGACAGGCCTAGGCTCTTTATCACCATGTCATCCTTGATTACTGTGCTGTCTTGGAGAATCTGATAACCACTTTTTACATTTCTATCGTCTATCGGGGCCAATCGCTTCTCTGACCGACATTGAAATTTGGTATGTAGGTACATGTAGGTATGTATTTACGTATCAATAACGTCGAGGACGCTCTATCTTGTCTGATCTCTTCCTTCATTCCTCAATGCCTGTCTGCCTTGGTATGATATTAATACAACATTTGCCTTAATCTGGCTGTATACTAATGACAATCCAGCCTAGGGAGTTCTCACAAGTAACTACAACGTATCGATTTATCTTGCCCGGAAAGTTCGAGACGACGATATTCATAATATTAGCGATTAATTTCTACATTTCAACGGCTCTGTACAAATATAAGTAACCAACCATGATCATCGGACAACCACCACTCCTTAATTTTCCTCGATAAGTGTTCGGCGCAAAGACCCCCTCCTCTTCCCGGGGAGGTAGAGCAAGAGCTGTTCCCTCTTTAGAATACCTATCCTCTACATACTTCTCGACCCGAGGGAAGAAGAAAATAAAATACAACTCCTCGATCCTTAACTTCCCTTATTAAACAAACAAGCAACACCGGGAAGGGGCCGGGACCATGTACCATCACAACTTGACTTGCAAGAGAATGGAAGTAACTATCCTTTCTTGTCTTGCTCTGCCCTATGCAACTGCCGGCAGCACCTGTCTAAAGTTGCTAGTATCACTCCCGGAACTGCTGCGTTCACGCGTAAATTTTCTCCTGGAAGTCTTCACCGGTCCTCAGGAGGAATATTGGGAGGGGAAAGGGGGACCACAACGAATCACCAGATATCACGCACAAACCTCATGACCCAAAAAGTGCATGGTCACCTGTTAACAACCTAAGAGCCTCCCTCATATCTTGTCCTTCCCACTACCATTTTGTTCAAAGTCTTCGAAGTCACGTTTCATGCTCTACACAGATAATAAATAGCAACCATATCCCCCCCCCCCCCCTTTAGAGCACACTCTAGCTTGCCGGAAAATCACGAGCTAGAGTTTCTGTTCCAAATGCGTATCTATGCAGCGCAGTACAAAGTAAGGCATCGAGTCACAATAGTCTCCTCTTCGGCGAGAGCTTGAGAACGAACCAGATGCTGAGGATATCTAGCTGAAAAGGAACAACAACAACCGGGAGTGTCCCTGTGTAGCCATAAATAAACAAGAATTGGACCCCTCGCTTAATCCGCAGATCTCGGATGGCGTGTTGATAGGGGACGGGCGGACCCTGCAGTACAATAACCAGCTAGGGGACGTTATTTGCCTACCTACTCCACCTCTATGAAAACTAGATGTACCTAGGCATCTATAGTGTACATATTTCTGCATGAGCCGCTGAGTGCAAGGTGCCGAGGATATCGGGTATCTCAGCGGTCATGTATGCATTTGTGTACCATTATGTAGAACGTACCTCCATTGTATTGTACGTACTTGCACATGGACTAAGGGTAATTTCGGTCTGACAAACCGGGCGGAGCGTTCGTGGGAGAAGGGATGTTCTCCCCGGAGTACGCGAATTTATCGGTAATTCGGTATGTCTGCTGGCGCCTCATCTGCAGCACACCGGGAATGCCGAAACCTAGCATCCTAGCAACGGGCGATATCGAGTGACAAACTATGATTCAACATGTGTTTTTCTTTCTCCACCTTGAAATCAACAAACTTCTCAAAGCCTTTGTGGAAGGATTGATTGTACACCCCACTTTCGCAAAGTACCTCGGTTTTTTATTCCAACAGACAACGTGTAGCATTGGCTGTTTTACTTTGATACTCGATATATGTTGCGAGTGAGAAGACATGTTCGAAAATCAGCAGTTACCAACGGCCTCCAAATATGGTCCCGATAGATTAATAGCTCGAGCTGTATCTATAGATCACTTGCAAAGCTAAATCGATCGTTCCAGACCCGCCCTTGTCCAGGAATCTAGGCCTCTTTCATCGCCATGGATTCGGGCCGTTTGGCAACCGTGGGGCCGGAAAAGCGGGATTGAGAAGAGAGAGGGTTGGGGAGTGTACTGCAAGGGTGTGAAGGATCCCAATGATCTGCATTGCTGCCGACATCATCATGCCTGTTTATCCACATGGTGTCTCTCGCCGTTCTTTGTTGTCTTAGGGGACGAGTAGTAAGGTTGCCATGTGGGATATAGAGTAGATGAGTGGAAGATAGAGTTATGACCTTGGGCTTGACACTTGGATGAATTCGACATCGAGAACAAGAACGTGTGAAGACCGTTGCCAAGCCGGGATAGCTACATCGGGCCCGCTTATTGTTTTTTGTGGGGGATTGGTCGTCGGTATGATGGCCAACAGTGCTAGTAGTGACTGGAGTACTAGTCGCGAAAAAATATGAGTGATAGGAATTCGTGAGTTGATTTAGCTCGTTTATTAGCTGCCATGGCCTGGGGCGAGAAGAGATATGCAGTCGTTATATCTGAAAAGATTTTGGTTCGGTATGGCACTTAAAGGGGAGGGGGGTGAGGAGAGAGAAAGGGGGACGAACGAAACCCCAAACATCCTGTGATATCTCCTATTTGGGTTTCACGAGGCCTCTTGAGCTTCAACCATTCGTGAATGAGTGAGTGAACAAAACGATTGCAGTAATATCCGACCAGACCCGCGGTCGTCCGCTTTGCGCTGCCTTTGTCCAATCCCACACTTACTTGCTTTGCCTCGCCCGTCCATCCCATTTGCCTGCCACGTCCGCGCTCCCGTCACAGCTACATGTATGTGGGATGATAACTGCCGTGACCATATTCCTGCTCCACCTCTCTCTCCATCGTCTTCCTCCTCGGGTGGTTTCCTTGCACCCGCTTTACCTGCTGCTGCTCTGCTCTCCAACACCTGCTCTCCAACGCACGCGAGAGTTGGTGTTTACCTATTCCTCCTCCCTTCCCGGTCCTCCATTCCGGCCTTTCCCTAACACCTCCCCTAAAAATCGCCAGGGAATAAGGAGACTAGAGCCAAGCAACCGAGTAACCGCGAAAATAATATCTTTGGGCCTGTGTCTAGTGTGATCACACCTCTTCGTCTCGTTCATTCATAGTTTTGGCTTCCCCTCCCCGGAAGCTTGGGGCGACAAAAAAAATCCTGTTTCTTATTTCTCTCTTTCTCTCGTTCTCTCTTCCTCGAGTGGGGGCTCCATCATACATACATACATACATAACATACATACTTCATACATACATTCGTACATACATTCGTTTATCCATTCAGTCATTCATTCAAACAGACAGCTACACAAGTGACAGCCATCAAAATCAAGGCCGCTGCTGCAGACAGACAGACCAGACAGAGCAAGAGAAAGGAAGATCAGAGAGATCGAGGGGGCAGAGGAGAGATTGTGTATCCACGGGACGCAAAGAGAGATTGAGCAGCAACAGTCGTGGACAGAACAGAGGTGGACAAACTGAGAAAAAGCTGAGCAGTTAAACTCCCCTGGATCAAGACACGGCAACCTCTTGGTCGACGACCCGCTGTGACAGATATCGCATATCGCTGTACCGATTCGCACGATTGACTGAGAGGAAAAAAGGTTTCTGCGTCTTGGGGTTAGGAGGGAAAGCGGAAACTGATATATATATAAATATATCTCAGGGTAGAGGTATATATACCTATATATATACATATACATAGGACGCCGAAGATTACAACTCGACGCCCATCTCTTCCTTTTTTTTTTTTTTAATTTATAATTTATCTGAGCAGCACCAGCATCAGTGAGCAGCTGAGGTTGTTGATCAAGCGACCGCCTTGCATCACGGTACTCTGTTTTCGCGGTCCTCAGTAAACTTTCACTGCCGGAGAGTTCCTAGAATACATACCTACGAGGGTCCGAATCATCTAGGGGCACCAAAGAAGTCCCCATCCCCCCTACCTAACTATATACTACCTACTCTACCTAAACCCCCCCCCCCCCCCCCCAAAACTCTTATTACGGCCGCAAGATCTCCCGATCCATTATTATTCACACATCACATCAAACCACACACGTACCTACCTACTTCTGTACTTATAGTAGTCGTACCGTCTACTACATACTTTACCTGTCCGCTTCCCCGCCAGTGCCCACTAAGCCTCCGTGATCCTCCAAGGGTCCACCCCTGGTTCCCACCCGCCCTCCATCAAAAACGGAATTGGGTTGTTATTTGCGACAGAACTTAGTTAGCAGCACAAGCAGTTGAAAAACAATATCCCAAGATGATTACGGCCGCAGGTGCCGGTGCTTCCTTCGTCGCCGTTCCTTCAAAGAGACTGAAGCCAAAAACTCCCAGATCGCCTCGAAACACCACAGTGAGTTCTGCCCCAGGTTCTCGATCCAATAGCCAGCAATCTCGAATACGATCTCCATCGTCTCCTCCACATCCACAAGAAGCAGCAGCCCCTAGCACCCTCGGCACAACTCCCAGTTTCCAGTCTTTCCTGTTCTCCTCCAGAAGCTCTCAGTCACCCTCTTCCGAGCCTGCCGTACCAATCCCCCACCATCATCTACCTATCTACGAAGAATCCGACAACTCAAGGAGCTTCTTGGAAGAGGATTTCTTTGGACTGCACCCGCTTGCGGCGCAAACAATCGAGGATCAGGATCACGAACCCCCCTCACCAAAGTCATTTTACAGCGCGGACACTACTAGCACAACAAGCACAACAAGCACCACCAAAGCCGGAGGTCGATCTTCCGAAGATTCCACAGTGTTTATCACACACCTTCAGCATCCACCTCCCCGCAAGACTGCCCGAAAACTACAGCGGCCGAGACCGAGCAGTCCCCCGTCAGCTTCCTCGCAGACCAGTCTCTCGTTTATATCTCCCGGTACCTCTCCGACCGGGTTAGGAATCAGCCCCTTCGCAAATTACACAGGCGGTCATCTATCTGGTCATTCCATAACTGGCTCACAATCGCAATATGGTGAGAATTATACAGGTCTAAAAGATTTTGAAAATGTGCGTGCTTTTTTCTCTATCGTTGACGTCAGCATGCCTATATTTATGTGTCGGAGGTCCTATATCCTCGTTAATGCATGATCACCGGAAAGCTGACATTCTCCTATCCTTTGAATCTTTTCTTGTGCAATGTAGATGTCATCAAACAATTCCACACGCGACATCTGTATCGCCGTTGTAGGGGCACGGGGCGTAGGAAAAAGTACCTTCATTCAAAAAGCCTATGACCTGAAATCTCCATCTACCAAGGATATGGTATCTTGCAAGTTTATGACCGTTGAGCGGTCGCAGTGTAATGTCATACTGGTCGAGCTAGATTGGGCGAAACTCGATTTCGGGTCTCAGCCGTTGGTTTGGCCGCGGGTGGGTTTTCTGAATTTCTGCCGGCTGCCCTATGGGGCCGAATCGCATAATCATTGGGAGGTTCCTTTTCGCTGATGGTAAAACTAGATGGCGGCAGATGGCCAGAGACTACCATTCGTTGACGGCGTACTTATTCTATACGACGTGACCAACCAGGAAAGTATTTCAAAACTGTCCGAATCTCTCGGTGAGTGAAGGCCTCCAGCTGTCATCCGCCTGACCTACTGCCCTTTCTTACTCTTGCGGATCCCCACTTCATTTCCCTCTCGACTTTCTATCATAGGTATTGTTTCCTCGCTGATCATGGTTTTGAATAAATTAGATGCTCTCGCAAGGGCTCTTCTCCCGGCCCTGGTGGTCTCGTGCAAATGCGACGCACCGCAGCGCCAGCTTAACCCCAGCAATATCGAGAATTTGGGAGCAGTTGGCGGATATGAGACAATGCAAACTTCGATTGCTTCACCTGATTCCCAAAAGAAATGCTTGAATGTAATCTTGAACATGATCGTCAAGAAAAATGGTTTGTGCGCTCCTTTCTATTTTTTTGGTTTTTGCGGTTCATCAAGACATTATTTTGCGGCTTTGTTGCTTTGGTTTCGCCGGTCTTTACTGTTGCCCTTTTGTGGTTACGGTAAAATTGGATACCGATCCCCTCCAAAGCCCAATAAGGATAATCGGCGTCTGCAGGATGTGTTTATGTTTTTGTTGATGTTTCGGTTGCGAGTACCACTTTCCCTATCAGATACAGTACTGTATCTATTTTCCGTCACCTCGCTCCTGCCAGAATGCAAGTGCGGGAAAAAGGATAGAGTACCGTGCTGGGACCGTCAATCATATCTCTCCTGTCGCTTGACTGGGATGATGATGATTTTGTCTTTTGTACTTGACAGCCGCAACTTTGCGTTCTTTTCATTCCATTCACAGTGCCAGCACACCCTCTTGTCTTCAGGATTCATAGATTTGTCAAAGACCAGAGAACAAGTATACTTGTTTATGGGCTTTGCAAACTTCACGATTTCCATCCTATCTATCCTTCCACCCATCTCGTTTTTGACTTTGACAGCGTATATATTGAGTGACATTTCTTATTATCTGCCAAATGCTAATAATTTGGTCTGCGGCTCCAGAGAAGAGTGCGCGACATTTGAATGGTCGGCGACGTGCGAATTCGTCTGCGACGAACAATAGTCGAACGACATCTCCGAGGCCATCAACCGGTCGGAGCGGACATAGTCGCGCAAGCTCCGAATTCTCGACAACATACCTAAAGGACGGCTCAGAGAGCTCATCACATGGACATTCAAGATTGACGAGGTCGCCAATCAACCCTGCGCTGGGAACGCTAGCACTCAATAGTTCAACTTCTTTATCTAGCGGGCAGCTTTTTGATACAAGACCTCAGAGGGTTTCCGGTGGGGCGACGCCACAAATAACACTTTCTTCAACTGGAGCGCCATATCTGGAGGTTGTATCGGATAGTCCGTTCAGCATGACACAACAGAATCTTGGAACGCAAAGTCTGCGTTCCAACTCTATGTCTTATCAAGATTCAGATCGGGCTCGAGGTTCATCATTCCTAGATATGGACGACGAAGATACGGTCAAGGATCCGGATGATATACCGCTACTTGATCGTGAAAGTGGGGTGGATGAGTTTGATGATGGGGACAAACCGGCACAGAGCAGGGGTTACACATGGGACGAGCTGGTTGATAGGTTACTCCGGCAAACAATGTCTCGGGGCGATCAGGACTTCGCAAAGATCTTTTTGTGCTTTTTTCGAAAATTCGCACCTCCGCGAGACCTTCTCAATTCGATATTGGACCGATTTGATCAGGCTAATTCCGATCCGATAGCTTTGCATCGGATTTCGGCCCAGCTGCGGTACTGCACCATTTTATGTCAATGGGTCACGTCGCACCCGGGAGATTTTGCACACCCAAAAACACGGCAGAGGTTGATGAGTTTCTTGAATGTGATTATGGGGAACAGGGGCTTGGCGTTGTTGGCAACTGAGATGAGGAAGACGCTAGCGCAAGGACATGAGGATGATGATAGTATATGGGCGATTTCAGACTCTGACACCGAGAGGCGAGATAGTCTGAGGAGTTTCTTGACAACCCATTCAGTATCACAAGATAGTGTAACAACCACAGACGGGTACAGCGGTATCCGCGCTGCCTCAGATGGAGCGCTCAATGTCCCTACAGAAGCAGACTTCAACAGAAGAAGAGCATCCGAAGTTCCCACAATGTCGACAGTCAACACAGCCTCGTCACAATCGTTGCTGCGGGGAGAAGGGTTTATCTCATCGATGACACCTTGGAACTCACAATATGATTTATTCATGGGAATACCGGACGAAGATATCGCATATGAATTGACAAGGATGGACTGGCAGGAGTTCTCAAAAATCAAGCCAAGAGACCTAGTGCGTCATGTCAGCATCCCAGCAGATCAGAAAGACAAGTATCCGAGCTTGAGACATGTCAATCAGTTGATCAGCCACTTCAACCACGTTGCGTACTGGGTGGCTAGTGTAATACTCGAAAAGCCAAAACCGAAACACAGGGCAAAAGCTCTGGAGAAATTCATGTCCGTCGCTTGGGTAAGTAAACGTGTCAACATATTACATATTTCAGTACAGAGAACTGATCGCGCCGCAGTCACTTAGGCACATGAATAACTACAATGCTCTTGGGGCTGTTATAGCTGGCATAAATGGCACTGCGGTTCATCGGCTAAGTATCACGAGGGATCTCGTGAACCAGCAGGCGGGTAGGAATTTCATGAGGCTGGAGCTATTGATGGGGACGCATATGAGCCATGCTAAATATCGACTGGCATGGGAAAACACTTCAACACAGCGGGTTCCATTCCTTCCGCTGCATAGAAGAGACTTGGTATCTGCAGAGGAGGGAAATAGAACATTTCTCCAGGATGGGGAAAAGATAAACTGGAATAAGTTCCAGGTCATGGGAGACGTCTTGATGATCATTGATAAGAGCCAAGCAACTCCTTATCATGACTTAGTCAGGAACCAGTTGGTGGAGAAACTGATTAGGGATGCTGTGTCGAGTATGAATGATGATGTATGTTTCTCGGGTTTATGTACCTGCGCCTTCATTTGCATGTAACCGGAATTCAAGAACTAACACTCTCCAGGGGCTTTATGAAAGGAGTCTCCAGCTCGAGAATAAAGGAGCCAAGGAGAAAATTAGGGGAAGATTTTGGCCGTGAATCGTGCTACGGAACAGGTTAAAAGATAACCGATATGTTAAAAAGTGAGCGAAGGTACTTCGTCATGATCATCACTCTCATACTTGAGTCGCATACCCTAACTCGGAGGTTTGGCAGTTTTTATTGTTTTCGACCTGCTTTCCGGATTTACGGCGTTTTTTGACTGATCATTTTGAATTATTTTGGGAAATGTTTGGGTTTTTATTTTCTTTTCTTTTATGCTCGCTAACGAATCACGGCATATTCACTTATTTTGTTTGTATTTTGAGGGCGAGCGTTCATGACTGAATTTTGTTTCAGGGAGGTCTTGAGTTTTCATGTCATTATTCTGCATACGGGGCATTTCTTGTTAGCTTCTTCTTAACCGCCTTATCCTTCTTACTTTATGCCTTCCCCCGCGATTTTCTAAGTCTTGATAGCAACGGCGTTTGGGGGATGCATTCTTTTTTGGTTTCTATTTTTTGGATGCATGGTTTGGTCGAGCGTTACCTAGCGATTGACGGAGGAGATAAGACTTCTGCTCACAAAACAAAGAAACCATCTTTCCCCAAGGCCTAGACCTCCTTCGCCATTCTTGGGCTGACACAAAAACAGTGGAATATTTTCGCACAATAGTTGTATTCTGTCAACCCCATGAAGTTAGGCGATTTTGACTCCTGCTATCACGTCTTATCACTCGCTAGATAATCGAGTGATATATAATGAAGCTGAACACGTATTTCCTGGCATTTCCTGAAGACAAAGGGTATTAGAATGTGACCACTATACGTAGATATAAAGTGCTGTATTTATCTCACTGTTTGACAATGCTACCTCTACAGTAAAGGGCCTGACTACATGTAGGTATTGGGTTAAATAATTAAAAGAGTTCTCCATAGCACGAACCACACTCTTGGCACCGACATGAAGTGACCGCCAGACGAAGGGTTTCTAAATGTCTTCCTAAAGCCGTTTCGGTTGGAATTTATAGTAAGAATACTATGATAGATATAAATACGATCTGATTATCCCATCGTCCCGTCAGTGAAATGCTGACCCCCCAGAAGCAAATTTTGTGTGGCTTTCCTATCAAATAATAGCTCTCCCCATACAAATTTAATTCCTCTATTATAGGGGTGTCGGCTTTAACGGACCATGGGATAGCATAGAGTGGGCGGGCCTGGGCATGATAGCACATAGCGAGCAGTCCAGGTTTTACCGGCATGCGTAGAATAGTACCTGGCCATCGGGCCGAATAGTATTATCATCTGGAGCACTGATGAATACTACTGCTCAAGGTCCAACATAAGGACGCACCCAAACCCGATATTTCTACCGAGTGATACGTTATGATCAGAATAGATTGAGCTCATCGACATGAGCTCTCGCAATGCGAGGAGCTATGACTCTAGACAATCAGTGATGATGATTGGCCCCGCCTGTATGGTCAATGCCAGTGTCGATATCAGTAGAGGTACCGATTAACACCTATGTACAGATGGAAATAGAGGTTATTAACATGGCACTCTCCTACTGGGTCGATTGAATTTGGGAAAATAGCCATCCACTCTCCTCCCCGCCTGTCAAGCCAGATATAAACCACGGACTTACATACTTTTGAACCATCGTGTCTCCATTTTCATCACCAAATTCCGGCATTGCAAAGAAAATAAAAACACCAACACTCAGTCTACTTTACAATGAAAAGAAAAAAAAAAAAGGGAAAAGGAAAGCTTCCATTCATACTCATCAACCCCCCCCCCCCCCCCTCCCTTTCTCCCTTACACACAACACATGCTCTCATAGCCAAGGTCAAAGGATTCTCTCCTCATTGAAAATTTCTCGGTATGTGAGTAGATGATCAGACAGCCAACCCTTATTAATAATAGAACACAAAGAAAAGCACAGCATCAAACAACCTGATAGTAGAAAAAAGATGAACCAGATCGAAATAAAAGGAAGAAAACCAAAACCGCAAGTATAAAAAATACACACCACTGCACTTTTTTCAATGCATATATCCGTTTAAAACCTGTACTTGTCTTTCTTCCTCTTCGCGTTCTCCTCATCTCTCTTCTGCCTCTTCCTACTCTCTGCTGCGATCATGTCACTCAAGTCCTCCTGGAACCCTTGACTTTCCCTTCTTTGGGCTTCCTGCTGCGCTTCGTATTGTGCCTTTACAGCTTCACTGCTCAGGCCGTCCGAGTTTTCAAGCTCGCTAGGATCCAATGTTACCTCAATGTCACCAGGTTTCTTGCGCTGTACGTGTTGATTAGTAAATGGCCTTAAAATAGCTGGGGGCGGAGAAACAAACCTTTCGGTCTTCTTGTCCTAGCACGGGTAGATCTGTGCGAGTCGCCTTTGAGATATCATAAGCGCGCTCCCCTCCGAAGAAACCCTTGGCACGGATGTTTTGTTCAGGCAGCACAGTGTAAAGACTCTTCTGAACCGTGTCTTCCTCTGTCTCTGTTCCGTCCCTCCTCTTCCGCAGCTCAAACCCACCATCAACAGGCTCGAATTCGCTGGGTACGGCTGAGACCATCCCGGAGGGTGTATCCATTCCACTCGGGGTTGTGAGACCCTCTGTAAATTCCTCATCACCCTCTTCCTCCTCTTCATCATCCTCTTCCTCCTCTGAAGAGGAGCCATCTTCCTCTGGTACCAACTCGCCCCACAATGTCTTCTCTACAGGTTCACCTGTTTGCGTGGGCGCTTGTGCCTGCAGGACACCAAACACATCTCCATAGAGTGGACGGTTGTATTCGTCCGTGGGCGGTTTTCCATAACCACCTGGGTGGAAACCCCACTGTGCGCCTGCTGGGATCGGGGCGTTCAGACCTGGAATCTTCAAGCTCGGATAGCTAGGCGGGGGTCCAAACCGCTGCATGTTAATAAGCCATGGTGGCGGAGCGCCTGGGGGTATGTTCAGTGCCTCCTTCAGTTCCTCACTTAGTTCGCCGGGCCGTCTATCCTTGAGATTGGTCTCGTATTCCTTCCCTTCGTAATAAATCTCCCCATACATCGTCAATGGTGGTTTCGTCTGGAATCTAAAGAACGCATCATGAAGCTTCTGGTAGTCGATATCTAATTTTCCCATCTTTGGCTGAACACGTTCCCGAATCTTAGATTTTAATGTTTGAGCTTCTTCCTTTTCCTTCACTGAGTCTCGCATCTCCATGATACCTGTGTCCCTAATAAACTTCGGTAATTCAAAGGGGGGTTTCTCCATTCCTCGCTTTGACGAAAGATATTCGCGTTTGAGTGACCAGTGATTAGGTACGGGTACGCAATTGCGGTACGATTTAAGATGAACGAGGAGGCGGGGGTCTTGGGCCGAGGTATCGGTCCATTCCACTGTTTCGGGACGTTTAACGAGTGCCTGGGAGCATGTGTCAGTACTGTTTGAATTCTGCCCCCTTCCCTTTTCTTATTCTCGTTGACTCAAAACATGTGATGTAAATGCTGAATTCGCCACCAAAAACGCTGGATCTTGCTTCCGCTTGCTTTATGGATATCTGCAGCATCCCCGACTCGTCAAGCAGAGATATCACGGTGCGTTACACAGACAGAGCTCTTCCTAGCCAAAGCCAGAGAGGGTTTCATGACTTTGGGGGAGGGTGGAGTTTAAGAGTCTGCGCATCTTCCGAGATATGTAGAGGGTAGAAACGGGAGGATAAGACAACGCACCTTGAGCTCGGCAACACTGAGCTTGTCTCTGGCCTTTCGCGCCTTTTTCGAGAGCTTCGGAACATCAGGATTCTCTTCAGGTTCGTCAGGTATCATGTCGTCTTCAAGGCCCATGATCTCGCCTTTGTCCTCAATCGCTTTGGCATCCTATAATTTGGATTAGTTTAGAGATAGATATCAGTTATGCGTGAGAAGGGCACAAACATCGACAGCGTTAAATTTCTGGAGAATCCTTTGGTACTCGGCGAAGTTCGGGTCGCTCTCGTCTAATTCCAAATCGCTGCTCTTGAAGTCAGGAGTGCTCTCCGGGACAAGATTAAGCCGCACATTCGAAGAGACTGCAACCGATTCCTGAACGGCCATTAGCCAATTATAATTAAAGCAAAGCAAAGCAAAAGAAAGTAAACTCTCGAAAAAAGAGTCGCAAAGAACACCTCATTGGTTTATACATACAGATTCACTCTCAGATTCTGTGACTACACTCCCTTCCCGCTCCTGTGCCTTCCTTTGCTTCTTCTTCTCGCGTCGGAGCTGGTTCTTCCCCTTCTTTACAGCCTTACCCGTACTGGTTGTGGTTATGGGGGTGTTGCTAATCGCGGTAGGCTTTTCTGTGCCATTGACAACCACGGCGGTTTTCGCGTCAGACGGAATCGCTTGAGGGGGGGGAACTGGTTCCATAGCGGCGACCATGTCGGGCTATCTTACTCCAGAAAAGAGTCACGGGGCGATATTATTGGAAAAGTGGCGATTGTTTGAATGAGTGACAGGCGGTAGTGGTGTGCTTGATTGACTTAGCTGGGCCGGAATATTGTTGAAGGAGGTGGGTGGGTTTCGCGACGTATTATTCATGGGGTGTGGAGAGAATGATGTTGCAGGGGGGGTTACCCGGCCAGCTCACCTAACTAAAGTATAATCATGTATATCTAGGCTTAATCTGGGTTAGGTTATGGGATGTTTCGAGTTCGAGATTGGAGCTCTTCTCCTATTAACGACACGTCTCTTTCTCTATTCTTGTACCTACACGCTCTCTCAGCCCTCACCCTCCACCAGCATCCACAGACTCTCACACTCCTTTCGCTATTTACTTCACGCTATTTATTTATATTATAACTTTGACTCTCATTCTTAACAGTCTCCTGCAATGGCCCCAATACCAAAAGACAAATATTCCGTCATTCTCCCCACTTATAATGAGCGCAAGAACCTCCCCGTCATAACCTGGCTCTTGGAAAAGACATTTACAGAACAGTAATACTCCACCCCACCTAACACAAAAGCACGGACATTAATATCTACTCCTCACCTACAGCAAGCTCGACTGGGAACTCATTATTGTTGACGATGGCTCCCCCGACGGAACCCAAGAGGTCGCGAAACAACTTATCACTGCTTACGGCCCCAACCGCATCGTCCTCAAACCGCGCGCCGGAAAGCTCGGTCTCGGAACTGCGTATGTTCACGGGCTTCAGTTTGTGACTGGGAATTTTGTTATCATCATGGACGCCGATTTCTCCCATCATGTAATGCCCCCTTTTTCGAGACTCCGGTAATGCATGTAGTAACCCTTACTAATATGGCGCGCGCAACACAGCCGAAGTTCATCGCAGAATTCATTGCGAAGCAAAAAACAAAGAATTATGACATCGTAACCGGGACGCGCTACGCGGGTGATGGTGGCGTCTACGGTTGGGACTTCAAGCGCAAGCTGGTTTCGCGGGGTGCGAACCTGTTGGCGTCTGTAGTACTACGACCCAATGTCAGCGATCTCACTGGAAGCTTCAGGTTGTATAAGAAGCATGTTCTGGAGAAGGTCATCCAAACCACGGAGAGTAAGGGATACACGTTTCAAATGGAAATGATGGTCCGGTAAGTTCAAATCTACCCCCGCTTATAGCCTCGAAGGCAGTGAGTATTTGCTAATGAGTGGTGCGTTTAGTGCGAGAGCGCTTGGGTACTCGGTTGCGGAGGTACCGATTAGCTTCGTAGATCGTATTTACGGAGATAGTAAGTTGGGCGGTGATGAGATTGTCGAATATGCGAAGGGTGTATTCAACCTATGGCTTAAGGTATAAATTTGACTTGGAAATGGAGTGACGGACGTAGTGTGTAAAATGATCTGATATTGTATGCCGTAATCATGTTTTTGCTGAGAATTTCCATCATTTCCATGTGTGTATTTTATGCCATTAACGAATACGGCGAGTCCCAGGTTAACTATGGCCTTTCCTTAGTGTCGCCGGGGGTTGATGGGCTTGTGCATGAAACTGGGGCGAAAAGAAAAATCATGCAATTTCTAGGCTTCAAAAGTGCTATCAAGAGCGTGCACATGTACCTACAAGAGATCTCCTTATCTTCCGGTCATTTCATCTCGTACCCAGATCCTGACCTTTCTATGTATACCTGGCCACGGTAGAACCCCAGACGGGGCCACTTTATGAGGCCGTACCCGGAGCGTCATTTTGAGGTCTAACACCGAGTGATTTTTCATGAAGTGTTTCACATGATGTCACCAATTCGGGATTAATTATACTCTCTAAGTTTCCTGTCTACGTATACCAAGTAACTAATTATATCTCCCTTGTGAGGTGTCGATTGCAATAGTTACTCTTGAAACCATAGTTTTAGTTTAGTAAAATCCAGAAAGCCGATTAATTATCTGGAGATCAAAAGCATCTAACAGAAACAACGGAGCTGAGGGCCCCCAAGCCCCGTTATAATCACAACCCTGTCTTGAGAAAACAATTATGTTTGGCGTGCATATAAAACAACGTTGAGGGTCTCTAACAGCGAGATAGAACGTATATATAAAAGCCTAATTAAAAAAGGGGGAGGTGTTGAAACCATATAGTTTTCAGCCCCAAGGCCCCAGCCCCGAGAACTGTTTTGGCCTCAAATGTTACCAAACGGGCCAGGCAACTCTGGCTTACTCTTCTCTCCGTTTACAATACACTAACGGAGGTAGAGCAGAGCGGGTTTTGTAATATGGGCCCACTCCCAAATGGGCCTTTAAATTTATAAAGTTACCATCTTACTAAAAGCAGGCCTAGGGGCTGTGGAGCAATTGGCGAGATATAACAGAAAGTGTATACATGTATTATTATATCTAGCGTAGCTATCTGCCTGGAATTTTGGTATGATCCGCAGGCGCCTCGAGTACTCTAGAGTAGAGAAGGAATAGGTGCATTAGGTTGTCTCTGCTCCACAAGGGACCTGTCTTTGACTACCCCTAATTATATTAACTATATATGTCTCGGGGTTCTCACGATGTACTTACGTACCCGCATGCAACTTTTGCTTCTAATTCGTACATATTCTCAAGAATTCATGCAAAATTAAGCTCTATCGAAAAACCTCGAGTTCACTTGAGATGAGTGGGATTTTATTTTATTTTATTATTTAGTTTATTAATTGCGATGAGTAGGATGTAATGTATCGACTTGAACACACCTTGTATGATGTATGCATCTAAATGTCTCCAGGCATATAAACTGAGATGAGGTATGAGGAACCGGTCTCTGCCTTGTGAAACATATTAATATTATTTTTGTCATTCACCCTGGCCCACTGCACCCGAGTGCTTTTATTCTAGAATATTATGATCGCATAAATCTCTTTATTCTACAATGCTAACAGACTACATGTATTTAGTCTTCATTTTGAACCAATTAACCAAAGTAAATTACAAAGCAGTTAATGGTAGGGATCGCTCGTGGCCTCGTCGGTACAGATCATGAGTGGGCACAACCCACGAGTGATAGCTTATGAACATGGCACCGCCACATACCTGCCACATTTTTGAACGCCACACCAAAACCTTCAATCCCACTTCTTTGGAATAATCCTCATATCCCCCACCAAAAAAAAGCCCATCCGCGCACGAGCAACAAACCCATCGCAATGTCAACCACCGCCCTCCGACCACTCCTCCGAGTCCCCACCTCAACTCCCTTCCAAGCACTCCGCCTTCTCCCCACACAATCCCGCAATGCTCGTCTCCTTCAACGCCCCAAGCGCCCCCACCTCCTCGACCAGATCGTGATACTCTCCGACGGATCATCATACAAGCAGCTGACCACCAGTCCCAAGGGTGTCATCCGTACGACAAAAGATGTACGCAATCACCCGATCTGGAATGCGAGTGATGCGCTGTTGGCGGGACTGGAAGAGGATGAGGCAGGAAAGTTGAAGGCTTTCAGGTTGAGGTATGGGCGTGGATTCGATATCGACGAGGAGGGAACCGAGGAGGACGATAATTTGATGGATCTGTTTTCGTCAATTACGGAGGAGCCGCCGAAACCAGCGCAGGTGGCCGCGGCACCGAAGGGAAAGGGCAAGAAGGGGAAGAAATAAGGACTTCGATTTGAAGGCTCTAGGGATGACATGTGTATATTGGCTGGGCTGTGTATAAACCACTGGGTCATTGTGGTGTTTTAAATTTGTGGTGTTTTAAATTTCTGGCGCATTCATCACCTGTATAAACAAAAGAAGACGGTTTCCATACTGAAGCTGGATCAGTTAATTGGACTACATATTCTGAATTTCCTTACACCCTATCATTGGCCTGAAGTATCATATTCTGTAGACAAGGGTCCTTGATCATTGAAGCTTGAAGAATCCGAGTAAATATGGAGTGATATTACTACCAACGGCCGCCAATTGATACGGTCTCTATAGAGTAAAATGGAATGAAAACGCGAAGTGATAGGAGATCTAGAGACCACTTAGTATAAGTACATATAGGTATATATGAAGCTCTGGCGTGCCATGTTACAGCTCTTTTAACGTATAGAGTACATGCGCCTTAGGTTATTCCCGCTACTTCAGTTTATGCTTAATAATAATCCTGAGACTTGGACTTTTCAGTACTATGAGCAGTGTAACTGAATTAAGTACATCACGTACTTGTATGTGCCTCTACTGGGTTATAAAACCCAGTATGGCTCGTGCTTGCTTTGATATTGGTTGTTTTCTTTCTAAATGCCAGTAAATTTTTTCTTGAATTGTGATCGTCAACACGACCGGGCTCCAAACGATTAGGCTCTAGAATCCACAGGTATCATTCCCGGGCAAAATTCTAACTCCTATGTATATATATTCATTGCATAATCTAACTACCAAGCTATTGTACAATGTAGATATGTATTCGTGATAGGGCAATTGAGCGCCTGAAATCGGCCAACTGATTTAATGCCCTAAAATGCAGCAATAAAAATAAAAAGAAAAGAAAAAAGAAGGGATCAAAAGGCGCCTAAACTATGCCTTGGTCTCACCCCTCAAAAATGCATTCCCCCAGAACCTGACACCCTCAATTCCTACATCTCTGCACAACACTCCTTTCTCTTCCGCCATTTCCAACTCCTCACTCGCAACCCCGACACTCCACCCAAACCTCTCAGCTGCCTCACTGGCTGTGACACCTCTTCCCCATTTGCTCTCGGCATCAACATTGATCCATTCCATAATGCGTCTGATTGTTTCTGCATCAGTGCTTCTGGCCTCCTGCACAACCAACAGTCCACTTTTAAACCTCCTCAATCGCACTGGCAACTTCAATTTTTCAAATAGCTGTGCGGCCTTTTCCAGATCCGTAGGAGATATCAGATCGATCCCTCTGGCACGGTTGTAAACTGCCCATAAGTCTACAAGCGTGATAACGCCGCCCTCTTTCTTCAAGATGCTCCTTTTATCATCGGCTAGGAATTCGGCAACCTGGCGGGCGAGTTCTGATAGGTACAGGTCTGAATCTCCACTTCCACCAGCACCGAGCATATCCCTAGTGACTAATCCCAGCGCCTGCGTCGAATTCGCAAGGGCGGCCTTGGCCTCCCCGTTCGCAAATGTGGGCGTAGAGGCTAACCTCACAGCAAAGCTCTCCGCAAGTGCGACCATCTCTTTTGCGCGTCCCATGAGCGCCTCCAGATCCTCGAATGCGTCTTCAATAACGACCTGGTTCTTCTTTCGTATATTCATACCCTGTCTCTCAAGTCCCGCAATGCCGACTACTCGTTCCATCCCACCGTTTGTGCCCGTGCTTGTCGTCGTACGGCCACTGGCATCGTTTCCTATATGGCCGCTACCCGGTGTTGGCACTGGTGGAGCATTTTGGAGCAGCCATTTCCGCTGCACGAGCGCACCTTTAAGTTTTTCGTGGAATGTTCTGTCGCCACCGGCTCGGAAGGAAAACTTAACGAGCTCAACAGTCTCGCCTACGAGGCCGCCGCGATGTGCAGATGATATGGGCGCAGGGGAGTCGACACGCGGGATATCATTAGGCAGGTTTGGGGAGACGAGACGTTCACCACAGATCTCGCAGAACGGGAGAGACGGATGGTTTAGGAATGTGCAGCGAGGGCACGCGAATGTTGCTTCGTCTTGTGGCGCCGCTGCTGACGTTAGGGTCGTGTCGGAGTATGTACTTGGCTCTCCACCGGGGGCGGAAGAGGGATATAGTGTGGATAGTGATGAGAGCGGTGTCGGAGACCGTGGTGGCTGCTGGAACGAGTTATCAAGTACTGCGGCGGGGGGGCGTATACCGCATGCTAAACAAGGCGGAATAGCTCCAGGAGCCGTGACTGCTGGTGTGTAGTTGGATGGTACCGGGTTTGAGAACGAGCATATAGGGCAGATCCAAATACCAGTAGACACTGGCAGAGGAGATGTAGGCCTTATGAGAGGCGTCCCATTTCTAGGAGTAGATGAAGCGGAGGGACCTCCAGGAGAGCCAGACGAGATGGTGGGTTTTAGATGTAATGTGATCTTTGGAGAAGACTTGAGGAAGCCTGCCTGTTGGAAAATATCAATATATATATTGAAACAGTTACCAATGGAGATGACAGACGTAGAACTCGATCCGATCAACATCTTTCAGGTCTACCGCGACCGAATATTTACGTGGGTCGTCATTATCAACATAACAAGCGCGGTGCGAGGTGAGATATGTGCAGCCATTCTGGTAGTTCGGTATCTTGTATTTACTGCCACTGTATGAGCTATCTACGTCATAACTATTCGGGGAAGCAAAGAGAAGCACAGTGATACCCTTCATAGAGACCGACTGCGTTTTGTACAAACAGCAGCGTCTCATCTGGTAGTAAGAGAGGGCGCAAAGCTGCAGTAAGATCTATTTGTGAGAGCATGGGGCGTTGAGAAGGAGGATTGTAGTTGCTGAACGGCGAATGGTGAAAGGTTCTTGGGGTAAACCCCGCGTTCTAGTTGAGGTTATCTGACATGTAGGTACACACCTAGTACTTCTGCCCCACGCACAGTGACGCAGGTCATCTTGGGTGAAACACTGAGTGTAGGTATTGTAGTTAGCGATGGTATTTGCTGTTCGATTGTCTCAATTAGTAATACAGAAAAACAACATGCTTCATCAAGACGATTTTATAGAGGTGGTTGGATATCTTGGCTGCATAACCTCCGTTCCCAACTCCCCTTTTAGAGTGCTCTAAAGTAAGTAGAAAACAAAGACCCTTAGAATCCCCCAGGGGAAAAACTGAAGCGCATGCGTATGTATACCGGTTACGGTATGCTATACCTGATACAAAGAAAGAAAGAAATGGGGGTGTATGATACTTAGGGCCCGTTTGGGAGCCGTTTAAAACAGAGTTATGGGGGCTTAAAACTCCGTTCTGGCGGAAACTCCGTTCTGAGAAAACAGGTTGTGTTTGGCGACCCATTTTGCGGGTCCAGAAAACAACGTTAACTCCATGAAAACGGAGGTTTTCAATAAGCAGCTAGGACCTACTTTTTTGCTTAAAACTCCGTTTCGAAATTTCTCCGTATCCCACCCACTAACGGAGAATGATTGAAACGTTGTTTTCTACTGAGGCCATCTCCCAAACGGGCCCTTAGTATAAATACTTACACGTACATAAGTACTATTTAGGTGCAATACTTAGATAACTTGCCGGATTATAGGTATATATATACCATATGTACGGTTATCAACGAGTAGAGTAGATTGAGTAGCCGGCCGCGCGGGCTAACTAGCAACTCGTAGAGCACTTTCTTCCAATTAACCCAGAGTAAAGTCCACAAGAAAGGCATTCTTGGTCCCAGGGTTCAAGGGTTTTTTATTTTTTATAGAGTCTAGGATAGGCGGGGGAGTGGTTCAAAACAAATGCATGTAGTGCTCGAGGCCGGCATGATCGATCTGACACTAGGTATTAATTCCACCGAGGTTATGAAGGATGCTAGGAAATCGCAGTTGATATCGATAATTAAAAAACAATCAGACGTAGATATGGCTAAATTCCGGGCTTACCCGAAATCCCAGACCATGCACTGGAGTAAGTACTTGAGTGCTATCATGTAGGTACTCCTCATGCCACATTTCTACAACCACCCCCATTGAAGGTCGCACTCTAGTCTCCTCGTTATGGGCGCCAAGGGTTTAGATATGTCAAGCACCAAAACAAGGAAAAAGATAATGTTAAGCTTATTGATCAAATAAACTTAAGGTATATCATGAGCTTCTATCATGAGCTCATGAATACTTAATATGGAGGACCCCCGCTGATACATAGCTATGTAGATAATTACATAAAGTTCACAAATATTAGCTATTATTACCACATAAAATTGCAAATCCTTCCCCCATAGTTCATAGAGAAGGCTAATAAGAGATGACCACCAAACCGCTAGCTCCCGAAGTAAGCTCCCGCACCCCATAGTACGTCCTATACCTACATGTACATATGCTTTGATATGACATACTTGTCATCAAACTAAACAGGTAAGTCAGAGCTTTGATGGATACGCACATTTTTCTTCATCGAAGTATGGCAAGCAGCGCCGTCAGGCGGCAACTAATCGACCTAATTGGACAGAGCAGGATGAGTGCGCCTCTAAACCCTCATATTCAGTTTTTAGGCCTTTACTAGAGAAGGCAGGAAATGCCTGCAATGAGACCAACGGGCATCTTGAGAAGGTAAGAACCAGAGATCATGATTCTTCGATGAAAGCTTCGAGGCCAGGTAGAAAATTTGGGGCTGTACTTGTTTTGTGTGTGTTTTTCTACTGCCGCAATTATTGTAAAATATATATTCGTCCCTGTTTGTCTTTAAATAACGTCCCTCATGCCACACCTAACTATGAACCATGATCTGCTTCTGCAAATATGGTGTTTTTTCTTTTCTTTGAAATGTACATATTATGATATGTACCGTTTGAATACGAATTCTGTTTAGTAGTTTTGAACTACCCATCAACATCGGCAGATATTGGCACATTCTTTAAAAGCCTTTTAATTCCCTTTTCGGTCCTTTTAACAGCGCTTCCCCAATTCATTTCTGAGGCATCTTCCCCTCTTCCCTCTTCATCGTGGTCTGTATCTTTAGATATCGCCTCTGCAAGTTTCAACAGGGCTTCTTGTTGGGCATCACGCAAAGCGGTGATAGATAGGTCTCCGTCTTGCTCCCATCCTTCCCCTATGACGAGGTCTTGGTCAGCCACTGTGATAAGTATATCCTGGAGTGACCGAGTAGATGAAATGAGGTTTTTCGGAAGACTTGTAGTTGATATCTGAGAAGCGAGAAGTTGTTGGCGATCTTGAGCTAGGTTGGATGACGGCCCCGTTAAAAGCTCAGAGAAAGAAGAGTCCAGAGCCTTTTCTAGAAGCATAGCAAGGTTTTCGGAGAAACCAATAGCATCATTCTTACTAGAAACCGGTCATTCATTACTGAAATTATGGAGATTTAGAAGGATAACTAACATCACGAGTCTTTGCTGCTGTAGAAGCTTTATGGTGGTTTCTTCCTTATTTTTTGCCTTCTTTTTGAACTTGAGAGCGCTGTTGTCGGATTTAGTCTTCTTATGCTTCTTTATTTCTTTCACTGCAATCCTTAGTAAATAGAATACTTGGTTAATGACAGCAAGTAGGAATCTTTCCAACGTTTTCTTTCGAATAGCATCATTTCTCTTAATCATGCACAGTGACTGTCAGCATGAGTGTGATGAATTAATGTAGCCCAACGTCAGGATACTGTACTGTTGAGAACGACTATCTTCATAATCATCGTCTTCCTCATCCTCTACTTCTCTTCCGTGATCATCATCCACATCTGCTTCGATTTCCTCCTCCTCTATTTAGGTATCAGCTTCATTCAGAATCTATTGCCTTATTTGCGCTTTCCTGGGAACTAACCAACAGTGGTCGATTTAGACTTTGGTTTTTTTGCTTTGGGTTTGTCCGTTTCTTGCGCATGCTCTCTGTCTTTATTGTTTTATCATCTATCAGAAAATATCTACCATATTCTCACCACGAATTGGCGGTAACGTACCTAGGCGTTTCCGTTTTACAGGACCACGAATAGCCATAACCGGTGGAAGTATGTAGTTGTGTTGAGAATGAGCTGCGAGACGTTGAAATTGCCTTTAATGGCGTAAGCTACAGCCTGGATTAGTCAATTGACCCACTACATACTTATAGGGCACCTTTTCCTAGCGTCTCGCTGATCCCGACACTGCGAAATTGATTACGGCGGGTTGGGGATCAGATCATTGATTTCGAGGCTCTGCGGGCCGTACAGTGACGTCTATGCTTGGCAGGCAAGATATATTGAGAGAATTCGAAGTCCAGATACATGTATCTACATGTATGTATTACATGTATGTATTACATGTATGTATTACATGTATAATTCGAACCTGATAAACTGTTTGCTGAAGGAATATGCCTTCCCATTAAGGATGGAATTTATCTCCGCAAGTCTCTGTTTAATACCCCAGTAAATATCAAGGATTAAAGAGAATTTATCTAAGTACATATTTACATAGTCGGTACTTAAGGTGATATACATGTATATATATCGATACTGTATCTATATGTATGTGCATTTACTCACAGGGAGCTATATATGAATACGGAATGTGTACCCTCCGCCGATTCAACCGCGTCATGAGAAGTGAAGTCCCCTAGCGAGTGAATTCTAGCTATGGGATTGCTTTTGCGCGTGTCAATACAAGTACATATTGTAGCTACATGTATCAAGTTCGATTCGTCATGATTTCTGAGTACCGCACCACTTATTTCTACCCGATTATATCGGGGTCTGGATCCGGCCTTAGTAATTTCTGCGTGCCGTGAGCTCTTTGGTGGTTCTTTGTAAAAAGGTGAAGGTACGTACCGAGCTTGAATACCGTTCGAGTGATAATTTATGATTAGTGAACTTTGATATTAATGATAGACTTGATTCATGCCCCTTTGGAAATGCCATCACAACTCTCGAGCCTCGATGAAAACCGATTTTAACGTGGATCATTAATTTCCAAAATTAGCAGGGTTTGGATAAAGGCCAACGTTTGCCCTGCATTGAGAAAAAATCTACCATGTGTGTGCTGTAGAGTAACGTACACGCGATAAGTCGATAAGTCGATAAGTTAGGCTTGATCACATATTTTGCCAACAACTATGAATGCCTAGCCCAACAGTGATCAAAGCTTTGGTTGGGTCTTCCAAGAGCCAGTCCGGTGGGAAACGAGAGGTGGTAATAGTGAGTAGAAGAGACATCACGAATCATATGATGCTAAATTATTACTGGCAGGACTGCCTTAGACAGCACAGACATGGTCATTTGCTGTTTTCGAAAAGAAAAAGATTCGAGATGAAGCACATCTTACCATTTTGGATGTTCCAGAAATTCTTAGCTAGGGATCCTGGGTCAGCATAGAGTACTTGACGACACGGCAAGTTGTGGATAGACATGTAAGTACATTTCTGGAGAACAGCCCCCACACCTACGGGTGAAAACAAAAGACCTTCCCAGTGTGTCATTGGATGGTAATTAACCAATTTAGTTGAATAATCCAGGGAAACGGATTATCTCGTGATAGAGAAGTGTTTATATTGCTGGATTTTGGAGGCACATATTTTCCTTCTATATTTTTTTCGTCGAAAAGGATTGTATCTACAGTATCCTAGGGCATCGATCGAATGTCAACCCTGCGAGAAATGACGCAACTGTCACAATTGTGTGCGCTAATGACCCTTGCATATGTGCACGGTGGCGTACGACGTGCGGAGAACAGCCAAACAACACAGCAGCATAGAAATGGCAGTATGTAGTTTTCGAGTAAGAAGATTATCGCCAGAATATACCGAGATATTCGGCAAAAGATATCAACGAGCCATTACGAGTTCCAAAGATCGCGGCGAAGCAGGGGAACCGAATAGGTACATAGGGTGCCCTGATGTAGAGTACCTACATGTACGCACCGGACCGGGCCAAGAAGTAGGTGGTCTCTCGCTGACGTCTTGCGCTTATCTCCATTTAAACTCTAAAGCCACAAGAGCGCATGGGCTAGGCTTTTTCTTGTCAAGTCGGCCTTTCGATCTCGTTCTCGACCTCTCTAGATCTAAACAAGCAAAGCAAAGCAAAGCAAAGCAAAGCAAGAAAAGCACGCGCCCACGTCGTTGTGCTTCCTCCCCGCTCCTCTCCCTTCTTGCCCCCCTCACAACCCTCCCCTCGCCCGCTTATCCCCCGTTGTTCCCGTGCTCGCTTTGAGTTAGAAAGGCCGCTAGCTACTACCATCTCTGCCGAGTTCTGAATCAACTTACAGTACCCTGAGCTACTCTAAGTCTGTGGCACCCAGCTCACAGAAATACTCGAAAGTTCCGACAAACCCGATAGTAAAGGTACAATTCCTGAATTGCTCCTATTGTACATAAGAATATTTTGTTTTATTTTTTGCGAGTACTGCCGTTTGTTTGACGCTTAGACGTTGTTCAGACTATCTCTACTCTACCATACCATACTTACAGAGAGAGAGAAAGAGAGAGACCCGCGAGAGAGAGAGAGAGAGAGAGAGAGAGAAAGAGAGAAGGACCTACACCGGTCCAAGAGCCCCACCTTTCTCACCCCTCTTCTGAACGCCTCTTGCAACACAACCCCTCCTCACCCCACTGCATCCCTCATCTCTTGCTCTCACTCTCTTCATCGTGTCCGCCGGGAAGAAGTAGCAAGCTCCTGAGAAATTCGACACACATAAACCGAGTACCACGTTGTCTCTATTTTCTTTTTCCATCATTTACCCCCTATCCTCTGGTTCCCCTTCCTCTTTCATTTACGGAAAAAGAAAACCAAAAACCAAGTCTCTCGTCAATAAAAGCGTCCGTCTACCAGAGTAGCGTGCTTTTTTTTTGCCAAGGTAGCCCCACCCGGACCACAATCACTTTATTTGACGGTGGCTTCTATTGCTCACCCGCCCCAGCAGAGTGTGACATCTCTCCATCCCATCCAAGCAGCACTCCGTTCCAGGGGTCCCCTAATTCGAGAAACTCTCTTCACGTTGGAATCTTCTTTCCTCTGATACATTCTGCATCAACCGCTATAGCGTGACAACAACATCTTTACATCTACATATTCCAATCTTTTGTTTCCGGAGGTAAACTCGAGATGCCTCCAATCGAAGTTAAAGAGAACAATGCCGTGGTTGAGGACAGAGAAAGGGAGAGGGATAGGGTAAGCATCCCGAGCCGCCATTGTAACTTGAAAGGGTGGGGTACTGATTACAGCAAAGCCGCCCACAAACACCGTTAGCATCAAGCAGGAGGAGGAGGAGCTTGTGGTGGATATCTCTGATATCCCCGAGGAGATAATCGATAGAGCCACATTCGATCAGATTCTAGAAATGGATGATGATGATGAACGCGATTTTAGTAAGACGATTGTGTTCGGGTTTTTTGAACAAGCCGAGGATACATTTAAGCAGATGGAGAACTTTGTGTACGTTTACCACAATTCCTTGTGGCAATTATATTCACACATATATTAACACTGCGACGTACGTTGTACACCTCAGCAAGCAGAAGGATCTTCAACAGTTGTCTTCCCTCGGCCATTTCTTGAAAGGCTCCTCGGCAACCTTGGGCCTCACAAAAGTGAAAGATTCATGCGAAAAGATACAACACTTCGGAGTCAAGAAGGACGAGGATGGCACACATGACATACCGGACGAGACGAAATGTCTGGAAAAGATCAAAAAAACTCTAGATGAGATGAAGGAAGACTACAGGCAAGCGGAAAAGTACCTTCTCAAGTTCTATGACGATGAGCCCTGAAATTTAGATTTCATGGCCCTCTGTTATTATTTTCCCTTTGTTTTTTTGGGTGAGGTTTTTTCTGGCTTCAAGTTCTGTTTTTTTCAAAAGGTCCTGTTCATTTCGTACAAGCACGCACTTGGGGAAGGACAAAAAAATGGAAATTGAGTTTGTAGTAGTTCTCTCTCAACCCGGAACAAGCTTTGCATGGCTTGTAAAGAAAGATGAGAGACTGCATGGCTTTGTTTGAACCCAATACTGTTTCTTCTTCCTGGGGTGTTGTTCATACTCCCACCTTTATATATCTTTCTTTTCCTTTGTTCTTTTTACTCGAGCATGTGTTGCTTTCTAAATCTGGTGTTTTTGGTGGTTTTATATGAATCCTCATCATGTTATTGCGGAGCTGGTCTTCTTATTTTTCCCTTGGTTTGGTGAAGTGCCTTGGAGAACCTTGCCCTTTTGTCCCCTCTTCTACATACTATATATTTATGATTGCATGCGTGAAAGCGGCACTTCGGGCTACTTGTGGTCATCCATTTGATGAAATACCCCCTGAAGACATCAGGTATCAACAACCACCCCTTAATAAGTCAATTCAAGCACCGTATATGCGGAATCGGGTTTGCACATTACACTTTATTATACCCAGAGATTTGAATCTTCACAAAGTCTATCGCATATACAGATTTTCAAGACCAGAAACTCTGCAAGTGTGGCTTGATCAATCAATGAGCCCTTTTGTGATGCAATACGATAACACGCGATAAGGCTGCCACGATCCCTCCTTGGCTGATGTAATTGCGCATGATCCCGTGTGAGTGGGACGGGATATTTTGATTCGCAGCACTAGGTGGGGTTCCCGACTGTTTGTTCTACTTTGGCTGTCGGGAACCTTTCTGACGTCGTGACAACTAGCCGGTACCGCGGTGGGAACAGTGAAATTTCAGATTTTATTTATTTTTCCACTCTATAGCGGAAAAGGGGGGGGGGGGGGGGGGGTTGCTGTCGCTGATAATAAAGGTACATGATCCATATCTACATGTATATACTTGGACTGATTATTTAACTCGGGTTCAACGAGGTATAAAACAATTGTGGTCTAATATCTCGTCTTGTCCACAATGACAACAGAGTTGACGTTTACTTTTTCCTGACCTGCGAAGGGGAGTATGCATGTTTTATGAGTTGAGGGATGTCTAGAAATCTTCGATGGCCAAGGAGAAGTAAAAATCCACGTGCCAGTAGATGGGCATGAGAAATCTCTGATTTGCTTTGTTGCCGAGGGTCGTACAATCCTATTGTTGGCTAGCTGGTTGTAGTGAAATACCATATGCTAATTCTCTCTCTGAGGGTTGGAAGTTCCAGTGTTAGTAGAAGGGATTTGCTCTACCTTTTTTAGGCTTCCTGAGATTGGATACAGCGAGAGGTAGAACCACCGCAGAAACAGGGGTCTAAAAACAGGGTTTCTATGGCTGGGAAAGCCAATAGGACTCCTCCCATACTTCTACAATAATCTTACCGCAAGCTGTATAAGGCTGTGAATGAGGCGACAGCTGTACTTTAGAGTGCCTATGACATCTATGGCTGTCTCGGCCTGCAGTCTGCGGACACAGTCACGAGTACTCTAGAATAGTAGATGGAGAATTACGGCGAGCCGCATCGAGATGCAGTGACGGGTGTGTGCATAGTCCGCAGAGTACATGTGCTCCACTGCATTATGTATTTTTGAATAGGAGATGTGATTATATTAGACAGAGATGTGGAGTACCTACCTACCACAGGCCAATGATATGTGTTTAGTCTGAAAATTTGGGCTGGCAAGAACTCGAGACCACTTCAGGAGGAGAGAGATTCCTACGTGCCTGTCGCAAATCAGTTGGCGCAGCTATACACTAGGGGCAGGGACACGACAACTAAAGACGGCCGTAAAAATAAGGATTGAAGATCTGACCATATATGGGGACAAGCGGAGGCGGCGGCGGTCTCCGATGTGAAGCTGGTAACACCGTGACCAAATCACCAGTAGCCTTCCCTCCGAATTCCGACTATCCAGGGAAGGGGGGAGCCGAACGATTGAAGGAAGTGTTTCTTTTTCGCCCCTAGATTAACGGTGATCACCGCTGTCTGCGGCACCAATGTCAAGTAAGCCGAGTTCTTGTATGGGCGAATGAATAAGTATGTACAGCGCCTACCAAGAAGTCTTCGTGATAGGTAGTCGATTAGTAAGCACGGGCATGGGCGCGCCCCCATAAATTGATGTTCCTCGATGAGGAAGGAGCTGTAGACGGACCACGATCCCAGCCATGCCCCCTCGAGTTCACCCGCTCTTTAACCCTGCCGATGTCACTCCCAGAAAAGCCCTCCCCCCCAGTAAACAGCCTAGAACAACTAGAAGACAACTAGGTCGATATGAGAAGGGAATGATCATTGCCCTTTATCATACGATGCAGAACATTTCTCAAGTTGCCAATATTATGAGGAGGCCATGGAAGAGGTGTGTCTTTGATGGTCTGGGGTTGTTTTTGGGGTCGTAAGAAGGGGACATTCACACCACTTATTGTCAACTCAGTCAACAAACAAGTCTACCTACAGATGCTACAATACCTCCTCCTACCTGTCTTGATTCGAGTCAGCAACACAATAGGTGATGCTAGATTTATGCAAGATAATGCACCTATACACAAGGCAAAAATTGTTACCGAGTGGTTTGAGGAAAATAATATAGAGGTTGAGGTGCACTCATCTTATTCACCTGATTTGAACCCAATTGAGCATGTCTGGGTAGAGCTCAAGAAAAGGCTTCAAATTCAATACCCTCAGATAAAAGACACACCTGGAGGACCTGATAAAGTAAGAGAAAGACTGGCTGAAGTCCTGCCCTTGGTTTGGGACACAATACCTGAGGAGTTCTTTGAGAAGTTATGGAGGTCTATGCCTGACAGAGTGGCGGCAGTTATTGAAGCAAGAGAGTGGTATACAAAGTACTAAAATGTATTTAATTCTATATATTCTCTTATCTCTCTACACTCAAATGTGGTCGTCCTCGAAATCGCCGACACCGACGCTTGAGGACCACGATGCTGCGCTGCCTCGACGCTGGTGCGCGACGACCGCAACGGCTCGCTTACTAATCAATCACGAAGACTTCTTGGTAGGCGCTGTACATACATAACCTTCGGGGTAATAGGGCACGCTGGTAATTATGTACTCTAGACACTACTTCATGGATTCTGATTCGGCACTTCATCTGATTCGTCACGTAATCATGGAGTATGACTCGGTTAGATGGAATTGTATATTGTCCCATTAGCTGTACATGTACTACACAACAGCCAACAGGAACATCGGGGCCTGGACAGGTTGCTGACTACATGTAGTATTCCAAGCCAACCGCTTCCTCCCGGAGCGGTAATCCCCGGATACGTAGAAGGAAGGTGGATTGCTATGGTATCCCTATCAGAACGAGAAAGTCAAAATATTGATCTCGACTTGTACAATTGTATGAAGTTAGACGAGGCGGAATACTAAGGCAAGGCCGGAGTTGATAAGATATCTATAGATCGGCTGCAGAGGATTAAGGTACAGAATGTCTCATTATATGATTTAGCGTGTCTCTTCTACCCTCCTTCAGCAAAGGCTGTCCATGTTAACGTTTCTGTTCGTTGCCATAACTTAGTGCGGGGTACTAATCTCGCTATCGATAAGCGTTGGGGCTCTTAACCCTGATCATCATTACCGGCCGCTAGACACGTGCACTACTACAGGGTCACCGATAGCCGGCCGACCTGTACCTACCTACACTCGCCACTTCAGAGCATATATACTGAACAAAACCCGAGTTTTTATTTCAAGAGTGCCTGCATCCCTATTCATAATGGCACCGGGACTTTTAAACACTCCAGCTCCAGCTCTTCCAGGGAGTGAGCTTGCATCACTTGCTGCTGTTACCTCTAACTGGGACGATTCTGTCCAATTTTACCTGAATGGCACGAAAGTAGTGATCGATTCCATTGATCCGGAGATTACTTTGCTTGAATACCTTCGAGGTATTGGTCTTACTGGTACGAAGCTTGGATGTGCCGAGGGGGGCTGTGGAGCTTGTACAGTTGTAAGTACTGAAAGAGCTTAGGAAGTAGGGTTTTAGCTAATAATTTGAAGGTCGTATCGCAATATAATCCAACCACGAATAAAATTTACCATGCTTCTGTGAACGCCTGTCTTGCGCCTTTGGTTAGCGTGGATGGAAAGCACGTTATCACGGTGGAGGGGATTGGTGACAGCACAAAACCACACCCGATCCAGGAGCGCATTGCAAAGTTTCATGGTTCACAATGTGGTTTCTGTACACCGGGAATTGTTATGGTATTAAATTCTATATCGCTGCCCACTTAAGAATAACTTCTAACACCAGATTTTAGAGTCTCTACGCACTCGTCCGGAACAATCCAGAACCTACAGCTCATGATGTTGAAGAAGCCTTCGATGGAAATCTCTGCCGATGCACTGGATATCGACCAATTCTTGACGCAGCTCAAACTTTCAGCGTAGAAGCTGGGTGCTCAGAAGCATCAAAAAAACAGAACTCAGCTCCGGGTGGTTGCTGTATGCAGGGTACAGACGGGACACTCCCAGCTGGGTGCTGTAAGAACAAATCAGCAGCTGGGCTTGAGGATGTCCCAGTAAAAAGATTTACGCCACCGGGTCTCATCGAGTACAAGCCTGATACAGAACTTATTTTCCCACCGGCTTTGAGGAAACATAAATTCAAAGCCTTGGCTTTTGGCAACAAGCGTAAGAGATGGCTTAGGCCAGTTACTTTAGAGCAGCTTCTTGAAATCAAACATGCTCTACCGTCTGCAAAGGTTATTGGTGGATCCACAGAAACTCAGATTGAAATTAAGTTCAAGGCCATTCAGTACACTGTTTCTGTCTATGTCGGCGATATTCCAGATCTCCGACATTTCTCATTCGAGGATGATCATCTTCATATTGGTGCAAACATCACATTGACAGACCTTGAGGGCGTGCTCAAACAAGCTATTGAGAAATATGGCCCTTCGAATTCTCAACCATTCAACGCTATGCTGAAGCAGCTGGAGTACTTTGCTGGTCGCCAAATCAGGAATGTGGGGACTCCTGCTGGTAACCTTGCTACCGCTTCACCCATATCGGATCTTAATCCTGTATTCGTTGCTACGAGAAGTACTCTAATAGCTCAGTCTCAGGAGGATGGCGAGATGGAGCTGCCAATGTCTGAGTTTTTTAAGGCATATCGAACCACAGCTTTACCGGCAAATGCGGTACTCAAGAGTATTCGGGTACCCATCGCAAGCGAGAAAGGCGAATTTATTAGGGCTTATAAGCAGGCAAAGCGGAAAGATGACGATATAGCGATTGTCAACGCTGCTCTTCGAGTTTCTCTCAGTGACGACAATGTCGTGGAATCTGTGAATCTAGTATATGGCGGCATGGCACCAACGACGATCGAAGCTAAGAAGGCAATGTCTTATCTAGTCGGAAAAACATGGGGCGAGAAGGAGGTCTTGGAAGGGACAATGAATGCTCTTGAGCAAGACTTCAATTTGAGGTTTGGAGTACCGGGTGGAATGGCAGTTTATAGAAAATCATTGGCGCTTGGATTCTTTTACAGGTTCTGGCATGAAACTGTTGGCATTCTGACTGGTGATGTTGAAGAGGAATTAGTACACGAGATTACCAGAAATATCTCTTCCGGAGAGAGGGATCAGGATAGTACTCTTGCGTACGAGCAAAGGGTGCTTGGGAAGGGTGTGCCTCATGTAGCCGCAATGAAGCAGGTTACTGGAGAAGCACAGTACACGGATGATATGCCAAGGCACACCAACGAATTATACGGATGTTTGGTTCTTAGCACAAAAGCACACGCAAAGATTTTAAGCGTCGATAGCGAATCAGCATTCGATATTCCTGGTGTACGCGCGTGGGTAGATCATCGGGATCTGGAAAGTCCAGAGTTGAATTGGTGGGGTGCTCCCATGTGTGATGAAGTGTTCTTCGCCGTTGATGAGGTTCACACACATGGACAGCCTATTGGGATGATCCTAGCGGATTCCCAACAGCAAGCTTCTCTTGCTGCAAGATCTGTTAAGGTGGAATATGAAGACCTCCCAGCAATCCTTACAATTGAGGAAGCCATTGAGAAGGAAAGTTTCTTCGAACACTATAGGTACATTAAACAAGGAGATCCTATCGAAGAAGCGATGAAGACGGCGGATCATGTATTTACGGGGGTGGTGAGGATGGGTGGCCAGGAGCATTTCTATCTCGAGACAAATGCATGTCTCGTGGTACCCAAGTTGGAAGATGGCGAGATTGAGATTTATAGTAGTACTCAAAACCCTACAGAAATGTATGTCATATCTGCACTCTCTAATGGCTCAAATTTGTGGTCCTCAATATTAACATCATCTTATAGTCAGACATATGTCGCTCAAGTTACCGGTGTTCCGGCAAATCGCGTTGTTGCAAAGGTGAAGCGTCTTGGTGGTGGTTTTGGTGGCAAGGAAACAAGATCAGTTCAACTTGCAGCAATATGTGCTATTGCAGCGAAGAAGACCAAACGGGCAGTCCGATGCATGTTGAATCGGGATGAGGATATGATGACTTCCGGACAACGACATCCATTCATGGCACGCTGGAAGGTTGGCGTCAACAATGATGGAAAACTTGTGGCCCTTGATGCCGATGTTTTCTGTAATGCCGGATGGTCACAGGATCTTTCCGGAGCCGTGTGTGACAGGTCATTATCACACATCGATAATTGTTACAAAATCCCAAGTGTAGATGTCCGAGGAAGGTTATGTAAAACAAACACGATGTCGAATACCGCTTTCAGAGGCTTCGGTGGCCCTCAAGGGATGTTTATCGCTGAATCCTATATGGAAGAGATTTCAGACAAGCTGGGAATTCCAGTACACAAACTTAGAGTAAGATATCCAACTCTATTTGGTGGTTTAGGATCACTCTAACATACCTCCAGGAACTCAACATGTATAAAGAAGGGCAAACTACACATTATAACCAAGAATTGAAGGATTGGCATGTTCCAATGATTCTTGATTCTCTCAAGACAGAGGCAGATTTCGAGAGACGTCGTCAGGATGTCGATGAGTTCAACAAAACCCATAAATGGAAGAAGAGGGGATTATCCTTGATACCTACTAAGTTTGGTATATCTTTTACGGCAATATTCCTTAACCAAGCTGGTGCCCTAGTTCATATCTATCACGATGGTTCAATTCTCGTTGCTCACGGAGGTACTGAAATGGGGCAGGGTCTCCATACGAAAATGGTCATGGTTGCAGCGGAGGCACTAGGTGTTCCTATGGATGCTGTTTTCATCTCAGAAACATCAACAAATACTGTGGCAAACACATCAGCTACGGCGGCATCAGCATCTAGTGACCTGAATGGTTATGCTGTTTACAATGCTTGCCAACAACTCAACGAACGTCTTAAGCCCTATCGTGAGAAACTTGGAGCAGACGCAACCATGAAGGATCTTGCACACGCAGCGTACTTTGACCGGGTTAATTTGAGTGCAAATGGTTTCTACAAAACACCAGATATTGGATATGTCTGGGGCCCAAATACTGGTCAAATGTATTTCTATTACACACAAGGCGCAGCGCTCGCAGAGGTGGAAATCGATACACTGACAGGAGACTGGACATGTCTAAGAGCGGATATCAAGATGGATATCGGAAGGAGTATCAATCCTGCCATTGATTATGGTCAGATCGAGGGGGCCTTTGTGCAGGGACAAGGGCTTTTCACAACAGAGGAATCATTGTGGATGAATAATGGGCAACTGGCAACTAGGGGGCCTGGAAATTACAAGATTCCTGGATTTAGAGATATCCCACAAGTCTTCAATGTTAGCATGTTGAAGGACGTTGAGTGGAAGCATTTACAAACCATTCAAAGGAGCAAGGTAAGCCTCAGTACCCAAATCCCAATGCTTCGCCTTCTAACCAACAAATATAGGGTGTCGGTGAACCGCCCTTGTTCATGGGTAGCTCAGTGTTCTTTGCGATCAGAGATGCTCTCAAGGCAGCTAGAGCTGATCACGGGTGCACGGAGGTTTTGAATTTGATTTCACCAGCCACGCCTGAACGGATAAGACTTTCGTGTGCGGATGATATTATCAAGAGGAGCTATGTCAAGCCCGAAGAAGGCGAGAAGGGTTTCTTTGTTAGTATCTAAGCTGTTTTATTTATTGAGATTTGGTTGTTTCGTGTATGGGTCTAACTACTTGTACCGGGAGCTCTTTTCTTTATATACATATATATATGTAATATTGCACTTTTTTGCTTCACTTATGATTTTGTTGAGCCAACTCGAGCATATAAAGATAACCATGTACCTTTCATAAGAGTAGCCAGTAGTCACCTTGTAATGGTACGGATCCATACTTTACTGGTCATTTTATATGACGCGCAAACATCAAACGCTTGAAAATTCACACCACACTGAAATATATGCCTTTGGAGGATGTTAGGGTTAGGGTTACATGCAGCAAGATGCCAACTCTCCGTTGGTTTATAGCCCTTGCTTCATCTAAGATGATAATATACCTAAAAGAATACTAATCTAAAAATCATCTACAGTGGTAGCTTCCTTATGAAAGGACTAACTAACGATATTTCGTACCCTTATTACTTCGGTCGTCATTTTTTGATTCATAGGGCCTACAGGGTTGGGATTCAAATAAGAAAGAGATATGCTCAATATCAGACTGCGAATGCGAAGTCTATGTTTCCCTTTTCTGTGAAGACTTGTCTGGGAATTGGTATATAAATATCACCGAGCGGAATCCAAACATGTTTTATCACTCGCTCTCAATCGGGTGTGTCTTGGCAATAAACTAAGGGCAAAGATTCCTACATGTTGATTTTGGTTATTGATATCCATGAAGACAGCCCCCCCCCCCCCCTTTTTTTTTTTTTTTTTGTTTAATTCATTGATTTCCGTGAAGACTGCTGGATAGACTTGCCTGTTTGCGATTATTCTCAGATAGACTGGAAAATACGTATTTTCGCGCATGGCTGGCCATTGTGCCTAGGCCAGTGGTTCATGATGGGCACGAGACACGGAAAAAGAAAGAGATCAAACAAAAGTGTATTCCAAGCTTGTCTTATAAGTTACTAAAGAAGGGACCATCGTCGTCCTTGTTCTCTTGCGAACTACATGCACACAATCTATCCTACAACGGCAACGGCGGTGCCCCACCATAGCCACCCTACAAACTGCTGAATTAAATTCCCCTTTCCAAAACAAAACAAAACAAAAAAGAAAAAAACGTCGATGGGAGAAAGAGAAAAAAGTAAAGCTAGAGAAATGATGAAAGATAAGAGAAATACCGCGATCCGTACGACACATGAGTTCATTTACTTCCAGGCTTTTGTTTAAATGACGATCGAGAGTTCGTGCCTTAACAGGTGATCTTCATCCAGATTTGGGTAGAAGGGCACTAAGCAGTCTGCGCTCTGGACATACGCATTGTTATACAGTCTCCAATAAGGTGTCCTCACTTTTCTTGCAGGATGGAACAATCCCGCCCAGACGTAGTTCATAACCAACCCAGGTCCGATTGCCATCCTGATTGCGTCGATGGCCTCGATTATCCTGTCGATAACATGAGGTGATGTTTCGAACATATTTGGGTAAAGTAAGTTTAGCAGATGCATCATAGCATCCTCACAACCAAGGCCAACGACACCAAGTGCAACGTGTTTGACGACCGACGCAGCAGTCTGCCTGTGCACTTGGTCACGGTCGATAAGTGCATCTTCAAGAAGAGGAGTAACGGCGTAGACATAATCTTTCGCCATTTCGCCGATGTACTCAAAGAGGAAAGAAAGTGATTTTAAAACACCATTCTGGACGTTGAGCTCAGGGACACGATATTCGTTCATAAGGGCAGGGAGTACAGTGAAAGGCGCACAGGTTTCTGCGACGATACCAATGGCGACTGCTGTACAAACTCGAGATTGACGTTCTTGAACCCTCAGATTGTTGAGCAGGGTGGCCAGGACATCTTGGGGACCAATGGCTTTGGCGATAAACCCTAAAAATCATTGCATAAGATCGGTGCATATGAAAGAGTGTGGGGGAATAAAAACCTACCGAATGTGTTGTTCGCTGCTCGTCTGATCCCCTTCTTATGCGCCTTCAACATATCCAACAATTCGAAACAAATTCTCATCCATTCTCTCGCACTTACGAACTCGGCACCTCGATCCGCAATTCTACCTACCAGATCAATGGTATTCTCCTGCACTTTTTCGTGTCTGTTTCGAAGAATAGGGGTCAATCGAGGAAGGAGATCCTTAATTGGCGGTTGCATGCTATTGATACCAACGACAGTGACAATAGACCTGAGTGCGCCTAGAATGGAACCCAAAACTTCAGGATATTCCTCCCCAAGGTACTCGTAAAGTACGACACCTAGTTTACCCATCAAAGCATCTTCTCCGCATTGTTTCTAATTGCTTAAGGTTAGCTGATATTCTACGTCAAAAAAAATAGTGGGGGTTGACATACCATAACGACAGCAATTCTCGAAATCAGATCTGCACTTTGTTGTCTGACAGCTGAACTCTTGTTGTTCAATCTCCATAGGATTGTACTGACAATCTGCGGAAGGTACGGCTTACACCGCGTACCCAGAGCATTGACAACCGTTCCAAATCCGTTAAGCATAACGATATCCTCCATAGTCTGTTCCTGGAACGCAAACAATACACCATCTACCAGTCTTTCCTCTAGACGCTCACCAATATCCGCTGCTCCCAGAGAGGCAATGACCTTCTCAACACTTTCCAGGGTCATTTTACGGTATGGCTCGCTTTCATCCTTAAGGTGGTCAACGATCCGCTCTATAATCTCTCCACACCCGACTTTTTGGGCTAGATCAACTGTTGTCTCTACCACTTGACGATAATTCCGTTTATCAAGGGCCATCCTTCGTACCCAGAATGCCTTGAAAAATTCAGGGAGTACGTTCTCCTTCAGGTATGCCGCAGTCACACCCTCAGTTCCCGCACACTGGCTGACAACCTTCAAAACAACCTTTTTCATCTCCTCATCAGGGCTCTGGAACTCTCGTAGAAGGATCTCCATTACTTCAGATGTGTAGTAGTTTGCGTACTCCTCGTCCATAAGGGGTATGATGTATCCAACCGCCTTCAAGAAGCCAGCCAAACCCTTTCCACGCTGCTTCTTCGCACCGGTCCACAGAGGATTAAGAATGGTATCGAAACTCTCAATACCGTATGGACTAGCTGCTTCTGCCAATGCTGCAATGGCCAGACTGGTTACAGTTCGAACCTTGGCCTGCTCGTCTTCCAAGTTCGGGCCAATACACTCTACCAAGCCCTTCAAATGAGGCAGGATAGCACAACCCATGAGGATAGGAATCTGCTGCACAATTTTAACACCGGTATGCCTCGCTTGCCAACTTTTCTTACTGCGACAGACCGCCCTTAAGAACGGCAATAATGCGGGTATACCAAGCGCTGATGCAACGACGGCGAACGCTCTCGCAGTGGTGTTTCGCACATATTCATCGACGTGATCGATATCAGGTCGCATAGTAGAAATCATGTGCGCTAGACCGGCAGCCTTCGACAAATTGCTGATAATCTCGCGACCTTCAACACGCGCATAGTAATCCTGATCAATCAGAAGTGGCTCTATGACGACCAGAATTTTATGCACATACGGCCTGACAAGATCATCGAGCTTGTAAAGGATACGATCAATGACCTTCACCAATAAATGACGTTCCTGGTCCTCGAGCGTCTTCTCCATAAGCAGAGGCAGAATTTGGTTAAACAGCGGACCTGCGCCAAATTGGCGGGCATTATCAGTGAGTTGACGTAATGCTGTCTTTCGCATGGGAGGTGTTCCATTCTTGACCTTGAGAAGAAGACGCATGATCTTCCTCTCCTTCAGCTCCTCAACAGTCATCGCATTCTCGTCACCACCGTCAACAAGCTTCCCAAAGTAGGCCATATCCTCTGGCTTGAAGAATTGAAGATCGCCGACCCCCGGAATATCCGCAGGCATCTGCTTCCCGAGGATCCTGGCATTCTCAGGTTCCTGCATCATGAAGCCACCGATGCCTGTAGAGTTCATTGGTGCCGGCGTGGACATAAGCTTCCTTGCTGGTGTACGGATCGGAGCGTATCCCGGCGGGGGTTCAAGAATTTTATAACCTTCGCTAGGCAACATCTCGTCGAGCTCTTCATCCGATAGAGGCGCATTCCTGTCTCCATGTCCAAAAGTAAGAGGCATGTGAGGAACAGGGGTAGCAGAAACAGATGGGTGCATGGGAGTCACAAGTCCCTGATTTCCAACAGGTGTAGCAGCAGTAAGAGATGGAGCTTGATCCCATCGAGAGCGCTTTACCACTGGTGTTGCATCTGGGGCAGCTGCAATGTCCCATCTGCTTGCTCGTGGCTTCTTGGAATCTTCTTCCTTGATCGCCACGGCACCTTCGTCGCCTGCTACATCCCATCGCTTCTTCTACAAAGTTGTTAGCAAAATTTAAAGGTTAAGCTTGGATAATAGTACGTACCCTCTTCCTTGTACCATCAGTTGCAGAGCTCTCTCTGTCCGATTCTTCTTTTAGGCTTGCTTTGTACTCGACACCTTCCATCCGGTCAGCTCCGTTTCCCTCTTTTTTCATTGATTCCTCTATTTTCCGCCTAACTCTTTCCTCCTCCCTTTCAATTTCTTTCTCCTGCATGACCTCTCTATAGCTTCGACCCTCGCCATCTTCCTTGAACGCGTCTTTTCGTGTTGGCGTCAACTGTCTTTGAAACCTTCGCTTCTGGTAGTCGGTCTCTCTGTCGGCAATCTGGGCGCCCTTTGCCTTTGAAGTCATGAGATCGGTGTCGTCATCACCGGCGCCGGCAAACTCATTCAATAGCTCTTTAGAGGCTGTATACTGGCCAACCAACCTGCGTGTGCCGTCACCGCCAGCCATATCCACATCATCATCATCTTCTTCATTTACGGGAATGGAAGTGTTGTATCCAGCGAACTTGTCACCACCAGCGCGGTCGTAAAGGGTCGTATCGAATGTGTCTGTCAAAGATTGTTTTGAAGATTCACGCTGTGAGGTAGGATCAAAAGTTTTTGAACCAGGCTTTCCGGCCTTTGCCGCGTTGCGCTCCGCCTGGAGGCGGCGAATCTCTTCAAAATCCGCTGGCAAAGGGGAATCCGATTAGCAATAGCGCGTTAAAGGAGAATAGGGACGACCTACAGTCAGCCATGGTAGAATTTTCGAGTAAAGAATTAAAAAGTGAAAGAATGGTAGAGTGAGATTGATTAAGAGCCTTTCATATGTCGATATCGCTGGTTACTCGATGGAAGGCGTGGAGGAGAGAACTGGTACCCTAAGTTCAACCAGCAAGCACAACTAATGTTCGTGTCGAAATGTCGCCTCCCGATTGAGTCTGTTACCCGGACGTCTAGGGTTGCGTCAACTGTATACATACATACATGTACGTAGTTTAAAATCGTCGGTGATCGCGCATTGACATCCACACAGCTTGAGTTTAGACACAACAGTGCGATCGATAATTGATATTAACAAGATGAAATTCTTAGAAGTGAGTAAGAACTACATACACTACAGTATTAGAGGCTTTCTGCCGGAGTTTTATGACAGTCGTCTAACCTCGATATAACACCAACGACCTCCCACATCTCCCATAATGATCGTGAAACAAATAATTGGGCATTAGGCCATATCTACAACATAGGCCTCTTTCCCTCTCCATTTGTAGACAGAATTTTTGAATCCGCTCGTCGATGATAATATTCTCACTCGGATATATAATTATCCAATCGTTCCCCTTTCGGCCAATGTCGGCACTGAGCACTCTCCAAGCGCCAAGAACAATCTTCAAACATCCTGACCTCGGGGGGGGGGGGGGGGATACCTCAGCAACCACATAGTAGTAGGTCTCAGTAAAACACCCGTCCCCGCCATCCCGTCCCCATCTCCCCTCATAATAAACACTCCAAGATGTTCGCCTTGAAGCGCCTCTCGACTATCGGTGCCCGCGGCTACTCTACCTCAGGGTATGCCTCCACCGCAAAGAACCTCCTTATCAATGCCGACACCAAAGTCATTTTCCAGGGTCCGTGTCTCAATTTTTTATATTTTTTTGTTCGGGTTACTCTGATTCTAACATGTTTATATAGGGTTCACCGGGAAACAGGGAACGTAAGTTTCATCGTAGTGGGTGGTAGAAAAACTACGTATATTGATATATGGGCATAGTTTCCATGCCCGACAAGCTATCGAGTATGGCACAAATGTCGTCGGTGGTATCAATCCCAAGAAGGCCGGGAGCACACACTTGGATCGTCCAGTGTTTGGCTCTGTGAACGACGCAGTTAAACAAGTTGGAGGCGAGTAAAATTCGAAATCTAAGCAACTGTATGTGGTGCGAATGTGGGGCTAAAATGATGAGTACTTTGCTTTACAGCGGATGCCAGGTACTACCTCACCCCAAAACCACAAAGGGGGAAATCTTAACAATCTTATGAGAGCATACGGGCATGGTTGGAGAGAGTGGGCAAAGTTTCAGGTGCGGGTAGCTGATATTGAATGAACTACGCAGTGCCATTTTCGTCCCACCTTCTGTTGCCGCTGCATCCATCGAGGAGGCCATCGCAGCTGAGATCGGTCTCGTCGTCTGTATTACTGAGGGAATTCCCCAGCACGATATGGTTCGTGTTGTGGACATTCTCAAGACCCAGAACAAGACCCGATTGGTCGGGCCCAACTGTCCTGGTATTATTGTAAGTGTTCGTGGAATTCAATGTACAGAACTATTCAGCTAATCTTCAAAACAGTCACCCGGACAATGTAAAATTGGCATTATGCCTGGCTTTATCCACAAGCGTGGAAGAATTGGAATCGTCTCCCGTTCTGGTACCCTCACCTATGAGGCTGTCAACCAGACCACTCAAGTTGGGCTCGGCCAAAGCCTTGTCATTGGTATTGGAGGAGACCCATTCTCTGGGACTTCCTTCATTGATGCTCTCTCCGTGTTTTTGAATGACGAGGGAACTGATGGTAGAACCCCTCGAAATTTCATTTTTGAATGCAAACTGGGCTAATAGTACACGTAGGTATCATCATGATTGGTGAAATTGGTGGTTCTGCAGAGGAAGATGCGGCTGAATACATCACCACCAACAACCCTAAGAACAAGCCAATTGTGTCTTTCATTGCTGGTATTACTGCGCCCCCAGGAAGGCGTATGGGTCACGCTGGTGCCATCGTTAGTGGTGGAAAGGGTGGTGCCGAGTCCAAGATCTCTGCGCTCGAGAACGCCGGCGCTATTGTTGAGAGGAGTCCCGCAAGGCTTGGAAAAGCTCTGTATGATCAATTCGTAAAGCGCGACCTTTTGTGATCCGTAGTCTAAGGTGCTTTTATGAGGGATATAGAGGAGATGTAGCCAATTTCCTTTTCTATCGTTTTTTTGTTTCATTTTCTAGCTTTTCTGCTTTACTCCCTTCTTGTAGTTATTCTCGGGAAATATATACCATGCACGACTTGTTTTGGGGGGAGGATATTCAAGGGATCATATTGAACCTCTGGATGGTAAGATGGATTACTAAGATTACCGGGGCTTAAATATAATTCGAAGGCTTTTAGCTAGCGAGCTTGATTTGTTCATAGTATTGGAGACCCACGGACGGCCATGCAGTCTTCTTTATTGCAGTTTATTACAGGCAAGAATGAGATATAAGAGCTCCCCGCAACCTTAGCTTATCAAACCTTAAAGCTCGAGCTCTGTTATGCCATCAGCCCTTATGACCTTAACCAGCAATCCCTTGTAATCTATCGGCAATCTCTTGACCAGCTAGATAATCCGACCATTAGTTAGTTTATTTCTATAAAGATACTATCACCAGATAGATGATTAATGGGTGCAGTTAACCAACCTCTTCGTGACACATTCTCAACAGCTTCTGTCCTTCCTCGAGCGTAATGTTCGGATTGTGGTGCTTGTCAAGAATGGAAAGACAGTAGTACTGTGCATATCCATGCGCTGAATAGGGTGTGCGTGCTGACGCCGCCAAGTAATCCAGCCAGTAAAGATGAGGCTCGTTGGTGTTTGTGTCAAAGCCGCCGATAAGAAGGTTCACGTAGTAAGGTTTCTATCCGAACGCAAGTCAGTTACTAGTAGGGAAATAACCAGGCAGTAGGAGGGGTCTTGGATATAACAGTGTTTCGGGGTAGATGTAAAGAAGTGATAGAGAGCTCATACCCTACTCCTTAGACTCTTCGCCAACTCTCTCCGAACAAAGCTTGCGACGGCACTCGGCGAAAGCTGCCATTTCGAGTTATTCCTCATTCCATATAGCTGAACGTTCGCCTGGATATATTCCGCAAACTGGACTATCATATTCTCCCCGCATCAGCTTACTTCTTTGTGGCCCGGATCACCACGGTACAGAAGATGAATCTAGCGGGCGGAGGGGTAAAAGGTGGGGCTAACCAGTATCCCCGGCTTCTCCAGAAAACGCCATCAATGTATGCGGGTTTAAAGTGCGGGTCTTGTCGTCTTCCTCTTTTAGGACGGTTACGCCGCGCATGGCGGCTTTGGACGCCGCAATGAGGACGAAGTCTTGCCCGGTAATGCCTAGAAGTACTTCCCTATGAACATGCAAAGCCGACGATGTCAGTCAATTAACCCAATAACATTAGATGTAGGATGAGCACGAACATGATTACAAGATGGAGTTTGGAGATAAACGGTGATGGGGGATGATTCTGATGATAGTGGTGGTTGTGTGGTGGGGAGCTTGTGCGTTGAAGTGAAGTTACCTACGTTTGTAGAGCTTCGGTCGATCATGCTCCATGTTGTCTTGGCACCTCACGTTTGCCCCACTTACAGAATGCGGAAATACCCAGTAATTCTAAAATAGCTCAAGGATCAAACCAATTCTGGATTATTGAGACCCAAATCGCCCCCTCCCGAGAATATTCTCCTTGTAGTGAGACCCATCGCGGCTTCGATTGCTATGATTCGCCGAGTGACAGTCTATGATCTTAGCTTCCAGACTAAAAATATTATTTGACTCGGGGGTGATGACAGTGCAAGAAACCTCGATACAATACTAGTACTCTTTTGCAGTTTGATATCTCCCACGTAAATTTAATATACATGTAGTCATTCCGGATATTTTTGAATCTTATTACTGTTACAGGCTGTTACATTCATGCAATTTTTATCCTTCCCGCCGTAGCCACCTGTGTATAAAAACTATTTGCCCAATTACCCAGCTCTACCCATTTAGTCCCAATACTTGATAACATTGTCCAGCCCCGCACTTGCCACCTTACTGGTCTCTTGTGGATGCCACTGTGCTGCCACGACTGGTCCATCACTAGCCTGAAATTTATGGTACATTTTACAAGTCTTCCAATCCCAGAAGCACAGAAACCCACCAGAATCACCACTCATCAGGAACTGGCCGTCAGGAGAAATGTCTACGTCGATGGCATAACCGGCGTTGTTGTGACCACGGAATACCTTCTTTCGGTTTTGACGGAATTTATCTGTTGCAGCATAAACAACAACTTGGTTGTCGCCGGACTGATAGGCAACGTATTTTCCGGTAGGATGTAACGATGCACGAACCATCGAGTACATATATGGCTCTGCAATGAACTTGATGGGTACCGGAATGCCATATTCCCAAGCACGAAGGGATTTATCGTCAGATGTGGTGATGAAACGGCGATTCTCGTCAACAAAGGTAATGGTGTTGACAGGCCCGAGATGGTGATCGTATTCTTGGGCAACCTCTTCTGTGCGTGTATCAAATTGAATGATCTTTTTGTCGCTCATACCTGCCAGGAACTCATGGTGCAGGCTAGGCTCCGGGTTAAATCGGATAACATGTGGAATCTTGCCGGTAGTGTATCGATGGATACATTTCCCGGTTTCGGTATCCCAGAGCTTCATGTAGCGATCATAGGATGCAGTGAGGAATTGAGTACCATCGTTGTTGAAAGTTATGTCTGTGACCGCCTTTGAGTGACCATTATAGGTACGAAGTAACTCACGATCATGATAAACATCCCAAATCTGCAGAAAGGTAATTAGTATGATGCAAGCAGCGATTACCCTTATGAAAAGAACTACATACCTTGACCTTTGCGTCACTACTACTAGATAGCAAGAGGTGACCTGCGCCTGGAAAGAACCTGAGGGCTGTGATAGGCTTTGTGTGCCCTACCCAAGTATGCACCAATTTCTTAGGTATGTAATTTGTCCAGCTTCCAGGCTCCTTCCCTAGATCCACATCCAGATCCTGCGGTACATGCATATAAGTCCTTCCTTGATAATCGTACTGTTGTGAGCCATGGAACTCTGTAGTCTCCTTTCCTACTCCACCAGTATTCACGTCCAAATATTCCTTTCCAGCCTTATCAATAATTGGATTCGATGCTGGCGCCACGTATTCTTCCTCTCCTTCCTCCTCCTCCTCCCCCTCTGATTCTGAAAGTGTTGTTGGCGGCATATTATATTTTGCCCATGGTCCCACATATGCGTTCTCTCCATCAATAACTGAAGGGTCCCCCTTTCCTGTTCGTTTCTTCTTTATCGCGTTTGTCTCCTCTCTTGAAGGCCTGAGTTGAACCACATCCTTCCCGCCGTGCAGCACGACACTATCCTGATTACCAACAAAGGTGTTACCGTTTGCCGATAATGAAGGATCCTGTGCATATCCTAAAGAAATAAAGGTCCGCTGTTGTGTCCGGAAAGTTGATTCAGAGATCGCAGACTCCTCTGCGTAGCCTGTGAGTACGTTCTTTCGTTTCCTAGAGGCGCTATCGGCGGACATGAATGGGTTCGATGGCCCAACGATGGGCGCAGAAAGCTGTTCATAAGTCATGTTCGTCGTAATTTGTTTATCAGTCTGCTTTATAAGGGATTGGCGAAGCTGCATAGGGTCCTGTGAGGGTATTAGCTAGCTGAAATCGAGAATATGGAAAACTACTAAGAGTGTTGACTCAACCTCTAAAGAGACATCAGGAGCGGCTACAACTCTCGTGGCAGAGGTAAATTGAGGAATACCGGCGGATGTAGAAGAGCCTGCCCCTTCGTCATCGCTGGAAGCATAGTCAACAAGCGACATTGACATCGCGAGAAAGATCTAGAGTTGTTTATGGTGTCGCGTCAAAATGAAGGTGTTGGGCTGTTGTCTGTGATAGTTTGGATGTGGCAAGTAGAGAGTAGCTAGGGGTTAGGGTTAGTTAGTACCAAGCTCAGGTCATTGCATGCATGATGATGCACAAACCTAATGTAGTCACAAGTACCGCATCAATTCGCCTCAACGGACGGTCACAGTACGTTGGAATTCCCCTCATTCTCGCTGTAAAAGGTAACTTCGACGCCTTGCGTGACAGTCCGCTGAGACGAATTACTGCGGTACCGGTATTTACGTACTATACATGTAGGTACAGCCACTACCAAGAAGTCTTCGTGATGGCGCACACCACGCCCACCAAAAAAAGGTACAAAGCGACACACCAAAACACAAATATCTTTGAATAACTTCACAACCACAACAGATATTAAAATTCTGTTTGAGATGAGAGCAGGTATAGCCCTCAAGAGGCTCTACGTTTAAGCAAAAATTAACGGCTGCTATTGGTGTCGAGTTATTTAAATTTTGGTGTATTGCCTTTAGGATTGGGTGCACCTTACGTAGATAGTCACTTTGGACATGGTATAGGTTCACAATCACAGAATCTATTACTTTTGATTAGATAGAAAGTCTCTTGGATACTATATCTGCTCCTGTACCAAACATAATTTTAATATCTTTTGTGGTTGTGAAGTTATTCAAAGATATTTGTGTTTTGGTGTGTCACTTTGTACCCTTTTTTTGGTGGGCGTGGTGTGCGCCATCACGAAGACTTCTTGGTGGTGACTGTACATTCATGACTCAAGCTTAAACAGTCTTGAATTTCAGCATCAAACCTGATCTTATTAATGACTTGAACAATGAATTTACTCTACAGGCTATTGAACGTTTTAAAACAACGGTTTGCCTCCTATCATAGTCATACAGTACACCGTCGGACAGAAATGCTCAGGCCCCAAAACATCTTTACACCTCCCTGACTACTTTATCAACGGCAGTCGCAAAGTATTCAACATTGTGAGTATTTAGCCCAGCCTACCAACCGAAGAAATGTAAGTAGGTGCATAAAATAGCACTAGGATTACATAAGAACATACCATTGAAATCCTTCCATTCTTGGTAAGATAAATGTGAGATTCTTCTCTAAGCTTCAAAACTTGCTTCTCATTCAAGCCAGTGCTAAAAGAAGAAAGTAACCAGGTCAATATCAGAAACCAAAGAATATGTATGGTGTACGAGCTTGGTGGAAATCTTACAATGAAAACATCCCAATCTGTTTCAAGATGTGAGACCAGTCGCCCGGCGTGCCTAGTTCAACCAATTTGTCGTGTAGAGCAGTCCTCATGCTCTTGATCCTCCCACTCATCTCGGACAAATTCTCACACCACTCGGCGAACAACTTCTCATCGTTTAAGACTAGGTTTGCAATCCTTGCGCCATATGCAGGGGGGTTACTGATTTCACTCCTCTGGAGAATTGCTAACTGACTCGCAATCCTTTTGATTCCATCCTGCGCATTTGGTGATGGTGGCGAAACGAAATGGAAGCATCCAGCACGTTCGCCATAAAGACCAAGGTTCTTTGCGAAAGATTGGGCCACACAAAGCTCAAACCCTTCCTCCACAAAGTAACGGATAGCCCAGGCATCATTATCAAGATCCCCAGAAGCGAAGCCTTGGTAAGCACAATCGAAGAAGGGGAAATGTTTCTTTTGCCGTATTACCTCAGCAATCCTTTTCCATTGCTCTTTTGTGGGGTCTACACCAGTAGGGTTGTGGGCGCAAGCATGAAGAAGAACAACCGAGCCCTCCGGGGATGATTCCAAACTGCTGCATAGACCGTCGAAGTCAAGCCCTTTGGTAGAAGGGTGAAAATACGGATATGTTGTTGATGCCAGACCGACATTAGAGAAAATTTGGGGGTGATTGGCCCAGGTAGGGTTGGAGATGAGGACCTTTTGGTCTTGGGGGCGAGGAAAGAATTTGGCAAGGAAAAGGGCACCAAGGTGAACTGCACCTGTACCGGAAATGGTTTGCACAGAGGTTACCTAAGTCAAAACTTAGTATTTAGAATTTAACCGTAAAAATAGTTTAAACCAAGTTTTCTTTCTCTACTGAAGAAAAAGGAAAGAAAAAAACATACACGATTCTCTACGATAGCAGGACTATCAGAGCCAAGGATCAAACGTGCTGCAGCGGAGGTGAAGGTTGGGAGTCCAGCAATAGGAAGATATTCGTGGTTTAGGTTCGGATCATTTGCTAAAATGGACTCTGCCTATATAGGACCTCTGTCAACAATTATTCCGAAAAGGCATAAACAGCCAAAGATGAAGAGGAACAAACCTTCTTGACAACTGGTAAAATCCATGGCTTCGCATTATCATCTCTGTAAGCCCCAACACCCAAATCCACCTTTCTATCGAATGTATCCGCTTTGTAAGCGGCCATGAGTCCAAAAAGTGGATCAGTAGGTGCCAAAGGCACCGCATCGAAAGAAGAAGCCATCGGGGTCGGGGGTGGAGCAGAGATGTGAGCGGTGATAGAGGCCAAACGGTCTTTAGATGAAGAAGAATGTGATGACATTGAAGAGGGGGTGGTAAGGTGTAGATAGCTGAAGCAAGATAAGTACAATACCCTAAGTGTAGCGAGTCACTGTGCCGTGCTTTACGTACTCAGTTCTATCTTAGCTTACTGCAGGATTTGGCGGCGTGGGACGAGGGGTTGAAGATAACTTGCTAGGAAGAAGCTAAAGAAGGCGGGGGAGTGAGCTTTGATATTCAGGCTCTTTATTAGCGTAACCTCATGCGTGATTATAATCTTCCGGGCCGAGGAATTGACCTGTGTCTAAGCCCTCTGAAGGAAGGAAGGTTTCATCAGCATGTGTGGAAACAGCCGCTCCCGCAGAAGACCCTGGTCTCTCATCGCAACGGTCTCTAGTTCCAGAAACCCCCAATAGTATATTTTGACCCACCAAGCTCACGGTCTTCTGGAACTCGTCAGATGTTTTTCCATGCATGCGAATGAGTCGTCCTTGTGACACTTCGCTCACGAGGAGCCTGCTCAACATGAGTATGGTCCTGAAACTTCACTACCCTCCCCCTGCATACCAAGAAGTCTGACTGCTATTCTATGTACACATGTGAAGAGCTACATGTAGGTACATGAGTATGGATTAGGCACTATGTATTCCATAAGTACTGTTTTAATATCCTTACGGATTACCAGACGTAATTTTCTCAATTGTTCATGCGTGTAGGTACTCTTCCATACTCTGCCGGTGGTGCCTTAACTGATTTTAACTGATTTTCGCTACTTAGGACCAGGTTTACACATCTGTATGTGCGCGCCGTGTCGCACCACCCGAATAAGTATCTTTCAGATGCCCTTTTTAACGAATTCCAGCCACTCCCCGAACCCTGGATCTAATAGGTAGTTCGAATATGTACCTACATGTACTCGCGTTTCCGGGCTGGACTGGGTCTGCATACCACCAAAATATGGTTCTTATGCACGATTTTCGCCCATATGCAGACCCAGTTCAGTCCGGAAACGCCAAAAAATTGCGAGTAGTTAGTGGTGCAAGCCGGGCTTTCCCCACATAAATCTTATCTGATTGCGAGGTTATTAGGCTAATGTACATGTAAATTCAGGGACAAAACTTTCTCTGGAGCACTGCCGTTACACATGACTACGGTACCTGTATGTTCAAGAAACGGTATTTATATCTTTATCTATTGAGCTTTTTAACCGAACGTCACGCCAGAATTACGCACCAAAAATACCCGGCTAAGAAGGTTCGACGTTTTTTTCTTCTCTCTTTTTTTGAGCAGCCGTAGAACGCGCAGTGCTCGACTGGGGACACAATAGCTATGGCCTGCATATCAACAATCTTCGATTGACTCTTTGAAACTTAAAATCTTCGGTCATTTATGCACAACACAGGGCGGTGAAAATTTGTGTTCATTCTTCCCACAGAATTGACTCCGAGTGCCCAGGATTTTTAATTAACTACATGTACACACTTAAGTACAAAATCCCTAGTTTTCAATAACTCTCAAGTCATATTCAATTCTTAACTCTTAGTAGGCATTCTCGAGCCATTGCCTCACTCAAATCCGAGGTGATCTTAGACAAAATGTGCCCCGGTCCTCGGTATGGTGGATTTGGCTGAGGGATGATACATACTCTTATAGAGTATGGACTTGTCACAGCGGACCGGAGTACAGGGTAAACCACACGTATTGAATACTTGTGTTCCACAAGAGCGCGTACCTACATTCGCTACATATGTACGATTATAGATTATGCGTGAGGTTCCACAACCCCTTGCCCCGAAGCTTCAAATAGTCTCGGTCTAGAGGAGCTCACGGGGGAACGGCCAATCCGGGTTACGAATTATGTCCAAACATGATGACTTGGATGACACGGACTTAAGGAAGTCGAGCTGGGTGTACGGTTACGAATGTTCGCCGCCTCCGCGCGTTTTCGGGTGGTGGAGCATCCTACAAGGGTATTTTCTCGTACGACCGAATTCCTTGTGCTACGTCGAGTCATGTTTCTGTCTGGAAGTAGGGCTGAGTATGAACTTGAAGATCAAACTTAGGGCACCAATAAGGTTACTCAAAATACTACACGTACGTTCATGCAATCATAGGGCTGTGGGGCACCTAGTCTGGATAGAGCATCAGAGCATAAAATTTGAATTCGTGGCTTGAGAGGACTTCTCATCGCCTGAAGGGATGAAGTTGTCAAAAGGTCACAAATAATGCTTGTGTAACTACAGGTTGTTCATAGGACACTGTCAATGATCATTCCGCATATATCTACATAACTAGGTCTGTTTTCTAGATCCTAACTTATAGATTCTCCCTAAGGCTTTACACGATAAAACCAGAAATAGGTTTGATTATACCCAGGAAGACTTACTGATTGTATTGCTCACGAGGACGCTTTTTCTGACAGTATTCTCTGGGAGTACTATAGATACCGCAATAGTTGACCTTAGTTAAGTTCCAAAAGTACGATAAGCTCCTCATACAAATTACACCATCGCCCTATTCAGTAATAGTAACGCTAACAGCAATATTAAAAACATTTGCTATCATATATTCACTAGGGTTTAACGGGCACTGGTGTGATATATAGTCAAAGAGACAAGAGAGACAGCTAAGCTCAATTGTCTTTGCTTTTATTAGCGCCCGATGCGAACCACCCTATCCATCGATAGACCGTTAATGACAGTACTAACAGACATATTAGCAAACATTCATGATAGTGAATTAAAAGTTTGATCAATTTGGCTTATGCCAAGTATAGTCAAATCTACCGATAAGAGTACATACCTATTAGAACTATAATCGCCTTATAATGATATGCATTCTCAGTCTTTATTAGGCTTACGCATTCTCCCTAAATATAATGCACATACTTTATAAAGGTACCACTTACATCCCCGAGAGTACCCTTAGGGAGATTTGGCTGTAACCAGAAACAAAGTGCGGAGTATCTAAACTCAAAATATTGTTCGTTGGAGAACTTCCCGTAGGGCGATAGAAAGGACTCTATCGATTCTATTACTTCTATCGCCCGATAGAAAGATGGTAGAGAGGTGCCCACTTCCCGCAGGATAGAGAAAATCGAGATTTTTATTCAACTAGCAACTACTATTTGGTCAGGACGAGGATGAGGCGAGCTATGGAACCGAAAAATACATGTAGGATAGAACGTCTTCTATTGCCTACCGGAAGTCCTCTGTTACCAGACAAGAAGACTACTTAAATTGCAGATCCACAATGCCGTGGCCATGTGGCTCACCAAACCAAAACCTGCGGAGAGCAATGAAGCTGGTACTGATACTAGTTCCAATTTGGTATTATCAAGGCAGATTTGAGATTTGATATTTTGGGCAGCCTTAAAAGGCCGTAGGTAACTTTGTATATATAACCCAGCGACGGAAGCCCCTATATATAGCTATCCATAAACGTTCGTGGATAGGATATCCCATTCAGGAGCAAAGGTTTATACCGGATATGGGTGAAAAGATCGACTGTAGAGTACCCAGCGCAGTAGTGTATAATTACTATACTCTTGGTAGAGAAGCAGGCAAGTGCAGTGGTCTCTACAATTAAGTATTTGCTCATATTTGAACAGCGAGGTAGATAATTTGGTTAGAATACATATACCGGTCTAGTTATTCCAATCCTTTAGGAATTTCCCTTTTCTGGATTTGCGGGGGTGCGTCGTTAACTCTCAATATCCCTTCCTAAGTATGAATATTGGTTTTCTAACGAAGCAAGTTAAAACACTAACAGTAAGGCACTCAATACACAGTGATATCTCGATAGGCCAGGTACAGTACTTTGCCGTTAATTGAGGGTTGGGTGGATCATATTTATTTTGGCACCGACGATAAAGATATCTTCTCGCTAGAGCGAGAGATTTCGATGGTTAGAAGGATAAATAGCCCATGTAGGCCCGCTATTTAGTTGGTCTGGCCCGTAATACATATTCGGTCCATGGATCCAGTCCATAGCGTAATGAACGGCCGGCCTTACAAACTTATATGTTGATTCCCACTTTCGATATGTATTTCGCTTCAAATAACTCGTTTTTTTATCTTCTGTCCCTAAGGAATTCTTACTATCTTTAATATATGTATAGGCCAGATTTGGTAGTAAAGTTTCTCTAAAAAAAATATGGCCCTCGATACATCGTTCCACCAATATCATCAGTACCTAGTCTATAGCCTAGTTCAGTCCGCCCCTGCCGTATTGGTCTGGTCCGGTTCTAGTTCGTTGGAACTTCTGCTGGAACTTAAAGTTCTCACTACTAACATTACAATGTCCAGTTAATTCTAGCATGATCAGGAAACAAAGGCAAAAACATCCCGCAAACACACACCCTTCTGTTGCCCGCCTTGAACCTCAAGGCTACATGTATGTACTGAGATTATAACTGTTGCGTGATTTGTATTTGGCTGACTTTCATCAATTTTTGACTTAGCAGTTCGCTCGGCCTTCCAGCTCGAGAAGTCTCGTAGATCACCTCAGCTAATACTACCAGCCTTTCCCTCTCACTTAAGGATAATGTGGGTTATATTTTGCTTTTATACCTTCTGCCTAATTAAGCTTCCAAACTTTGGGGTTTGGGGGGATAAGCCACCTTACCACTGGTGCTAACTAATCAATCCCTGGAAACGCTGATATATATATATATAAAACTATGGTACGTAAAGTAGATACTACCTTTTCACAAAGATAATTGGGCGGGCAAAGCTAATCCCAGCCCTAAAACTGACAAATTAATGGCACCGGGATGGGGATGATTGGATCGCCAGTGCATAAAACGTTTCGTGCATAGGGCTGGTTGCTAATTCCAGCAGCCAAGATTTGAGTTGTGCGTGGATAGTTAAACGTCGTAGGTACATGTAGTACATGGTTCTGAGTCGCCGGCCCAAAACCGAACGTCTTCAGGGACGGTCAAGAAGATACCTGCCAAGACTTTTGATATTAGGCTCCTCCTCCTTCAAAGATTGATAATTAGTAATAGCGGGGAGGGTCAATGACCTTTACAGCTTAGCTACATGTACGGCTCAAAAGCACGCGTTATCAAATGCATAGAAGACCACGCCACATCGATCTATTCTTTTACCTTCCAAGAGCAGAGCATATCAAGTAATAAATATTGAAGTCTGTGATAACTCAAGCAGCTATAGTACACACAACATAACTATAGACACACATACCTAATTGCGACGCTCCTTCATTTCTGCGCATACGCAAGGTGACAAAAGTGAAGCTCCAAACTCCGGTAACCTGATTGGCGCCGATCATACAAGTAGAATTTGGAGCCAGCTCTGTCTGCGCAAAGGGCCTAATAACTTGATTGAGCCTGTGGATGAAAGATAGTGTGTGTGTTTATCGCTAAAATACCACTTAAGCTTTAGCTATGGATAAACATCAATCGAGTGCTCCTTCGTGATACGAGAAAGCACCAAGCCAGGGAAGCACCACAGAGAGTATTTTCAGGGCACAAGATCCAGACTTCTTGGTAAAATGAACCGGACCGAGATGCATCTGGTTCTTTATTTTGCCTGCCAAAAATACTTGGTATTGCACGTACATACATGTAGTTGAAGTATCCCCCGCCTCTTAGTACTCACTCTAGATCATGAGTACCTCAATATCAAAATTTCACCACCGGCTTTCTCGGCGGCAAGTAAAATAGATACCCAATAACAATTAAATATAGTTGGCTAAATTACATGAAGTTTTCCGGAGTCACACTCAAATTGTATGCACAGATACCTTGTATCCTGAAATACTTTTACCAGAGCGGAATGCTGCAGTTGCAAGAAGCTTTTCGTTGGACCAAGGAACCGTTGACGCACGGACCGTGGATCATTGAAGCGCCTCTATCCCTGTGCGATAGCGAATTTTAAATGTTGATGCGGCTGAAAGCAGCAACGGCTAAAAAGAAACTAAGTAATGACGTCGAAGCTGGGCACCCGGCTTATCACCGTAAAGATCTGGATTCTGTGGCTGCCGGCGGGCTTTTCTTTCTTTGGAGAGCTCTGAATTGTAGAGTGGGGAGCAGTGCGATAGGGGTTTGTAGAGTAGGCTGTAGTCTGTGTGCATAGGTACATGTAGAGTACATGTAGGTACATACATGTAGTTATTTATGCGGATATAACTCTGATATAACTACATGATGTTTCCCCTCATCCTTTGATAATGGGATAAAATAGATACCAATCCGCATGCTGTTTTTTGATATGAAAATACCGGTATCGTCCCGGTCCTTGCCGTTTCCATGTGTATGCCTTCCTAGCGAGCAATGAGGAGCGCCTGGAGATGCAGTTCCTGGAATGGTGACGGCGTGAATCCCCGCTACCCCCCGTTCTCCTAGATACACAGGAAGTTGCCTGTTGGCGGCGGCGCGGTTTCTGCCATTAGTTGGGCCAAAGGTAGAGCTGGAACTTGGCTGCATTTACAGTGCAGGGAAGCTAAAGAAGTACCTTCCCGGAAGTGGGACTGGTTTGTTTCGTGGTCCACCTTCGTTACGTCGTTTGCTGCATGGGTTCCTAATATCACTGGCTGAGCTGTTATGCTTGCCCCACCGAACCCCTCTTCATCTTCGCCCGCCTCCTCCCTTTATCATCCTCTCCATCTCTGCTATCATCGTATCTCATCAGTGATTCTCATCAAATTTTTCAGTAGCATACTTTGAAGATGGTGAAGCACGGAGCTCATTCATACCTTTGTGCGGAGGAACGACGATTGAAAGAAGACAGAGATAGAACAAAGTATTGGAAGAAGTGGGGACCGTATCTCAGCGAGTAAGTCAAACTCAAGATGAAGAAGGGATAATGAACAACTCTGGTTAACCTAGGTACAGGCGTCAATGGGGGACAGTTCGTGAGGATTACTCGTAAGTTTGCTATAATCCAACTTTCAGAACAATTGTTCAAATTACAGTTCAATTGGAATTAAACGCTAATCGAATAATTCGTTGCCATTTATTAGTGAGAATGGTGATGCATGGACCCGTATGTTTTCAAACTCATTTTTTTTTATCATTTCACTTGTTCTTCACATGGTATCTCTTTACTGATGATATTGATTTGCCACTCATTCCAGACTTTCCTCATGACCATGCAAGATCACGCACCTACCGTTGGGGTGAGGATGGTATTGCTGGTGTGTCCGATTCACATGGTCTTCAAAACATCTCTTTTGTCTTCTGGAACGAACAGGAGTATGAAATTCCCTCTTTCTCTCTCACACATTTTTCGGAGACAGTTTTCTGAATGATTGAACAGTGATTTCTTGAAGGAACGCTTGTTTGGTCTCTCGAACCCCCAGGGAAACCATGGAGAGTCCCTCAAAGAGGCCCATTTTCATCTTGACAACACGCCCACTCACTCGTACATGAAATATCTTTACAAGTACCCCCAGCGGAAGTTCCCTTACAAGACCCTTGTCGAGGAGAATGCAAAGCGCAGTAGGGATGTTCCGGAATACACACTCCTCGACACAAATATCTTCAAGTATGAGTTCCTCTAAATCTTGCTGATCTAAGCAAAGATATTTTTTTTCTAAGCATCGTATTTCTAGGGATGATCGTTACTGGGATATTATCATCGAAACCGCCAAAGACACTGAAGATGAGGAGGAACTCCTTTTCCGTATCACTGCCTGGAATCGCGGTCCAGAACCTGCACCCCTTCATATCATCCCTCATATGTGGTTCCGTAACACTTGGTCATGGGGTCATGAAACACCAGACAAAAAGCCCGAGATCTCCCAGAAGTCTCCTTTTCTCGCAGAGTCAAAGCATTGGTCTTTGGGGCCTAGGTACATGCAGCTTTCGCCATCTCCTGGTGTTGCCGCGGAATCCGATGATGTGATACCACAACTTCTATTCACGGAGAACGATACCAATTTCGAGGTCTTGTACGGCGGAGAGAATGAGCAACCATATGTGAAGGATGCCTTCCACCGTTACATTGTAGACGAGGAGAAAGAGGCAGTTAACCCAGCACAGAAGGGAACAAAGGCAGCAGCGTGGTACGCTTTCGAAGAAGGAGATGGTATTGCGCCTGGGGCTTGTGCAGTAGTCCGATTCAAGTTTACCAAAAACCCCAACAAAGGTAATGGCGATAACGTTGCTCCTGACGCCGAGATTGATGAAGCCGGAATCGACGAAGAAGAGTTTGATGATATGATTGAGCGTCGTCGGTCAGAGGCCGATGAGTTTTACTGGCGTATCTCGCCTCTTCCCATGGCGGATGATCTCAGGAACATTCAGCGTCAAGCATTGAGTGGTATGTTATGGACAAAGCAGTTTTATCACTTTATTTGGGACCAATGGGCGAATGGCGACCCTGCACAGCCGCCACCACCTCCAGGAAGAAAGGGGATTAGAAATCAACAGTGGAGACACATGCATCTGGATGATATCCTTAGTATGCCAGATTGTTGGGAGTATCCCTTTTTTGCGGCGTGGGATACAGCGTTCCACACAATTCCGTTGGCGATGGTTGATCCAGATTTTGCAAAAAAGCAATTGGATGTGATGACCAGAGAATGGTACATGCATCCTAACGGACAGGTAGGTTTCCACAACCAAGTATTGATGGATTTTTTTTTTTTTTTTTTTTTTTTTTTATGGAAGTTAACACCATGGCATTTCGGAATAGATTCCAGCTTATGAGTGGAACTTTGGGGATGTCAATCCTCCAGTTCATGCCTGGGCCGTGTTCAGAACATTCAAAATGGAGAGAAAACTATATGGCAGAGAGGACCTTGACTTCTTGGAGCGCGTCTTCCAGAAACTCTTGCTCAACTTCACATGGTAAGTTGACCCAATGATGTTCTTTTAACGAGTGATTTCTTATGATTCTGTTTGTTAGGTGGGTCAACCGCAAGGACTTTGACGGCAAGAACGTTTTCGAGGGTGGTTTCTTGGGACTTGACAACATTGGAATCTTCAACCGTTCTGAGCCGTTGCCTACAGGAGGTGTTTTGGAACAGGCCGATTCCACTGGATGGATGGCGTTCTATTCGCTGAACATGTTGAACATCGCCCTCGAGCTCGCCAAACATCGGCGTATCTACGAAGACATTGCAAGCAAGTTTTTCGAACATTTCATCTTCATCAGTGATGCGATGACATACAAGGGCGACGGAGAAGGTGGCGAGTCAAGTCTGTGGAACGAAGAAGACGGGTACGCATAACTTTTATTTTTTTTTACTGCTCTTAATTGAATCTGCTTGCTAACCAAAAAAAAATTTAGATTCTATTATGATGCAATTTCGTGGGGAGGACCTTGGTCCCAGCAGATGCCTGTCAAGTCTCTCGTCGGACTTATCCCGCTGTATGCCGTTCTCACGCTTGAGCCGGAGTTGATGAACAAATTCCCCAGCTTCAAGAAGCGGGTGGATTGGTTCGTTCAAAACAGGAACGATGTTGCTGAGCGAAACATTGCAAGTATGTCCAAGAGAGGACAGGGAGACCGAATGCTGCTGTCCCTCGTAAGCAAGGACAGGCTAGTCAGAATCTTGGAAAAGATGCTGGACGAAGATGAGTTTTTGAGTGACTACGGTATCAGATCGTGAGTTGCCATTCTGAATAAATTTCCGCTTGGGGGGGGGGATACACTTGCTAATCATATCGGGATGAAAGACTATCGAAATACCACAAGGACAAGCCGTATTCCATGAACGTGAACGGACAGGAGTTCAAGGTGGACTATGTCCCAGGTGATTCAAACAGCTCGTTGTTTGGTGGAAACAGTAACTGGCGAGGAGTAAGCCATTTCTTATACGATCCCCTGTGTGATCCATTGCCGCTAACCTAACCCGTACAAACTTAGCCCATTTGGCTCTGCGTCAATTTCTTGCTCATCGAATCTCTTCTAAGATTCTACATGTTCTACGGCGATGAGTTTAAGGTTGAGTGTCCCACGGGCTCTGGTGAATACATGCACCTTGGGCACGTGGCCGAGGAAATCCAGCATCGTCTGCAACACATCTTTGCGCAGGGCGAGGATGGGCGCCGGGCATGCAACGCCGGTAACGATCTCCTCGACTACAACCCGCACTGGCGTGACAACCTGTGGTTCCACGAGTTCTTCCACGCAGACGATGGCCGTGGTTTGGGAGCGTCCCACCAGACGGGTTGGACAGGGTTGGTTGCAAAGCTGATCCACGACTCTGGCATCAACTGCCGTGTACCCCAAACCCCGCGCACACCCGGCACTGCCGCAAACCACTACTTTGACGATATATTCTCCAGAGTCAACAAGCCGAAGCCCTACATGGGCCGGCGCCAGTCAACGAGGAGTATCGACGCCAGGAGTGACTGGGGTGGCGACGAAGACGAGGAGGAGAGGTTGGCGAGGGAGAGGGACGACGAGGAGGTGCTGGGCTATGTCAACCAACAGCTGCAGAGAGTCAAGAGCAATGTGTCCGTGTTTGGCGTGGAGGACGACGAGTTGGAGACGACATGGCGTTGATTGTAGATAGAAGTCAAGGGTCAAGGCGGCGGCCGGCGGCCGGCGGGGGGGGGGTATATCTTGTGTTTTGGTTTTTGTCTTTTTTTTTTTTTTTTTATCGGTGGACGCTTTGTAGGATTTTGAAAGCATATGACTCTATACTCTCTATATACATGTGTAGCAACGAATGATAAGAGGATCAAAGTAAGGCAAGAGAAGAGGAGTGACCAAAGTAGCATTTACCGGACGGGTGATCATTGGCCCTTGCCAGCACCGTGCAACGACTGCGTCTACGTGTGATAAATAGGAACTATCAATCATTGATCAATCAGCCAAGCTACGTATAATACAAAGTATCAATCGTCCCGGCCTGCGTATAATACGAACTATCAATCAATTGCAATCGACCCGCGTAGAACAACAGTGCCCACCCACGCTGAACAAAACCAAGCATCAGCAACACCGCAACTCTCGACCTATATTCTTTTTCCTAGCTACAAGCTGCAAGCTGCAAGCCACAGAAGCACTCTACAAACCCCCCTCTTCCTCCCCCAGCCCAACCCAACCCAACCCAACCCAACCCCATCTACACAGTCTATACATACACACATCTACACATCTACACCGCCGTCAAAGCCCTAATCTCCTCCAACGCATCCACAAAATCCTCCCACTCAACCCTCTCCCCCGCCACCCTACGCACCCACACCTCGGCGCCCCCGGGCGCCCTCAGCCCCCTCTCCACAACCGCCACATAGTACACACACGCCGCCGCAACCGCCCTAGCCGGGAAAAAATTACAAACCCGATACCTCGTCATGGCCTGCGCGACCTTGACCCACACGGCGCGGCCCAGCGCCGTATCCTTCCAGTCGACGACGCGGCACTCGAGGCGCTCCTCCTCGGCCGCCGGCGCGTCGGACAGCGTGAGCGCGCGCTCCAGCAGGCGCGGGAGATACTCGTAGGGGAGGGGCAGGCGCAGCTCGAAGCGGAGGACGCGCAGCAGCAGGAGCTCGGCGGTGACGAGCGTGGAGCGCAGCGCGTCGTAGAGCGGCGAGGGGAAGGTGAGTGGGGGGCTGGTGGGGTGCTGGAGGGTGTAGGCGGGGATGAGGAATTCGCGCAGGCGCCGCGGCGACTCGGTGGCCTTTGTGGCGAGGGAGAGGGAGGCGAGGGAGAGGGTCTGGTGGGCGGTGGCCGGGGCGGGGCGGGTACCCGGGGGGCCGGGGGCGTTAGCTTGGTTCTTCTTGTCTTGGAGTTGTATGGTTATGGAGGGGGAGGGGGAGAGACGTGTTCGTCGAGGAGGTCAGAGACGGGCTGCCGGGCGTCGGTGTCTGCGCCGGCGCTGTCTGGCGAGGGCGAGCTGTCGGCGGCAGCAGAGTCGGTGTCGGCGCACCAGCGCTTGTAGCGGTGGATGTACACGTAGGCCATTGTCAGCGTCTCGCTGGACAGCCGCAGCGTGTCGGCCATGAGCGTCAGGAACGTGGCCGGGTCGTCTGAGGGCAGCAGCAGCGGCGCGGCGGGGGCGGCGGGGGCGGCGGACGAGGGCTTGCCGAGCGGGAGCGGGCGCGAGGTGGAGCGGTGCGGTGAGGGCATTGTTTGTATATCGAGAGTTATGGGTGTGCGGAGGGAATCGCAGCGTGGGTTAATGCCAATGTCAACCGTTGTGAATTGGCTGCGCGAGAGAGAGAGCTGCCGCCAAGAAGGTGAGGCTGAGCTGGGGCAACGACACGGGAGACAGAGCTACACCAACACTTGACTATCTGCAACTATCTGCAACTATCTGCAACTATCTGCAACTATCTACAACCCCACAACCCACAGCCCACAGCCCACAGCCCACAACTGCCTATCTACCGCACACAATGGCCGAACCCCGCCTCAAAGCCACAATCTTCGTCGGTATGCCTCACGTCCCCCCCCCTTCCTCCCCAATCTCATCTTCAAACCACAGCATACTACAATCCCCCCACTGTCCCCCCCCACTAACAGCCCCCCCCCCCCCCCCCCAGGCGGCCTCGACCCAACCATCACCGCCCCCCTCCTGCACGCCGCCTTCCTCCCCTTCGGCACCATCGCCTCGGTGCAACTCCCGCGCGACGACCGCAGCACCGACCCGCACCGCGGCTTCGGCTACGTCGAGTACGAGGACGCGGCCGACGCCGCCGCCGCAATCGACAACATGGACCAGGCGCAGCTGGCGGGCCGCGTGCTCAATGTCGCCCAGGCGAAGCCGCAGAAGGAGGGCGTGGTGCTGGGGAGTAAGGTTGCTGTTTGGGAGCAGGTATGTTCTTTCTGTTTTTGTGAGAGGGGATGGGAGGGGGGGTGGTGGTGGCTAATGGACGTGTGGTGGGCAGGAGAGCTGGCTGGAGAAGCATGAGGTGAGTGAGGAGGATAGGGCGGCGGCGCAGGGCGCGAAGGAGGAGGCCATGATGGGCGAGAGGGGGGGCGATCCGATGCAGGGGCTGGAGGGGCTGGATGTTGCGGGGCCGAAACCGCAGTAGTGGGGACTTTTATAGTCTGGGGTTTCTTTTCTTGTTCTTTTTCTTTTTTTAGGAATTATATTCTTTTTTTCTAGCTGGCGTTATGGAGCATGTATAGCAGAGGAAGCGCTTCTAGTTACGGAAAGTAGGAGAGGAGAGGAGAGCACGATTGATAGTAGTGGTGGTGGTGGTGGTGGTGGGCGGTGGGGGATAACGAAAACAAGGCACCAATATCACACACAATCAACACACTCGCAATCACATAATAATCACACAGTACACCCTACAGGCAGACATCCAAGCAGTGATATCTCACGCATTGCATACCAACTACCTACAAAACCTTCCCCGCCCCCGCCCCAGCTATGTACTCCATTCCCCCGTTCTCCCGGCTATACTGCCACCGGCCCACACTTGTAATGCACTTAGTGGCCGGCCCTTGGGGAGCGCGACAGACGCAGCTGCTTGTCGACCCACAGCTTGCGGCCCATGGAGAAGAATGCCACTGCCGATACGTCAGTAGAGTACTTGTGTAGTAGAGTAGATGTATAGGATCCGGGTTGGGGGAGGGGAGAGAGAGAGAGAGAGTGGGGGAGGGGGAGACTCACTTCCGACACCGGCACTGCGCATATGGGAAAGTACGGGTTAGCTACCATCCTTACCACACTCTTATCAATCGGGGGTTGGAAAAGAAAAGGGGGGGGGGGGGGGGGAGTACCCGATAACGACACCTGTGAAACAATCATCAGCCAACAGACAAGATAAGATTGGGAAGAGGGGGGGAGGATCATACCGAGAGGAATCAATTCTGGGGGCACCTTCTTGAGCTGTCTCAGCCTCTGAGAGATGGTGTGCGCTGGTGGTGGGAAAATATGTCAGTCTCTCTATCCCGTTCCGCTATTTCTATTTCTGTTTCCATTTTTCCGGCTCCCTCTCTTCTTCTTCCTCCTCGCCCCTCTCTTGGACAGGACGGGCGAGAGGGCAAACAGAGGGATGACCGGGCGGAGGAACGGGCGGAGGAGAAAAAACACAATGCTCGGATGATGCTCGTACCACTTTGTTCCTGCTTCTACAGTTGCAACCCTTCCCGTCAGTATTCATTCCCTCATCCACTCGTCTATTCCTCCATCCATTCACTCCTTCCTTCCTTCACCGGGGGGCACATACTGGCATAGGCATTGCGAACGATTCGTGTTGAAAGATTGAGGGGAGATTGGTTTGTTGTGTGGTTGTTTGGTGGGGGGTGTGTTCAAGGTCGTCGTTGTGCGCGAGCGATCGGATGAGATGTTTCAGAGGCTAATTGATTCGCTGCTTTAACGCGCGGCCGTGCACAGTTGGGTGGGTCTTGTGTGGCAGGGTGGTTAAAGCGGCGTGGGAGGTTTCCGGGTAACGAGGCTAATATGACGACACCCCGCGCGCCCGGCCGCGGTCATGGCAGTGTCGGCGGGTGCCATTTTGGGGAGAGGATGAGATGCGGTGATGGAATTATTATTTTGTTTATTAGATGGCTTGTTATGGGATAGTATTGGATTGATTAATTTATTATTTTTATTTAATTAATACTCCACCCGGAACTCCTTCACAACCCATCACTCGTCCCCATCACGGCCTCTCAACAACCACAAAAGTCGCCCACCCGCCGGCCACAACCTCCACCACCCTCCCCTCGCTCTCCCCCAGCACATCAATCTCCCTCCACTCCTCGCAGAACTCTACCCCTTCCCCTCCCCCCAGCTGCCCACTCCCCGCCCTGCCCACACCCCACACCCTCCCCCCCTCCGTCAGCACCACAACATGCCCCATCCCCACGCCCACCCCCACCACATCCACCCCGCCCCCAACATCCCCCACGCCAACCTCCTCCTCCCCCCGCAGATCCCCAATCACGCCCTCGTCCCCCGCGCGCCCGCCCCACAGATACACATCTTGCTCCGCGCTCAGCGCCGCGCCGACCCACCCGCCCGCGGCGACCTCCGCAATCGCGATGCCGTCGAGGGCGTCAACCAGCCCGGGGGCGTCTGGTGGCGTGAGTGCCGTGTCGCGCGCGAGGAGGCTGCCGTGCCGCGGGTCGCCGGCGGTGTAGATGCGCCCCGAGGCGCCGAGGAGCGTGAATGCTGTTGCGGTGGCGGCGATGGCGGTGATGCGGTCGTCTGTGGGGAATGGGTGGGTGGCAGTCGGGGGGTGGCAGGTGAGGAGGGAGGCGAGGGTTGGGTGGGCGTGGATTACTATTGCTATAAGCAATTGGACTTGTGTATATGTGTTTTAAAGGATGTATACCGGTGCCGTCAGATGTGCTGAGGACCTCCCCGTTGCCGGCAATGGCAATGATATCTACTTTTTCGGCCAGGGTGTGGCACTCCCACTCCCCGGAGGGTGCAGGCACGTAGGCCGTTGTCTGGTCGCCCCCGTCCCCGCCCCCCAAGATGACCTTGAGGCCTAGCCCGTCGCCGAAGGCTCTATATGGCGGTTTGCAGGAGTGCGGGAGCGGCTGTAGAGAGCCGGCGCCTCTGTGGTGGAGCTTGTTGTCGAGCTCGACTAGGTATCTACATGTCAGACTCTAGCGTGTCTAGCATGGTGTAGGAGGGAGAGAGAAGGGCAAAGGCATACGGAGCGTTTCAGACCATCCAGCGAAGAGCACCTTTGCGGAGGTCTCGGCGCGCGCTATGACGGTGGGGGTGAAGATGTCGGCGGGGATTGCGGCGTCGTCTTCGCGGGGGAGGAGCTGGCCGTGGGCGTTGAAGCCGCAGGCGAGGATGTCGAAGGGCATGGTTTGGGGGTTGTTCTGGGGGGGGGGGGGGGGGGGGGGGGGTTGTTTGTAAAGAGTGAGAAAGCTAGAGCTGGAGATCTAGAGATAGCTATCGCAAAGATGGAGAACGCATGGTGAGGGAATGGGACTCAGCTATGTACAGTGCCGGAGTGTGGATTGTACGGGCGGGGGAATGTATGGAGCTGCATACAGAGGCAGTTCAATTGCAATTATAATGGCAATCGTAATCGTGTTGCAATGGACTGTAGGTGGGAGTATAATTTTCAGTTGAGTTGACGGGACTTGGCAGTCGTAGAGCCGCGGTTTCAAGGTAGGGATTATGAGATATCGATATCGATATCGAGCTGTGAAGAAGTATTAATTGATTACTATCGACATTGAACTACAAAGTTCTAGTTATTAATTCTGGTTATAGACTAGAACCCACAACTTTATCTGCAATTCAAGAATTGGGTTCCAGCACCAGGTCTCACTCGGCCGCCGCACCGATTGAGAGCTACTGTTGGAATTATTGGGTGCGAGTCTGGCCAGGGGCAATCCTACACACTTTTCATGGGATGGTCATGTCTGTCGGAGGGCAGTCATGTCTCATGAAGTCAGTATAAGCTCATTGGCGTATATGTCAACATGTAGTCATATTTTGGGTCTTCTTGGCATAACGTTTTGTATAAAATGGTCCCCCGTACTAGATTTTCGTCAACAATGTCAATCAACTATTCTTTTATTCTTAACAGGCGCATAGCTGCTGACCAATGATGGATGGCCGGATTGGGTGTGGAGTGGTAATGATGGTCAATTGGGTTATATACAGGACTGTGTAGTCGAGTTCTAATGTTTTAGATTTGGTTGTTTGGGACTTCAATTGTTAGCTGATCATCTTGAGGATATACTAAAGAGAACAACCAAAACACTAACAAAGAAAAGATTTATTTATTTAGTATTAAGGCGCCTAAAGCAGCACATGCACGCTATCACTAAGAAATCCCTATCTAAAAAGTCCCACCCCCACTACAACTCCTTCTTCCTCCTCCCCACCGGCTCCCTCCTCACCGCCCCCTTCCCCAGCAACGCCTCCAACACCACAACCACAAGATACACCACCCCCACCAGCGCCCTCATCACCCTCTCCACCAGCCCCCTCCCCTGCGGCCTCACCCCCTTCACACACCTCGCATCCCTCACCTCAAACGGCACCTCCGCGCCCAGACTCCCCACCGCCGCCCTCAACCCCGACGTGAACCCGTCCTCATGGAACCCATACCCCGTCCACGCGCCCGCAAACGTGATCCCGCGCTTCCCCTGTATCTCGGGGAGGCGCCGCTGCGCCGCCACGGCCTCGGGCGTGTACAGCGGGTGCTCGTACTCATACACGCCCTGGACGGTGGCAGGGTCGGGCGGCGAGAGCGGGTTGAGCGTCACGAGGACGTCGCCGAAGCGCTGCGGCGGGATGTATTGCAGGATGTTCATGTTGTAGGTGAGCGAGACCTGGGCGACGTTGGCGGACGTGGGCGTCGAGGCGGTGATGTAGTTCCAGGCGGCCCAGGCGGACTTGCGGACGGGGAGGAGCTGTGTGGTGGTGGTGGAGTGTTATTAGCTATGTGGTATATGGGTGCAGGGCATCAAGGGTTTTGTAGTGTAATGGATAGCACACGGGATTTTGATTCCCGTAATCTGGGTTCGATCCCCAGCAAGACCTTGAATTCTTCATGCCGTCCACCCGCTCTCTCTTTCTCTCCTCCTCCACCAGAGGGAAACAGGGAATTGGGGAATGGATATTTTTTTTTCAATTCTGCAGAACAGTCCACATACCTTTCTATCGCCATGCAGCACGGCCGTGTTCGTGCTCGTGCGGAACTCGCGCAGGATCTCCCGCTCGCTCTCCGTCGCGCCGTCGCCAAGCAGCCGTAGCGCCTGGTCGCCGTGCGTGGCGACAATCACGTGGTCGTACTCGTACTCAAACTCGACGCTGCCGCGCTTCGCCGACACGAGCACCGTCTCGCGCCCGTCCTCGCCGACGCTGCCGCTGCCCCGCACCGCCGTGACGGGCATGCACATGTGCACCTGGTGCGCCGGCACCGCCCTCGTCACCGCCTCGACATAGTTCTTTGCGCCGCCCTTGACGGTGAGCCACTGCGGGCGCGACGACACGATGTTCAGCAGGTTATGATTCCACCTTCACCAATACCAATTGTTAGCCCACTTCACACCCTCCAGAGCAGGGGTGGGGGGGGGGGAGGGGGACGGGGGAGAGCATACATGAACCTCACCAGCGTCACCGCCGGGAACTCGAGCACACATTTATCGGGGCTGGTGCTCCACACGGCGGCCGTCATGGGGATGAGGTAGTCGTTCCTGAACGCATCCGAGTATCCCTCACGGTCCAGGTATGCGCCGAGGGTCTCTTCTTCCGAGTCCTCGGAGGAGAGGAGGTCGAGCGCAAAGGTGTTGAAGCGGATGATGTCGAACAGCATGCGCCACATGGACGGGCGGAAGAGGTTGGCGCGCTGCGCAAAGAGCGAGGACAGGCTGCTGCCGGACCACTCGAAGGCGCCCTGGTCGCGGGTTACGCTGAATGTCATTTGTGTCGGGATGGTGGGGATGCGCAGGTGGCTGAGGAAGGAGATGAAGTTCGCTGTGCGGGTGGGGGGTGGGGTTAGTTTTATTTTGGTATTGGCATATATGGAGCTATGGAGCTATGGAGCTATGACAGGTGGGGTATACGGTAAGTGGCAGCATTCAGCACAATGAAGCCCGTGTCGACGGCAATGACCTCGGAGCCGTGCTTGTAGTTGACGGTGTGCGTGTGCCCGCCGAGATAGTCGGCGGCCTCGAAGAGGTGCACCTCGTGCGTGCGCTTGCTGGGGTCGTGTGTGAGGGCCCACAGCGCGGCGAGGCCGGAGACGCCGCTGCCGATGATGGCGACTTTGGGGAGGACGGGCTGCGGTTCGGGCGTGGGGGGGCCGGAGTCCATGGCTGGCTTTAATTATGAGTAGATATATGTGAGGTTGGGTTATGGGAAGAAGAAGTACTAGAAGCCAGAAGGAACGGAGGGAAGAGAGAAGATAGAAGACAGACAGACAGTCAGTCAGTCAGTCAGTCAGTCAGTCAGTCAGTCAGTAGAAATGAACAAAAAAAAAATAAAGCTGCGAAGGGGTGGGTGGGGTCCGTCTATAAAAACAACCTCCGAAGGGCGGGGGGGAATGGCAGGATGGATGGATGGATGGACCCGGAATGGATTATGAATTATATTAAGCTAGCTATGCGTAGGCATCTAGAGTACATCTGCTCCAATGCACTCTGCTCCAAGAAGGCTCATCTGCTACACTACTCTACAGTCAGGCTTGCATTCCCTCTCTCCCCCTTCCTTGATCATGAGTTGAAATTCCCCGTTCTGGAGGGGCGCCCGCGCATTTCTCACGATGGCAGGAATGAATGGTGATCTCACAGATCGCGGGTCCCTAGCTAGCTCTCGCTCCAGGGTCCGCACGGGCCACCCTGCAGGTACGACATTGTTTTTGTGTTTTTGTTTTTTTTCTGGAGAACAATGGGAGAGAGCATTCCTCACCAGCAACAGCAATACAGACAAACAGTTACAGAGATGTGTGAATGTGTGTGAAGGGTGTGTGTGTATGTCCCGTAATGCAAAATGCAAACTCTCTATCTATCCGTCCGTACCTGTATGTAGCTGTAGGCACACACACACACACAAAAAAAAAGGTGTTTTAGGCTATGTACCATGAGCCCCATACGTAAATCCTAAGCATGCTCCATGTATGTAGCTGCCAGTTCATAGGTCCTGTCTGTCTGTCTGGTCTGCTAGAGTACATACGTCTGCGCTGGAATTAAAAACCAGGGATGTATTCTCGCGGTGCATCACCCGCTCCTCCTCCACATGCTGAGATGGAACGTTGAGGAAGCGGAAGCAGAACAAGTCAGATAACGCTGACCTCGGGATTCCCTCACACCCCAGCTTCAACGCACCCCCTAGGCCTTCCTAATTGTTTTTTTTCCTTGTGAAATAGCATCATTGTGGACACTGTTCAGAAGTAATGCGCAGGATAATTAGATGCGAGTTACACGACCCGAGGGATATTCCCGTCTCCCGGTTCTTGGATCCTGACAGACAGGCGGACTGGTAGAGTGGTAGAGTAATGGTAGAGGGAGTAGTAATCACTCACTCAACCAGCACACCAGCTAAGGCCTGTCCGGACAACCCAATAATCTGAATTACCGGCCAAATTGTCAATTTTTGGATTATTGTAATAATCTATGGTATGCTGTTGACTTCGTGCAATTGAACAATCGAACTTCCTAAGCTCCTGATTATCCCAATAGGTACATAATCCATCAAGAAAATAACCACCTTCGGGGGCAATTATTCCCATACAACACAGGTGTCCTGACACCATGTGAATCTTTGTTGTCCGAGCATGTAGATTCTTAGATTATGAGCATTGGGGTTAAATATTATTTTTGCCATCTGATAATCCAATCTGTCCAGTAACCCGAACAAATAATCCACAGCTGTCCGAGTAAGACTTCAATTGCATCATTCACAATCATTCACACAACCACTCAACACCCACTCTCAATCATTCACACTCAATCACTCACACTATAATTCGCCCCACAACCCATAAGACGCGGCCCAAAAAAAAATTAAAAATTCATAATTATTTCATTTTACTCATAAAAATACCAACTTTAAAGCCCTGCCCTCCACATCCTCTCCTCCCTCCTCCCAAAACCCCAAACTTCCGGCCCCAACCTCCCCTTCCATCCATCAGCCACAGAAAAATAGGCCACCACCACTCCCCCTCCTCCTCTTCCTCCCTCTTAATTTCATATCCCATCGTGTCAACCCATCCCCGCGCCTTGGCGGTTTTAGATCTCTCTATTTACACCCTTTTAAAACCTCGAGAAAAAAAGAAAGAAAAAAAGAATACTAGACAAAAAGTAATAAAAAAAACTCCCCTACCAAAAGAAAAAAAAGAAAAGAAATGGGTAAATAACGATGCAAATTGATATCATTCAAAGCGACGCAAAAAAGAAAGAAAAAAAACATCCACCGGCCCACCCGGACCAAACCCACCATGTCATCACCTCTGAAAACTTTCCTCTAAAATCCGAGATTTCTTTATATCGGGTTCCTATAAAAGTATGGTGAAAGGTAAAAAAAAAAAAAAAAGAGAAAAAAGGGAAGGGAAAAGGAGAAAGGAAGGGAAATGGGAAATGGGAAAATGGAAGGTAAAAAAATGGGAGAGAGATTCCAGAAGATGCAAGTAATAGGGACCACATATCAAATTGCGCCAATCATATATCGCATCGTAGAAATAAGCGATCAAGAAGAGTGAGAAAAAAGAACAAGTAGACCCCACTAAGAGCATGCAATGTATCATACAAAAAACGTTTGACTGCCCTACCCAAAGACTTCGAGAGAAGAAAAGAAAAAAAAAAGGAAATGAAACTCCCCAAATCCATCAAATCCCTCCCTTCCCTTCCTTCATCAAAACTCGTTTTTTTTTCACGCAAGACACAGACAATGGTTTTCATAAGAGGCGAGCAGGTGGAAACTAAAACAAGGGGAGAAAAAAAGTAATTTGCCAAAGTAAAGATACAAGAAACGAAGAAAAAGGGGTAAAGTAAGGGAAATGGTCATTGAACTAAAACAGCCACCAACGTGCCAACTATACTCCCCCATGAATTTGGTTTGGAGAAGTACCGGGCGATAACTAGATTAATTAGGTATCCGTCTGTGGTAGGTATAAAGCGCTGCACCAACGAGGTAGGGTGTAATCTTGATGTCTAAATCTCCGCCTTCTGAAAAGATGGATGATTTAATTACGGTGTTGGAGTAGGAGTTGAGGAGACGTGATACTTCGTGTGACGACGATGGCATGAACGGATACGATGAATGTGAACTTCAATATTTCGGGGAACAGGATATGAAGGCACCGCCCTTTTACAGCAGTATTTTCCAGAGACATAAAATGCCTATTCTTCTTCGCTTTCTGACCCCGAGCTCTCGTCGTCATCACTGGATTCACTATCCGCATTTTCAGGAGCAGCTACGGAATTTGTTAGCGATCTCTACTACTCAACATGTCAATGATCACATTAGTAACTAACCTTGAGCAGAAGAGGGCAAAGGCGTTGGGTTGTCGAAATCATGAAGTCTGGCTGTGAGGTCCTTGATCTTGGCCTCCTGTTCACTCGCAGACATCGGCTTGTTCTTCCGTGGCTTTGAGGGCGCCTTAGTCTTGGCCTTCGATTCCTGGGCTGGACGAGGCGGCGGTGGTGGCGGGACGTATTTGGCTTCAAGAGCTGGTGTATACTTTGATACATATACATAGAGCTTGTACAAAGTTTGAGGGTCTAGCTCATCTATATCTAGCTCGATTTCGTCATTTTGACCCTGAAATTGCTGTATATTAGCATATGTCAAAGAAGAGTGCACGCTCATACTTTCATACCTTGTCAATCTCGGGCATATTCTGCCTAATCATGTTGAGCGCATATGCCATCTTACCAGATGGCAAGAAATTGATCCTTTCGGATAGCTCCGTCTTTTGCTCCAAGGTGATGTAAGGCACATCCTTCTTACTACCAGATCTCTTGGCCTTCTTTGCTGGTGGTGCTGGAGCGGCGGCTGTGGAGTTCTTTCTGGAAGGTCCAGCTTTGCCTTTCTTGGAATTTGATGAAACAGGTGGTGTTTTCTTGTTTTGTCGTTTGAGAGAAGAAATTTGATCCTTCATCATTTCGAGTTGCTGCTCCAAAGCCTTAAGATCGGGCTGGTTAGGCTCCTCCTCCTCGCTCATCTCATCCTCATCGTGATCTTCAGGTGGTGGTGAGGCGGAAGCGGGAGAATGGCTACCCGGGTTATCCCTGACATACTTGGCTCTATCGGACCATTTTTCGTCAAATATACCCTCCAGACGTTTACCCATCTGATGCACAGCTTGATTCGGAGGATTAAACTTGTAGCAATTCCTGAACATCAAGCGCAAATCCGCCTCGAAATCATTCCCAGTCTCATACTGATTCGTCTTAAGTTTGGACTGAATAGTACCAAGATCCATGGGCTTCTTGATGATTTTGAAGTACTCGGGGATATTAAGAGCCACGGGGTCCACTGGTGAATAAAATGGGAACGCGTATGGTTCATGGATTTTCTTGTGTAGCTCTTTAATAACCATATCGCAGAATTTCAGTTCGGAAGCATTCTTCTTGCGTCTTGGTTTTACATCTGAATACGGCAAATCCTTGGGGGCCGGAGGGTGAATTTCCCTCTTTGGCCTGCCATCGCCAGCTGTTGAGTCACGACGAATTTGCGGAATTCCAGACGGCTGGAGACCAAAGGTAGGGGAGGCAGCTATAGGCGATTGCGCAACTGTTTTTGCCTCCTTCTTAACTTGTGACGATTTAGGAGCTTTCGCAGCGGATGGCCGCGACGATCCACCCTTCTTCTTACTCGGCTTTGGCGCGCTCTTCTCCACAACTTCAGGTGCATTCGCTGCTGGAAACCCTTTCATATGCTTCTCCCAAGAAGCCTGCATGCTCTTCGACATGTCGGTAACAGGGTGTTCATTACTGTTGAATAGGACACAGTTTGAAAGAATCAGATTGAAATCGTCCACGATTGCTCGCGGAGTCTTATACTCGTTATTTTGGAGCTTCTTCTCCATCGTTTGGAGATCCATAGGGTTTGTGACGATCTCGTAGTATGTAGGCACATTAAGTCTCTCGGCATCAACTGGCATTGTGAAAGGGCGGGCATCCTTGGTCCGTCTAAGGCTTCGAATAACACCTAATACAAACTTGATCTGTGATGGTGTGATTGGGTCGGTGGTATGGTATGGCGGCGCCTCGACTGAGGATGAGTTGTCCATCTCTTCCGTTTTCGCCCGCTTCAATGGAGGTCCCACGTTGTCGTCATCCTCCCTCTCTCTTGATGTCTTTACTGAAGGCGCA